CAGTGCTGGGGACCCGTCTGGGAGGCCGGGGGTTGTGAGGCAAGCGCCCTGCCCACCGTGCTGTCTCTCCAGGGCACTTGTGGCCTTTTGGCCTTGACACCGTTCCCACCTCCGGTCACTTGTCAGGAGAGGTCCGAGCCAATGCCCGCTCTCTTACAGACTCCCATGGGTTTTCTCCGTCCTGCTTACAGCCTCCGTTCCTGTTCCCTGCAGAGGCACTTGGCTGCATTCAGTCTCTTATAGAGCCACGGTGCTGTGTGCCACCATCAGAGACACATTCTTTGTGTGTGTTGGCTTGGGGGCCACACCTGGTAGTGCTCGGGGCCTCTCCGTGGCTTCTGCTCAGGGTCACTCCCACAGAGGCTTGGGACCTATATGTGGTGTCGGGGATTGAACCAGGGTCAGTGTACACAAGGCAAGCTCCTTAACCCCTCTACTAAGCTCTCCAACCCCAGGATAAACATTCACTTGCCCAAAGCTGGATTTTCCCTTTGGGTTTGCTAAACACACTGGTCTTTCTGCCTTGCCTGTAGCTGTGGAAGGGCCTGTCCAGCCTTCCAAGCTCCTGGTTTATAAATGCTTTGTCTTGTTTGTTTGTTTGTTTGTTTGTTTGTTTAAAGGAAGCCACGTGTATCCAGGGATGTGGCTCAGCATAAAATGCGTACATTGCATGCAGGAGACCTGAGTTCCATCTGGCACTGCAATACCCCCCTCCCCCAACACACACACACTCAAATCTAGAAGCTACACCCCTCATTCCCCACCCCAGCCATTCCTAGTGACACTCAGGGGCCACCAAGCTCAGGGGCCACCAAGGCCAAAACCCAGTGGTGGTCAAGTGGCCATGCAGGGCCAGGGATCTAGCTCAGAACCCAACACACCAGGCATGTGTTCTACCCCTTGAGCCACGTTTCTGACCCTAATTTTTTTTTTATGTAGGAGTGTTGCTGTTTATTCAGCCACTGATTAGCTGATTGAATTGGGCATGAACTCCACCTTACTTTTTCTTTTTCATTTTTTATAATTTTATTTATTGAATCACCATGAGAGCAGTTACAAAACTTTTGGGTTTAAGTCTTGGTCATACAATGAAACACCCATACCTTCACCAGTGCCCATTCTCCATCACCAAAAATCCCAGTATACCCCCATCCCACACCCTCCCCCTACCTGTAGGGCCGATGATTTCCACATTACTCTCTCTCTACTTTGATCCCATTCAATATTTTGACACCAGACCCACCATTATTATTTGGGATTTTACCCCAACACTCAGAGCTGCTGAAAAGGCAACAGTAGACAATTTGTTTTCTATTGCTGGTCATGAATAACATATGATATCGCGTGGTTGCAGTAGTGGCTGCGTGCTTCTGAAATTCCGAAATTTTAATAATTAAATCTGGAGGGATTTCTGCCAATACCTGCTGAGTTCCAAGATTTGTTCCTTAGTCTCAGGGATCATGGCCATTAAGCAGCTTAATCAGGAGCCAGAAAGGCCCTTCATGGGCGGCGACTCAGGGTCTCGTTGGGATGGGAAGGAGAGGACTGGCCCTATTTTCTGACCTCTTACAGAATTCTCATGAGGCATCAAATAACAGAGAGTAGCTGAAGAACTATGCCAAACATGTCATTCTCTTGAACTCCATATAGACCCTGAATTTCACCCCGCCCCCATCCTTTGGCTGCACTGCAGCTAGAAAGTTGTGGGATTTTTGGTTTGTCCCCAGGTATTGTGCTTCCAGAGCTGCTCAAAGAATACCAGCTAGATACTGTTGAACTTTAGACACAGTTTCGCTTTGTTTTTGTGGCCACACCTGTTGGTGTTCAAAGTTACTCCTGGCTCTGAGCTCAAGGACCTCTTCTGGTGGGCCTTGGGACCACATATAGTGCCCGGGGATCGAATCCAGGTCAGTTGTGTGCAAGTAAAGTGCGCTTCCCACTGTACTCTCTGTTTGGCCCCTACATTTGAACTTTGGATCCCAATTACATACTGTCACATTACTTTGGCTTTGGGCTTTGAGAGAGTGGATTTGTGTGGGGTCTTTGCCTTGCCAGTTAATTAGTCGTGTGACTGTAGAAAGGTACTACCCTTTCTGAACCTTAATCTCCTCATTTGTCAAAGAAGAAGAATACTACCTGCTTTGAACTTCCCTGGTTAGGATTAAGTGTGCTTAAGTAGGAAAAAACGAAAGCCGAAATAAAGCTAAATAAAGCTGAGGCTCTATTTCAAGGACTAAAGGGGGCTAATGTTTGGAAAACTCTCTTAACAATAATGGCAAGCACTTAGAAAGGACTCCGTCATTGTTACCGGTGCCCTTTATTGCTGTTCTTACTAATATTTACTCTTTGCCAGCTCCAGTTTGGCAGGTCTTGGTAGTTGCAGAGGTAATTGCCGAGGCTTACCTCACAGGGCGTGGATAATTAGGGGATGTGGGTCAGACTCACATGAATCCTTTGTGTGCAAAGGCTGAAGCATGAGTAAGATTAAAAGTTGGTCGAGTTCAAAAGACTTTTCGTGGAATGTGCCTGCCCAGGCGAGGGTTTGCTGCTGGGGCACTTGGCAGGTCATCGTGGACACCGGGCTTATTCTGAGTGAAACCAGAACTGAGAGAGCAGAATCTGGAAGCCCAATACCGCCCCCCCCCCCCACAACACACCCCACAACCCCACCCCTGCCAGCGAATCTCCAGCATTTCATGAGACCTTCCTCTGCTTGCCCTGGCGAGTCCAGTTGTATCCAGTGGCTTCAGACAGCCACCGACATGCACCACCTTCCCCACTGAGCTATGGTGGAGTTGTCTGAGTGACACGTGACTGTCCCCAGCCCTCCCGCTGGCCTGGGTGCATGCCGCACTCCAGGTGTTGCATAAGACATGTATTTAGGTGACTCTTCTCATCTTTTTGTTTTGTTTTGTTTTGTCTTTTTGCTTTTTGGGTCACACCTGGCGATGCACAGGGGTTACTCCTGGCTCTGCACTCAGGAGTTACTCCTGGCGGTGCTCAGGGGACCATATATGGGATGCTGGGAATTGAACCTGGGTTGGCTGTGTGCAAGGCAAACGCCCTACCCACTGTGCTATCTCTCCAGCCCCCTCTTCTCATCTTTGTCCATTCAGCCACCAAACATTTGCCAAGAGTTTGCTACAGGCCCTGAGTGGTGGCCCTCCTATGTCCCATCCCTGGACACCGTGAGCTTTTTTGTTCATTGGTTTGCTTGTCTGGGGCACGCAGCTTCTGTGCAGGTATGATTCAAACAGGGGAGCACTCCAGCACGTGGGCCAACGCCACAGCCTGTGTCCCATCTGCCTGGCTTTATTCCAAGGGGAGAGGAAGAGAGCCACAGTGGGTTGGGGGGAGAGTCTGTTAGTAGCCGCTCCTTGGAGCAAGTGAAGGGGGAGTCAGTGAGCAGGGACTGTGTTTTGGGACCGTGTTATTAGAGTTGCTTAATAGATTGGCTTATTGATGGAATGACCTGAGGAGGGGCAGTTTGTAAGTGATGAGGGGGAAGAAAAGCAAACCTTAATCTTTTTTTGGTTTGTCTTGGGGACATACCTAGTGATGCCCTGGGGTGTCTCCTGGCTCTACACTCAGGGATCACTCCTGGTGATGCTGGGAGACCCTATGGGATGCTGGAGAGTGAACCCGGGTCGGCTGCATGCAAGGCAAGCACCCTCCCCACTATGCTATCTCTCGGGCCCTAAATCTTTTTTTTTTTTAATTTTATTGAATCACTGTGAGACACTTACAAGCTTTCATGTTTGGGTTATAATCACACAATGATCAAACACCCATCCTTCTACCAGTGCACATTCCCTACCACCAATCTCCCCAGTATATCCCCCTTCCCCACCCTCCCCTGCCTCCATGACAGACATTATTCCCCATAATCTCGCTCTACTTTTGGGCATTATGGTTTGCAATGCAGACACTGAGAGGTTATCATGTTTGGTCCATTATCTACTTTCGGCATATATCTCCCATCCAACCGATTCCTCCAGCCATCATTTTCTTTTTTCTTTTTTTTTCAGCCATCATTTTCTAAGTGATCCCTTCTCTACCCAGCTTCCTTCTCCCCTCCGTTCATGAGGCAGACTTCCAGCTATGGGGCAGTCCTCCAGGCCCTTGCTTCTACTTGTCCTTGGGTATCAGCCTCATGTTATGTTATTCTATACTCCACAATTGAGTGCAGTCCTTCTGTGTCTGTCCCTTTCTTTATGACTCATTTCACTTAGCATGATACTCTCCCTAAATCTTAACCTTTCAAAAAAGAATTGTCAAGGCTGGAGATCAAGTCCAAGGGATAAGGCACTTCTCTTGCCTGGGTCTGACCCAGGTTTGATCCCCAGCCGTGCGTAGGATTCCCTGAGCTCCACCAGGGGACACTTCTAGGCATAGAACCAGGACTGATTCCTGAACACCTCCAGATATTACCCAAAACAAACTGCCCCAAGTGAATAAATAAGTGTAATAAAGTGAATCGCAGTGGGAGGCTCCCTTGGCCTGGCACTGCCCAGGGACCACCATGACCATACAAGACCATGCCTGGGTGGGGCTGGGGGTGCCATATGATGGCAGGGATCCAGCCTAGCCCCTTGCACTTGCTGGGGACATCTCTGGCCCCTGAGCCAGACCTCTGGACCCAAGTTTAAACTTTTCATTTCTACTGACCTTGTCTTCCAAATAATTTCTGAGCAGAATATTTCTTTTTTTTTCCTTCTTTTTTGATCACACCCGGCGATGCACAGGGGTTTACTCCTGGCTTTGCACTCAGAAATTACTCCTGATGGTGCTCGGGGGACCATATGGGATGCTGAGAATCAAACCCAGGTCAGCCGTGTGCAAGGCAAACTCCCTACCCACTGTGCTATTGCTCCATCCCTGGATATTTCTTATTTTATGAGCAAACGTAATTTTTAGGGGGTTGTCTGAAGTGACTTTTTTTTCCCCAACAATTATATCTGCATTGTGACAAATCTTCCTTGCTCTTTTTTTTCCTACAGAATGAAATGTGCCTGGCCACTCAACAGCTCTCTAAGCAGCTGCTGGCATATGAAAAACAGGTAACGTGGATTTCACATGGCCAGGGCTCCCCTCAGTGGGGTTCTTCCCATGGTGTTCCCTCAAAGCATCCTTCAGAGACTCGTTTATTTATTTTTTTTCTCCATAGTCTGTTTCCATTTGTCTTTTCCTATTAACTGATAAATTCAGACTAGCGATTATTCCAAAGATTTTTATTAGCCCCTAGGAGCTCGTCATCTCCAAGGGACCACAGGCAAATCCAAGGCACTTTGTTCATACTTAGGCTTTCTCCAGACAGAGTGGGTGATAGACAGCCCGGGCCATTTGAGGGGAGACTCAGGGCAGCTCCGGACAGAGCAAGAGGAAGCCTCAAGCTTTCTGCAGGGGCCCACTGACAAGATATGCTCCAGAGAGGAGAAAGGGAGTTGAGGTGGAGGGGAAGGCCTGGGGTGGGGCGGGCACTCTCTTGCGGCATTCCCTGGCAGTCACATAACACCTCTTCTTCCTTTCTTTGGTCTCAGAATTTTGCTCTTGGCAAAGGTGACGAAGAAGTCATTTCTACTCTCCACTATTTTTCCAAAGTGGTGGATAAGGTAAGATAGCAATATGGCAAACATGCTACTGGATTCTTTCATCTCTTTATTTTGGCCCACTTTCTGTTTTCTGGCATCTACTTAAATATCTGAGATGATGCCACCATCAACTTGCTGATTCCAAAGTTTATTTCATATGAGAAGTTCTATGCAATTAAGGTTGTTTCTGGTTCCGGGAGAAATGCTTTAAGGTATATGGACATTAGACCACTCGTAAGAATTCTTTTTCCTAAGGAATGCATATTTGTTTCTCATGGGTTCCATAATAAATCAGAAACCGGTGTTTTAAAACAATACATAGTTTTGTCACAGTTCACGGGGTCAGAAGTGTGAAGTTAAACTACCAGGGACATTGAGTGCCCAAAAACAGATGACTGGATAAAGAAACTACATCTACATGATGGAATGCTATACAACTGCCCAGAAAAATGAACTCATGAAATTTGTTTATACATGGGTGGACGTGGAGGGTATCATGCCCAGTGAAATGAGTCTGAGGGAGAGGAATAGACATAGGATGAGTGCACTCGTTTGTGGGATATAAAATGACATACTATGAGACTTCTACCCAAGGACAGGAGAAATGAGGGCAAGGTCCATGGTTGGAAACTTGCCACAAGTGTGTGGGGAGCGCAGTTAGGATAAGAGGGGACCACTTGACAATTATAGTTGGAAATGATCATTCTGGACAAGAACTGAGTGCTGAAAGGATTTTTTTTTGGGGGGGGGGGGGGGAGTTTGGGTCACACCTGGCAATGCACTTACTCCTGGCTCTGCACTCAGGAGTTACTCCTGGCGGTGCTCAGAGGACCATATGGGATGCTGGGAATTCGAACCTGGGTTGGCTGTGTGCAAGGCAAATGCCCTACCCTCTGTGCTATCTCTCCAGCCCCACTGAAAGGATTTAAAGGGATATATATGATAATCTTTCAGTATTTGTATTGCAAACCATAATGCCCAAAAGGAAGGAGAGAGAGAGACAGAGACAGAGACAGACAGAGAAGGAGAGACAGAAAGACAGAGACAAAAAAGTGTCTGCTGTAGAGCAGGCTAAGGGTGTGGAGGGAGAGAATTAGGAGGGAAACTGGGGACATTGGTTGATGGCAGGAAATGTACACTGTGAAGGGACAGGTAGTGGAACACCGTATGACTGAAACCTGGTCATGAACAACTTTATAACTATGTATATCATGGTGATTCAATAAAAATAAATAATAAATACAATTTCTGATGCAAAGGAAAAAATGAAAGTAAAGAACTGTCGGCATTCCCATGCTTCTTTGGAAGGCTCCGGGGAGATTCTTTCCTGAGCTCTTCTAGTTCTCAACAGGTCCCAGAATCCCTTGGCTCGTGGCAGCCGAACTCCAGTCCCAGCCTCTGACTTCACATGGCTGTGAGCTGCCCCACCCTGGGCTTTTCTTTGTGGCTGTGTCTTTTCACAAAAGCATACTTGTTAGGGGATTTAGGACCCTGTGGATAATCCAGGATGGGCTGGATTTTTTTTTTTTTTTGCTTTTTCTTGGTGGGGGTCACACGCAGCGATGCTCAGGAGTTACTCCTGGCTCATGCACTTAGGAATTACTCCTAGCAGTGCTTGGGGGAACATATGGGATGCCGAGGATTGAACTCAGATCAAGCGCCTTACCTGCTGTACTATTGCTCCAGCCCAAGATGGACTCATTTTAATACTGTCACTGCCTGTCCCTGTCCCTGTCACTGTCCTCCCGTTGTTCATCACTTTGCTCGAGCGGGCACAGTAACATCTCCATTTTGAGACTAGTTACTGTGTTTGCCATATTGAACACATCTCGGGTAGCTTGCCAGGCTTTGCTGTACGGGCGAGATACTCTCAGTAGCTTGCCGGGCTCTCCCCGAGAGGGGCGGAGGAATCGAGCCTGGGTCGCCCCTGTCAGCCACGTGCAAGGCAAACTCCCTACCTGCTGTGCTATCCATTATATTTCAGAGACTTCCCCCCCCCACCCCAAATATTGACTTTTCTTTAGGGAGGGCACAGTTCAGTGTCCTTTGCAGGTTTCATGCGACTGTTCTTATAGTTGTATAATATGTCTGGAATATTTGTAGAAAAAATGTAATATTATAGGAAAATTCCATGGAATTTTTTTTTGTATGTGTGTGGTTTGGGGGTCACACCCAGAGGTACTCAGGTCTTTCTCCTGGCTCTGCACTCAGGGATCACTCCGGATAGGCTTGTGGCACCATACAAGGTGCCAGGAATTGAACCTGAGTACATCACATACAAGGCCAGCACGCTCCCTGCTTTAATATACATGCTGTACTGTCACTTTGGCCGCCAACACACGGGACTCTTCTCTTCCTAAGGAACTCGGGTTGAGAGCCAGCGTCTACACTGTAAACTATGTCTGGTCTGGGAGACCCCTCTAGCAGGCAGTAGGATGCCCGGACTCAGGAAGCCTTGGCGTTAGTGTTCAATGCCCACCGCCCATTTTCTGCTGTATGAAGGGCATTTATTTATTTTTATTTTTAAAAAGATTTAGATTTATTTAAATCTAAATTACTATTTTTTGCTTTTTGGGTCACATCCAGCGATACTCAGAGGTTACTCTTGGCATTGCACTCAGGAATTACACCAGGCGGTGCTCAGGGGACCACATTGGATGCTGGGAATCGAACCTGGGTCAGCCACGTGTAAGGCTACCTGCTGTGCTATAACGATACCCATCCCCTGAAGGGCGTTTATTTGCAGCTGGATCTCGTGAGCCCTTGGTGGGATGGGCAGTGTCTGGAATAGTGATGGAGTTTTCTTTAATAGATTTCTCTCTCTTTCAGCTTAACGTTCTCCACACAGAGCTAGCTGAGCAGCTGGCGGACACAATGGTCCTTCCCATCATACAGTTTCGAGAGAAGGATCTCACAGGTAGTGTCATTGCTTTCAAAAATACGGCTTATGTTGGTAATAATTCTGAACTGCATGCATTCCCATAAACAAGTGACTTATTGGGGAATTCCCCCCCCCACTCCCCCACCTTTTCTTTTTCTTTCCTTTGGCTCACCTGGAGGGCATAACAGGTGAATAAGCAGAGGTTTGGCCAGAGAGTTGTGGTATGTGATGAGGATAACAGGGCAGAGATGTGCAGAACGAGAGGAACACAAGAAAGGAGTGATTCCTCTTCTGGGGGCTCACCTGGAAACTTCTCAGAGAAGGTGCTCTCGGAGTTGGGTTTTCAGAGGTGAAATATGTCAACAAAGATGCCCAGCCTTGGGAGATATGAGTAGAGACACTACAGGGGGCCGTGATTCATTTGAGATGTAGAGCGGGGACTTTGGAAGATAGGACAGAAAGAGCCGCAGGCCTTCTCCTTGCTCATACAGGAGGGCTTCTGTCAAAGTGCTCACTTTGGTGAGCTCCTGTCACAGTGCTCACCCAGGGACTCCTATCACAGTGCTCCCCATCTCCAGAGTACATGCTGGGGGCAGCCGAATACTCCACATAGCCTAGCTGGTGTTGGCTCTTTTTTTTTTTTCTTTTTGACTCTTTGGGTCACTCCCAGCGATGTTCGGGGGTTACTCCTGGCTCTGCACTCAGGAATTACTCCAGGCGGTGCTCAAGAGACCATATGGGATGCTAGGAATCGAACCTGGGTTGGCCACGTTGCCAGGTAAATGCCTTACTCACTGTGCTATTGCTCCAGCCCCTGGTGTTGGTTCTTGAGCAGAGAGAAAACTTTCATAGCATTTTGTATCTCTCAGAAATCAAAATAGTCTAAAGATCCTTCTAGGAAAGTTACAGAAAATTTTATTTAAAAGTATGGAAAACCTTGGAAAACTATAGCCACTTAACACATGTTCTGTTCTTTGTCCTTATGGCATTGAAAAGGTTCATTGCTTAAAGATTAATGGATTATTGTCTAGAGGAAATTGACATTTTAAAAAAATAACTAGCAAAACACAAATCTAAACCTGAGACTCGGTCTAGTACTGTCTTTTAGAATTGTGTCACTTAGGAAGGTCAAGGGGATAGTTCAAGTGGTAGAGCACATGCACAATGTGTGAGAGGCCCTGGGTTTGGTCCTTGACACCCTGGGGCCTCCCATGTACCACCATATAACCATGGCCCCCGGGCACTGCTGAGAGTGGCTGGTTCTGGTAGCAGCCCAAGCACCACTGCCCCACGCCAGGCAGACCTCTGCCGGGCGCGACTCTGGGTCCCTATGTTAAGAAAAGAATAATAATAACCTATATGGAGTGATAGCACAGCGGTAGGGCGTTTGCCTTGCGCGCAGCCAGCCTGGCAGAGCCGGGTTCGATTTCTCCGCCTCTCTCAGAGAGCCCGGCAAGCTACCGAGAAGTATCTCGCCTGCACGGCAAAGCCTGGTAAGCTACCCATGACGTATTCAATATGCCAAACACAGTAACAAGTCTCACAATGGAGACGTTACTGGGCCCACTCGAGCAAATCGATGAACAACGGGAGGACAGTGACAGTGATGTTCTATATAACCCTACCACTTTAAATTTAGTGTTTCATTCGGAAGAGATGCCGCCAGTGAAAGCGTTCTCTCAGAGAGGAAGTGTTTTCCTTGCTCACTGTTGTCACTGGTGTCACTCGGGGCTGTAGGGGACTGTGGTACAGCTTGTGTCAGCTCCACCCAGCCTTTGCAGTGAACCCAAGCAACCTGTGCATCCTCAGCCCTGCTGACTCATCCCCCACCCCACCCGAGAAGGCAAGAATCAGAAATGAAGGGCTGTGAGTGTGTGCCAAGCACGCGCAGGGGAGGGGATGGGAGTAGGGGGATATTCCAGTGCTGCTCATCGGGAACTGTGCACGGCCCGAACCTGCTAAATGCAGTTACATGCTGAGTGTCCAGCGCTAACTAAAAGCCTCATTAAGTGTTGTGTGTGTGTGTGTGTGTGTGTGTGTGTGTGTGTGTGTTTTAATACAGGTTTTCTCACTAGAAATCTTGATGATTGGAGGTGTGTGGGGATATTGTTTTAAAAACAAAAGAATCAATAAAAATGAACGTCAGGTCTCTTGGCAAGGAAGCAGCCAGCCCTTCAGAGCTGTGCCGTCACATGATCCTGTAGCTTTGTTCATGGCAGACGGGCCATAGCGTGGGCGCGGCCACAGCGTCACAGAGCTGAAGGGCTCAGCATGTGGATTCAGCGTCAAACTGGCGAGTAGAATGAACATAGAATCATCTTAGCATTTGTGAAAAAAATATATATCAGTGTCGGAGCTGGAGAAGGAGTGCACCAGATACAGTCCCAGGCCCTTGCCTTGAATGTGGCTGACCATGGTTCGATCCCCAATGTCCCGTATGGTCACCCAGCCCCACTAGCAGTTGTCCCTGAGCACAGAGCCAGGAGTAAGCCCTGAGCACTGCTGCATGTGCTCCCTCCCATCCCCCCAAGAAAAGTATCCTCTCTGGCAACACCAAGACAGACCCAGTGAAGTATTCGACCCGGATCTTAACTAGACTTGACTTCAGAACCCACCAGTGCAAGGAAATCATCAGTGTGTGAGGTGATAAGTGATCATCGGGGGGTGTTACCGGAAGTTGACAAGGAAGGCCCCTGACTGGGTTCGAAAGGTGGAAAGACTGAAGTAGAAAGTGCCCTGATCTGAGTCAGAGACATACCAGGAAAAAGAGACGTACTGGCTGGAGGCCCTGGTGGAGGCAAGCCCCAGACAGCAGTAGCTGAACCACACACAGGCCAAGGATTAATTATGTCTCTGAAGCGTTGCAGCCAAAGCTGTGTGGCGCCCCGTGACCTTGGGCAAGTGTGTGGGATGTCTGGAGGGCCCACTCGGGACACAGAATGGGGGGGGGGGGATTTGGGAGGGGTACAAGGTTCTCTCTTGCATCCGAGGTTTTCAGTTGCAATGGAGAGTCATGGCCACTATGGGTGGGTGCTGTGAAAGTCACAGGCCCGCTGTTGGCAGGAGGTGGGCTACCGGGGCCCCTCCATCGGCCTCCCCTCCTTCGCTTTGCTGCTTGACTCTCTCTCTCTGTTTGGCTTGGTGCTAAGACGGTTCTTTTCTCTTACGCAGAAGTAAGCACTTTAAAGGACCTTTTCGGACTGGCCAGCAATGGTAAGTCCTCCACCGATGTTGTCGTTGGGGCGAGAGTTAAGTGCTGGTATGGGGTCGGCTGGGTCTACGGGCAGAGACCCCGAGCGAGTGCTTCGTCCTCCAGGCAGCCTGCTCATGGCTGATGTGACTCTTTCGTTCCCAGAGCACGACCTCGCCATGGCGAAATACAGCAGGCTGCCTAAGAAGAAGGAGAACGAGAAGGTACACTGACCCACGTTGCAGCTCTCTCGCTTGATTCGCTTCATTCCTTTTTAGTTCTTGATTTCACTGTGTCTGCTTTTGTGGTGTCTCCTGGTGAATTGACGGGGTTGGGAATACCTTGAGAAGTATTGTTTTCTCTTTTTATCTATACATGGGTGTGTTTTTTTAAATATGTAGTCCAAGTACATAGATTCTAGCTTTTCAAGCCCTTTTTAATTAATCACCAGCTTAGAATTATTATAAAATTATACTCATACATTTTTGGGGGAGAGGTGGAGTGAGATGTCCATGTTGTGCTCGTGAGACCTGGAGTCCTCCCATGAGACATCTGTTTACGGGAGCAAGGACACGTCACTGTGTGGAATACGTAGTGGGGCCAGAGCAGCACCCGTACCCCATGTCTAAGGGGTCTGTGGTGATGCAGACTGAGCCAGAGTCTGACGCATTCCAGGTGCCCGCACACACCTTGACCCCTGTACCATCTCTTGGGCCCCGCACACACAACAATTTGCATGTCAGCCCAGCCCTCTGTGGGCGTCCAGTGCATTCAGGCTCCTCTGGGCTGCGTTGCTTGGACTTCTGTCCCCAGGTGTGTGGACTCTGATTCTTTCACTCACGCATCTTAGCTTTTTTTTTTTTTCCTTTTTGCAGTGCCAGATAATCACTGAATTCTTTCGTGCCCTTGCCTTTGTACTTCTTTCCCCCGATTCCCCCTGACTTTGGTTCCGTGGGTCCCTCCTGTGGTCCCCAGGACAGGTGGCGTCCAAGGCATGCTGCTTTGCTAGAGGGTCCTTAGCATCTTGTGGTGCTCCTGCTGGGAAAAATAAAAGTCTGCTCCATCCTCCCCGCACGGCGTGGGATGCTGAGATGCCGTTCCCGGGGCGTGGAACCGAGGTGTCTTCCCCGGGGCACCACAAATGACAAGTCTTTTCCTTGGGACCTTTTTGGATTTTGAGAGGGAGCCTTCTCCATGCCTCGGATTCCTTGCAAAGGAAGAAAGGAGGACGGGGCTTTCAAGCCGGCTGTGCCCGGCACTGTCTGCCCCGGCTGGGTAATGCCACAGCTGCTTCTTCTCGCCTCCCCCAGGTGAAGAGCGAGGTGGTGAAGGAGGTGGCGGCCGCGCGGCGGAAGCAGCATCTCTCGGCCCTGCAGTACTACTGCGCCCTCAACGCCCTGCAGTACTCCAAGCGCATGGCCATGATGCAGCCCATCATCGGCTTTGCCCGAGGGCAGGTGAGGGGGCCCCTCCCCTGGGGGAGGGTGGTGTCAGCCAAGTGGGCACCACACAGGGCATTCTGCCCAGGTAGCGCTTGTCGGAGAAACCAGGGGCCCGAGATCAAGAAACCAGTCCTGGAGATTTAGATGCTGGCAAGTGGCCCAGATCACGCTTAGATGGACGTGGCCGGTTCTGCACATCCCGGCAGAGCTGGCCTTGACCTCTCACCTCCTGTGGGGAGGAACAGATGCGGCCCTTCTGTCTGGCATCCGAAAGCTCCCCCCCCGCCCCCCCCCCCCCAGGGCTGGTCCCCTTTCCTGAGAAATGGCCGCCTCTCAGGCGAGTAGAGCCAGGCCTACAGTCCAGAGCTCCACCCAGGCCTTTGCTGCTCTGGGGTCAAGCAGGCCAGGGGTGGGTGGCATCATCCGGGGCCCAGGGAAGCGTGTCTGTCCCCAGGGAGGGTCCTCCTGGACAGGGCACTGCAGGGAGGCGCCTGGGCTTAGGAGGGGGGCGCGACCCTCTTGGGGCATGACCTGGGGACATCAGGGAGTCAAATGTGAGGAGGAGGCATCTCACACAGCCCACAGGGAGCAGCTGGGCCCTGCGTTATCCGTTTTTCAGAGGAATCTTCTTTCATGAGGGCAGCAACCTGGCCCTTTCATTCAGGGGAGGGCAGGGAGCGGATTGGGGGTGTCCGGCCCCAGAGGCCCGGCCCACTTTACTCCGGCGGTGGCTTTGTTGAACGGTGAGCGCGGGAAAGTGAGCCTTTGCTTTGGAGGACTGATGGTTAATAGGACAGCGTCTTTCAGTGTGCCCTGGACCAGCGCTGGGTTAAACCAAGCCCCGTGTGTCCCTTGGGTGCCCCATTGTCTCCTCCTGAGGATCTGCTCTCCCTCCGCTGCCCTGGTTCCATTAGAGGTGTGAGCTCCCTGCGCTACGTCTCATTAACGCCCTCCTAGGCTGACCACACTGGCCTGGTGAGTGCTGAGACATTCATCAGATTGGGTCTGGGCGGGGCCTGCACCCAGAGTCTGGAACCAGGAGCAGCCCTAAGCCTGTTCTGGGAGAACCCTGGAGGAGCCTGGTTAGCTGTGAGGGGACCTTCTCAGGCCCCCAGGTTGGGTTTAACCCTGCTAGTTTCACTCTGTTCTGGTTAAGGGCCACACTGCTTCTCCTAGCCGCCAGGGCGGGTTTTCTGGTGGGGAGACCGGGGCTTCCCAGGTAACCCAGGGCCAGCCAAGCGGTGGAGTCACTGCAAGGGTCCCACCCTGCTTTGGGGATCCCGCAATGCTGAGACACACCCAGGAGTGCTTGGGGGAGCCCCCAGCGGCACACCCAGAACTGCACAGGGACCTTGGTGTGTCACACCTTGAACCCAGAGCTGTGCTCATGCAGGACTGCGCCTAAACCCTGTACTGTTCCTTTTTTTGGGGGGGTCATACCCAGTGGTGCTCAGGGGTTACTCCTGGCTCTGCACTCAGGAGTCACTCCTGACAGTGCTTGGGGGACCATACAGGGTGCTGGAGATCGAACCTTCGTCAGCTTCGTGCAAGACAAACGCCCTCCGCACTGTACTATCACTCCAGCCCCCAACCCTGTACTGGTTCCCTCACCCCCAGTCTGGACGTTAAAAATGAAATTTTCCTTCACATCAGGAGAGAAACTGGCGATGCTGGTGGAGGGATGGTCACATTGGTGGCTTTGGAACACTAAATGTTTGAAACAATGTATTAAAATTTAGGGTCTGGAGCAATAGCACAGCGGGTAGGGTGTTTGCCTTGCAGGCAGCCGACTCAGGTTTGATTCCCGGCATCCCATATGGTCCCCCGAGCACCGCCAGGAGTGATTCCTGAGTGCATGAGTGCGGAGTAACCCCTGAGCATTGGTGAGTGTGACCCAAGAAGCAAAATAAATAAATAAATAAAATTTAATTTTAAAAAAGAGAAATAATTTTTTTTTGCCACACCTGGTGGTGGTCGGGGGGTACTCCCTGCTCAGTGCTCAGGGTTCCCTCCTGGATGATGCTTGGGATCATGTAGTGCCAGGGACTGAATCCAAACCCAAGCCACGTGCGTGCAAAGCATGTGTTCAGCCTTTCAAGCATCTCTGGGACTAACCTAGGTACTCTTGCTCTTTGCTGGTGGTGGCCTGGGGGGCCACCCCAGCGGTACCCGGGGCTTACTCCTGGCTCAGACCAGGGAATCACTCCGCCAGCCTGGATGTTTCTTATCTGGCTCTTGGGCAGCGGGAACCCTATGTCCCGGAAGGCAACGCCCAGCTCTGCTGAGCCAAGCACCGGCACTTCTGGCCTGGGAACTGAGGATGGACACTATGATTTCTCATGTCAAAGCAGCCTCCAGCCACGAGACCCAGGGCCCCTCCCCCGCATGCGGCCTGGCCGTTGGATTAGGTTCCCACAGGCGGCAGTTGTTTCTCTTACACAGGCTGTTTGTTGTCCCACCGGGTGACTCTCTTGCGTGTTTCTGAAGCGTTGGCTCTCCTGCCTTATCAGCTGTTGGAAGTCAGTGTTGACCCAGCACCCTCCTCCGGGAGCTGGTGAGTCGCTGTGACCTCGAACTTCCTGTGGTTCTTCCAGGGAAGAGGATGACGTTCCACCCATGCAAGGTTGGGCTTGGTCCACTGAGAAGGGCGCTGGACCCCGCTTGTGCCATCCCTAGCCCCTGGGTATGAGTCAGGCCTCATGCCCGTGAGCAAAACGAGGTTTCGTGACCTGTGTCCAGGTTTAGGAGAATATGAAAATTGAGCTCTGGTACTTACAGATTAGATCAGGACTAAGTAACGTGATGACTCCAAAACACCAGCATCTTCATGGTCTCTGTTCATCAGTTGGAGTTTTTTTGGTTGTTGTTCTGCTGGGTTTCTTTTGGGTGCTTTCTTTTGGGGGCACAGATGGTGGATTTTAGGGGCTCTTCCTGACTTTGCACTCAGGGGTCACTTCTGGTGGCTCTCAACTGATCATTAGTGGCATCAGGCAATTGAACCAAAGATGGCAGAATGCAAGGCAGACAGGCACCTTAACCTGTTCCCTCTTCCCCACTCTCTCTCCCTCCCTCCCTCACTCCCTCCCTCCCCTCTTTCTCCCCCCCATAAAATATTTTTAATTTTTTTAATGATTGAGATTCTTTGACTTAGAATACTTCTAATGACAGATTCTTACACACATGCCCTCACAAGATTTTTTTAAGGGGTTGCAAGGGGCTTTGCTCTTACAGTTTACTGAATCATGGAAGAGCTAAGCTGTGAAGTGAGAGTATAAATTCGAAGGAAGGGAGCAGAAATGCCACTGAGCTGTTGGCGCCCCCAGGAGTGCAGAATGCTCATTCACAAGACTTGGCTCTTGAGCATCTGGAGGGGGAGGGGAGTGGTTCAAACTGGCATTTCCAGCATTGCTTTCCTCATGATTCAGAGGTCGCAGGGCAGCCCATCCCTGTGACGTTCCACCTCACCTCGGGATAATCATGATTGCCATTCGTCTGCCAGCTGTCTGGGGACTGCGGAAGCTTAGGACCGTGAGGGCGTCGGGGCTGTGCGGACAAAGGCCACCAGTCCGGGCGTGCTTGGCATGAGGGGCTGCCCGCTGCAGGCAGCCTCCAGCTGGGCCACTTTGTGCAGGGCTTCCTCTTGGGGGGGCTTCGGCCTGGAACCTGGGGATTCCAGCTCAGACCCGGGATTCCGATTCTTAACAGTTACAGGGAGACACGGAAAGTGCCTGTCCTGCAGGAAGGTCACAGGTGAGGGTCTGTGCAGACAGCTTCCGCCGCTCTCCTGGGTGTCCCAGCCACCCTGGGGAGGACCCTCCGGCGTCCAAGAGGCACAATCCCAGCTCCCAGACTGAGCAGCCGCTGTGTCTTCTTGATGTCGGTGGGCCCTACGGGTGACTTATGTGAAGCGGAGAGGAGAAAGATGGTCACTTTCTCCCCAACCGCCTCTGCCACCCGGGATCCAGGGTTACTGGATTCTTGTCTCGCCGCGCAGAAAGGAATTTCAGGGGTAGACAAGCAGTGAAATAAATAGATTTTATTTGGATGGTTTTTAAGGTATGGAGGGAGAGAGAGGGAGAGAGAGAGAGAGAGAGAGAGAGAGAGAGAGAGAGAGAGAGAGAGAGAGAGAGAGAGAGATATGCACTCAGGAGAGAACGCAGGCTTCTCCAAGGGCGGAGAGAGCCCCTACAGACATACCAGCCTTAGACACAAAAGCATGAAGGTACACATGAGATGTGGCTGACACATGTGATCGGGCACTGCATGTGCTCAGCCACGTGGGTGCAAGCAGCACATGGGCTCGGGCAGCATATGCGCGCCCTTCCTTTGTTCAAGGTGGCCTTTATAGGGTTTCTCCAACCTGCCCCCACGTGGGGCTTCTTCCCAGGTAAAAGTCTGTTGCTAAGGAGGTTACCAGGGAGGTTGGGAGTGTGATGGTCTTCTTTGGGCTGAATCACTAAAGTTAATCAGATTGAGGAAGAGGTCAAGGAAATTCGAGGAATTCTCCTTCATGGGGAGGGGTCCAGTCTCCTCAGGGTCTGCCGCTCAAGGTCTCATCCGTATCCACAAAGTGGATGAGCCTTGGAATTTTCCTCCCAGAACATATATATATATATATATATATATATATATATATATATATTGGTCACACCCGGTGATGCACAGGGGTTACTCCTCCTGGCTCTGCACTCAGGAATTACTCCTGGCGGTGCTCAGGGGACCATATGGGATGCTGAGAATCGAACCCGGGTCAGCCTCATGCAAGGCAAACGCCCTACCCACTGTGCTATCGCTCCAGCCCCACCTCCTCCCAGAACTTTTGCTGACCTGTTTCATTGTCCAGGGCCTTTCCCTGTCTACCTGCCTACAACCCTCTCGGTCCTCGGAGTCTCTGTCAGAGTGCCGAGCGCAAGCAGGGACCCCCCGCACCCCATACAGACTGAGGCCCCCTCATGTGGGGGTGTGGACGGGAAAAGCTTTTCAGGGGGTTTAGCCCAGTGTCACCCTGCGGTCCCTCTGCCCGTCCATCCTGCAGCTGCAGAGCTGCCTGTTAAGTGCTAGTCAGCTTTCCGGCTGCTCCCAGGCCGGCCATAGTCCCCCCTGTGGAGGGAAGGCTGAGTCCAGCACAGCTGGCTAGCGTTCACACGGGGAGACGAGATGGCGATGAAATCAAAAGCAGTGATCAGGGCCTTGCACGCGGCCGACCCGGTTCAGTCCCTGGCACCTCAGATGGTGCCCTGAACCCAGCAGGAGTGATCCCCGGGCACAGCTGGGTATAAGCCACCACCCCCCAAACAAAACAAAACAAAACAAAACAAAAAAGTAACTACTAATAGTGATTTTAGACACAACTGGGCTGTTCCAGACACGTCCGCAATTCTGCCGCCTCGCTTAGATGACGCGTCCAGCCGCAGCCAGGTGCCCTTGGAACTGGGGGTGCGGGGGGCCTTCGAGAGATGCCGTGGGCTATCAGGAAGCGCCCTGGCCGTCAGCTTCCTGAGGTGACTCAGAATGTCATGACTCTGTCTTTCAGATCGACTTTTTCAAGAAGGGAGCCGAGATGTTTTCCCCAAGTCTGGACAGCTTCCTGTCCTCCGTCCCTGGCATGGTGCACAGGTAACGGAGCCCTCCCGCAGGGCTCTCCCCGCGAGCCACGAACCTCCCTGGGAGGAGGGGTGGGTCCCGCCAAGCATCGTCCCTTCAGTGCTCCCGGAGTCTGTGCTCTCGGCCGGCGGTGCTCCAAAACCTCCTGGCTGAGGTTCCCAGCCTGGGGCGTCCAGAGCTCTGGCCTTTAACCCCGCAAGCTGTGGAGGAGCATTTGAGAGCCCCGCAGAGGATGGCCCCGATACATTCAGCTTCCTGTTCTTTGTTTTTGTTTTCTTTTTTAATTTTTTTATTAATGAAACACCATGAGGTACAGTTGTAGACTTACAAATTTTTGTGCTTGGGTTTCAGTTATACAATGATCGAATACCCATCCCTCCACCAGTGTCCATTCTCTACCACCACGGATCCCAGTATCCCTCCCACCCACCATTCCGCCATCCCACCCTGCCCCTGTGACAGGGCTCTCCCCCCTGTTCTTTCTCTCCTTTTGGGTGCCGTGGGTTGCAAAAGAGGCATTGAGTGGCAATCGTGTTCGGTCTAGAGTCATCCTGTTCACTTTTTATCGCCTTCACATTTCATGAGTGCTGAGCCCGTGCGGGCCATATTCCCCCCTGTGGCGGATCTTTTACTGAGTGGGAAGCGCTCTTTGCCGTTTGCTCAGAGAGCTCATTGGGTTCCTAGCAGTCAGCTGCAGAGTTTCTTGCACCTTTTCAGGAAGTTTTAGCACATAGAAAGAGATCGAGAGCGGGCCCCAGAGTCATGGTACAGCAGGGAGGGCGTTTGCCTGGCACACGGCTCGGGTTCGATTCCCAGCATCCCATAATGTCCCCTGAGCCTACCAGGAGTAATTCCTGAGCACTGCTGGGGGTGGCCCGAAAGAGAACAAAAAGAGGTAAAGAGGCATGAGAGCCTCATTTGAATTAATTGGCATCAACTGCTGAGCCACATAGATGCTTATTCGGGAGAACACTGCAGTGGGGGTCAGGGAGACCGCGGCAGCAGCAGACTCCGGGCTCAGCCTGCTGGAGGCCTGGCTCCATCCCCAGCACTCACTTCATCCCCTAGGGTCTGCTGCCAGCCACCCCAGAGCGCAGAACAGCCACCCCTGAGTACTGCTGGTTGTCCCCCACCTCCAACCTCCACCCCCCACCAAAAAAAGGGCGACAAGATCATGTCTCCAGACGTTTCTGTCACCATCACATTTTTGGGCCTGGGGTCGAGGGTTGGTGGAGAAAAGGCGGTGCTAGGATTGAAGTTGAGGCCTGCATTTAAGCCCGTCGAGCTGTCTCCCCCTACACACACATACACACACACACACGCATGTACTCCAGGTGAGGCTGGAGCGATAGCACAGCGGTAGGGCGTTTGCCTTGCATGCAGCCAACATGGCCGACCCGAGTTCGATTCCTCCGCCCCTCTTGGAGAGCCCGGCAAGCTACCGAGTGTATCTTGCCCGCATGGCAGAGCCTGGCAAGCTCCTCGTGACGTATTCGATATGCCAAACACAGTAACAACAAAGTCTCCAATGGAGACGTTGCTGAGCCCGCTCGAGCAAATCGATGATCAACAGGAGGGCCTTTACTTTACTTTACACGCATGTACACGTGTACATGCAGAAACACACATACACGTACATATCCACACATGCACATGCACTCATGTATGCACACCATGCATTTGCACATACAGAAATGCACGTGCACACATCTGCACGCATCTGCACGCACGCACACATGCAGAAACTCATGCACATACATGCACACACACGTATGCGCACATGCAGAAACACACACACACACCCATACCCACACACACATATACACGCGCGCGTTCCATGGTGCAGCTGCCCTGAATGTCTCAGCCCCTTGACATGGCCCAGAAGGACCCCCAGGCTCCTGCAGCACCAGGCTCCTCGAAGTGTCTGCAGAAACGTGCCCGGGGAGCTTCCCGTGATCTCATCTCTTGGGAGAGTTGATAACCCAAAACGTACAAGATGGGAACGGGTGTCTGAAGGTTTTTATTTTGTGTGGGAAAGTGAAAAGGAAGCCAGCTGCCTTGAGAACCATTGCGTTGGGAGAACTAGGCAGCAGGACTTAACTCAGGCAGAAGCCAGCCCCCAAGTGTTCGGAAAACAGAGGCTCAATCCCAGGCGGAGCCAGTGGCTAGAGGGGAAATTCCAAGTGCATTGTGGAATGGATGCAAGCCTGAGGGGCAAGACTGCCCGCGCCCGCTGGACGCACCACACTGCTCTCTGAAAGCTCTTTTTTTTTTTTAAATTTTTATTAGTGAAACACTGGGCTGGAGTGATAGCACAGCAGTAGTGCGTTTGCCTTGCGCACAGCTAGCCCGGCCGAGCCGGGTTCAATTCTTCCACCCCTCTCGGAGAGCCTGGCAAGCTACCGAGAGTACCTCGCCCGCACGCCAAAGCCTGGCAAGTTCCCCGTGACGTATTCGACATGCCAAACACAGTAACAAGTCTCACGATGGAGACGTTACTGGGGCCTGTTCGAGCAAATCGATGAACAACAGGAGGACAGTGACAGTGACAGTGAAACATCATGAGATACGTTTGTAGACTTACAAATTTTTGTGCTTGGGTTTCAGTTATACAATGATCAAATACCCATCCCTCCACCAGTGCCCATTCTCCACCACCACTGATCCCACTGCAGCTGTTAGAAAAAATGAAGTCATGAAATTTATATACAAGTGGTACTACATGGAAAGTCCCTGAGCTCTTTCCCCCGCTCACCAGCAGCTTCAGTGGCGAGCTCTGTGGAAAGCAGTTGGGGAAATTGCATTTCAGCGTCTTGCCTTTTCATTACAGTGTTAGCCCTGGGGATGTTAGGGGAAAGTACCAGGCGCTGGTTAAACTGTCAAAGCAATATCCTTCCTCCCTTATCCTGCCAGATTCCTTTCTCAGGCAGCTTTAGATCTAAGCCCCCGCAACGCGCTTTGTTTCTGGGCAAACTGTTTTTCACTTCTTTTTCAACCCTCTCCTCCCCCCCCACCCCCCACAACTGAGATTTTTTTTTTTATTTCTGGGCAGCAGCGCCTCTGTGCCCATGTCTGAGACACGGTGGTGAGTGCCTGGAGCTTCTATTCCTCCTCCTTGTCGGCAGCTCTGTGCCTCGGTGCCAGGCCAGCCAGAGTGCAGCTCCAGCCAGTGTCACGGGTACTGGGTAGGCACGGCTGGAAAGTCCCCCAACTCAGGAGAGCCAGGCTCCCCGGGACTGCATCCCTATATGGGGCTTCTACCTAGGTAATAGCCTCTTGCTAGGGTGGTTGCCGAGGGGGTTAAGTTGGGAGAGGTGGATGGTCTTCTTTGAAATTCCTGATCTTATGTTCCTGCTGGAGCTTCTCTGGGTCTGTTGCTGGCACCAGGTGAGAGTCTAACCAGGCCTTAGTTCCTGCGTTTGCAGCTTTGGCCCTATTGGTTTTATTATTTCCTAGGAGTTCCATTGCCGGGGGGGCGGGGGGGGGGCCCTTCCCTGTCTACCTGTCCACATCACTACTACTTGGGCCCCCTTCTCCCTTTTCTTGTTTCTTCTATGCAGGCAGCATGATTGACAGCAGTGCTAGCGTGACTGAAAGCAGCGTCAGTGTGATTGACAGCGGTGTTTGTTAGCATGATTGACAGCATCAGCATGGTTGACAGCAGTACTAGCATGATTGACAGCAGCGTTAGCGTGATTGACAGCACTGCTAGCATATTAACAGGTGTCAGCATGGTTTACAGCAGCTTTAACATTATTGAGAGCAGTGCTAGCATGACTGACAAGTATCAGCATGATTGACAAGTGTTAACATGATTGATAGCAGTGTTCGCAAGATTGACGGCAGCATCTGCATGATTGACAGCATCAGCATGATTGTCAGCAGTGTTCACAAGATGGACAGCAGCGCCAGCATGATTGACAGCAGTGCTAGCATGAATGACAGCAGAATTTGCGTGATTGACAGTAGCATTGACGTGCTTGACAGCAGTGTTCATAAGATTGACAGCAGTGTTGGCATGATTGATGGCATTGGCATGATTGACAGCATCAGCATGATTGACAGCAGTGCTAGCATGAGTCACAACCGCGTTCGTAAGATTGACAGCAGTGTTTGCAAGATTGACAGCAGCATTGGCATGATTGATAGCAGTGCTAACATGATAGCAGTGTCAGCTGATTGACAGCAATGTTAGCATTTCACATTCACATGAACAGCGTGGACAGTGTCTCTATCCCCTTCCCCTCAGGGTGCTGTTGTCCCCACCGGGCTCCGAGGCCCCTGCTCTCAGTCCTATGGGCTTGCTGGTGGCTGCCCATATATGTGTGTATATGTCCGTACACACGGGCAGATTCGTGCACTCATGTCCTCAGCGTGCTCTTCAGAGGTCTCCAGAAAACGCTTGGAAACAGCTGCCCTCCTTCCTGGGGGAGGGGCCCCCTGCATGCAGAAGGAGCCCAACTTCCGAGCCGCCTCTTCCTCCCTTGCCCCATGAGTTCCTGAGGTGTTGCACCCAACTGCCCAGGTGGAGAGGGGTAGTGACTGCTCAGTACTGTCCCCTGACGTGGTCAGTGCATGTGCACATTTCCGGGGGAGGCAGCCTGAAGCTGCACAGCCCTGAGTGCAGTGGTCTTTGGACGCCCTCCCTGCGCCTTCTGCACTGCTCAGTGTGAAAGACCCTCCCTCCCCGCTTCCCTTCTGTGTGTGTTGTTGCTGCAGTGTGCAGAGGTCACACACGTGTGTCACATCTGCATCCCAGCTGCAGGGCCAGTGGCTGTGCTCGGCAGTGTGGACTGGTGCCGTGGTCCATCCCTCAGTCTCACATCAGCAAGGCAGGGCCCACCACTGAGCCTCATCCCCGGCCCCACTGCTTAGCCTATTTGTGTGTCTGTGTGTGGTACCTGGGGGTGTCTGTGTGTCTGTGTGTGTGTCTATGTGCCTGGGTATGTGTATACCTGGGAGTGTGTCTGTGTATATGTCTGTGTGTGTGTCTATGTGTGTTTGTGCCTTGTGTCTGTGTGTGTCTGTATCTGTGTATATCTGTGCTTGTATCTGTATGTGTCCATATGTCTGTATGTGTCTGTGTGTCTTTGTGTCTATGTGTGTATCTGTGTTTGTGTCTATGTGTGTGGTGCCAGGGCTCTACCGAGCCACATCCCTGGCCCCGCCTGCTTCTCACTGTTCCCTTTGGTCCATTCTTTCCATGTTGGCAGTGACCCAGCGGACAGGCAAGTCAGCTTTATTCTCCTACTTGTGGTTCTGAAGCCCCCAGTGGCCGTGGGGGCCCCATTGTGGCAACGACATGACACACCAGTAGGGCGGAGTGGACTAGGCTGGCTGCTCACATGAGCCATATTAAACAAAGCCAGGTTCTGAGTCACGTGCTGTGAAGGAAACAGAGCACTGTGGGCGGACAGACCCTCACTGCAGAGCTCAGGGGCGAGAACTGGGACCCTCCCTGGGGAGGCACGGGGTCGGCTGCCTTGAGCATCTCTTCTGATGTTGAAGGGCGGAGTCTCCCCTCCTGGAACATGCTGACTTGGGGTGTGCATCCGCACAAGGTCCTAGCCAGGTACCTACCTGCTAACACGTGGACAGTGTGGACAGCCGGGGGTGGGGGGGGCGCATGGACGTCCAGGGCTGCTGCTTCCATATGTCCTGCAGGCTAGGGTCGCTGTGAGCTCAGGGCTTCTACACCGCCGGGGAGGAAGCAGATCTGAGCCTCTGACCTAGGAGTTAGCCACTCCCTCTGCTGGAGGTTCTGTCGGGGTCCGACCTGCCCACCTCTCCTCTCCCAAGCATCCAGATGGAGCTGGACGCCGAGGCAGAGAAGATGATGGTGTCGCAGCAGGAATTCCTGTCCGTGGAGGATTCCGCGTACATGCCCGACGCAGATGTATCTGCACCCCAGATCAACAGGAACCTCATCCAGAAGGCGGGGTACCTGAATCTCAGGAAGTGAGTGTGCCAGGGCGGCCACCCCATCCATGGGGGCAGGGGGAATGCGTCAGCCGCCAACCCCTACTGTGGGGAGACTGAGGCACGGTTTCCCTCCCTGCTGCACTGAGATGGGCTGGAGCTGGGGAAGGGAGACCCTTACCCCACTCACCGGGACCCCAAATCTAGCTGACTCTCCTCGCTCCCCACTCCCTGGCATCCCCCAGCCGGCCAAAGGCGTGGGCTGCGGGAAGGGCACCTTTCTGAGGCGTCCGTATGCTCCCTGTTCTCCTCAAGCGCTGCCAGAAAGGCCTCAGACTCAGGGCACATTTGAGTTCGAATTAATTCTGGACTTTGCCCATTCGGAAACCCTTGACCAAGCTGCTTTGGTGTTTTGTTTTGCAAGCCCCGCCCTCCCATCTTCAGTCTATAGGGCCTAGACCAGTGCGAAAGTTTCCAATCCCTTCCAGGGGGCTGGAGCAATGGTGCAGCGGGGAGGGCATTTGCTTTGCACACGGCCGACCTGGGTTCGATCCCAGGCATCCCGTAGGGTCCCTCCCCCGTGGCCTCCTTGGAATGTGCTGGGGGCCTGTCAGGGGCCTTGCGGTCCCTGAGCGAGAGATGCTTGTCCCGGTTTCTCATGCTTGAGCTGCTCTGAGTGGTCGAGGGACTGTCGGGGATGCCAGGCATGCCACAGGGGCCAGCTGCGTGCACAGCCAGCGCCCCGCCCGCCCGCCCGCTGTGCTGTCGCTCAGGGCCCAGACTCCCCATCTCGGACCCGCCCACAGAAAGGCCGCAGGCAGGGCCAGGCAACCGCCCAGATGGACCCCCATCTCAACGGGCACTTCCGATTCTTGCAGCAAGACGGGACTGGTGAGCACCAGCTGGGAACGGCTGTACTTCTTCACACAAGGCGGGAACCTCATGTGCCAGCCGCGGGGCGCCGTGGCCGGGGGCCTGATCCAGGACCTGGACAACTGCTCGGTGATGGCGGTGGACTGCGAGGACCGGCGCTACTGCTTCCAGATCAGCACGCCCAGTGGGAAGCCGTACGTCACCCCGCGCGTGCCAGTCCTCGTCTGGGGACACGGCTGGCCCTGCAGCATGTGCAGGGGACTGTGGTCCTGGGGAGGGTATTTGAGAGGCTGGTCAGCTCAGGGCTCCCAGCAAAGGCCAAGGCTGGGCCCCTCTGGGCCTCCCTCCGTGTGTGTGTGTGTGTGTGTGTGTGTGTGTGAGGGGCCGGGGAAGGCGAGCAGGAGAGAGAGGGGTGAGGAGGTGCCACAGTCCTGCCTGAGAACTCGTCTCCTGAGACGAGTGACCAGTGCCATCTGCAGCAGCAGATACCCTCCCGAGGGTGTCAGTCTTGAGACCCAGCAGCTGTGACCGCAGGCCAGGCGGCCTTCCCAGTGGCGGCATCCCCACTCTGTGAGGCTGCTCCAGGGGCCCCCTGACACGCCCCCGATGGGTCTGGAGTTGGGGGTCTCCAGGCTTCTCTCGCTGCTCTCGTATCACTTTCCAGGTTGGGGTCCAAAGCGGAGATTTCTTTTGAGTATTAGCATCTTCGGGACAGGCCGGGGGATGTAGGCCCAGGAGGTGGGCAATGTCCCCTGGGCTATAGTTAGTTTGTTGGGGGAGGGGAAAGGCCACACCTGGCGATGCTCAGGGTTACTCCTGGCATTGTTCTGGGGACCATATGGGAGGCCAGGGATGGAACCCAGGTGGGCCGCGTGCAGGACGAATGTACTACCCACTGTGCTACTGCTTCACCCCTGGGGTTTTTTTTTTTTTTGGGTCATACCCGGTGATGCACAGGAGTTACTCCTGGTTCATGCACTCAGGAATTACTCCTGGTGGTGCTCGGGGGACCATCTGGGATGCTGGGAATCGAACCTAGGTCGGCTGCATGCAAGGCAAACGCCCTACCTGCTGTGCTGTTGCTCCAGCCCCAGGTTTTTTTTTGTTTGTTTGTTTTTTTAGGTTTTTTTTTGTTTGTTTTGGAGCCACAGGCTGCAGTACTCTGGGCTCACTCCTGCCTCTGTACTCAGGGGTCACTCCTGTTGGGGCCCAGGGGACCATATGGGAAGCGGAGAATCGAACCCAGTCAGTGGTTTGTATTTCAACACCAGCTGCCCGCCCCTGGGTGACAGGAAGAGACCCGGAAGCTCTGTGGCTGCTCCCATTCTGTCTCTACAGAGACAGCCCAGGGACGTGCTCACTAGGGGGGAAAGGGGGTCACAGAGATCCCCACAGGGTGGGAGGGTCCCAGCCCTCCACATGCAGGCACCAGGTTTGCGGGAAGTGGGAGAGACGGGCGCTTGGTGCTCAGACCTCGAAAAGGGGCCGGACGCTTACCCGGGGGCTCTGTGTTCCAGGGGCATCATCCTCCAGGCCGAAAGCAAGAAAGAGAACGAAGAGGTAGGGACCCCCTTTGACTCACGCCTGTCCTTTCCTCCCTGAGCGGAGCGGCGGGGGGCTCTGGGAGTGAGCTGGGTCTCCTGTCCTCCACAGTGGATCTGCGCCATCAACAACATCTCCAGACAGATCTACCTGACCGACAACCCTGAGGTACCTGAGGGTGGCCCTGGGTACCTGCCCACCCCGATGCTGCTCACCCCTGCCTGGCCCCAGGCCTGAGCCGTCTCCCTGGCGTTTGCAGGCTGTCGCCATCAGGCTGAATCAGACGGCCCTCCAGGCGGTCACTCCCATCACCAGTTTGGAGAAAAAGCAAGAAGGCCTATGCCCCAGGTAAGCCCAGGGCAAAGGGGAACTCCCTCTCTTGACGCTTTGCTGTTTTTGGTGTTTGGAGAGGGGCGGGGGTGGAGATGTCAGGTGCCACAACACCTCTGGGGCAGTTCTGCCTCTGTCTGCGGCTCAGGTGTGGCCCCCAGCCCTGCTCTCGGGGGGCCATTTGTGGCGCTGGGGATCACATCAAGGTCTGCCGCCTGCAAGGTGCGCGCCTTCCCCGCTGTCCCGTTTCCCCCACCCCCCCATCCCCAACCCTGACAGGTCAGGTCCTCTCGAAACCCCCCGCAAGCTGGCCCTGCAGCAGCAGCCGAGGCCAGGACGGGGACTGTCCTCCCAGGTTCCTCCCCCACCGGGGGCAGAGCTGGATTCCGACCCGGCTCCTGTCTCCACTGCCTCCTCGGGCCCAGGCAGATGGGCACTCCTGCACTCCGCGCCAGGTGCAGAACCAGAGCCAGCGCCAACAGAGACCCAGAGTCCCTCTCAGTAGGGCCCTCGTGTGTCCAGCCATTCCTGTGCCTGTGTTTCCCAGACTTCTTGTCTCCTATGCCCGGCCCTGCACCCGAGCTCATCCTCGTCGGCGCTCCCAGTGGGTTTGGCCATGTCTTGTTTGCTCGTGGCTGCGTGCTGGAAGCATGTGTGGAGCTTTTCTGTTTGAGTCTTCCAGTAGAATTTTTTTCTTTATTTTTTTTTTCTGGGGGGAAGAATGGGGGCATTGGGCCACACATGGCAGTGCTCAGGGTTTACTCTGGGCCCTGTGCTCAGGAATCACTCCTGGTGGGGCTCGGGGAACTATCCGTCATGCTGGGGATGGAACCCCAGTTGGCCACGAGCAAGGGGCAGCACCCTAGAGGTTGCTCCTTTCTCCCACAGAGAGCTCCCGTTGGAGAAATACCCGAGGGCTGCTGTTATTTGTCATGTGATGAAGTGTACCACTGAAGGGTGGATGGCAGTCGTGACAGCGCCAAATGTTCATCTCTCCGTGGGCTGCTAGGAGGAGCCCCGTCAACTAGCGGACAGACGTCAGCTAACGAGCCCCGAGAGAGATGAGCATTTGGCTCCACACGCCTCCAGTGGGCAGGTGGGAAGGGGCAGTGGAAGACAGTGCCGAAGAAGAGGTCCGAGAGGGGCAGGCTGGCTGGCAGAGCCTGGGGACCAGCAGGGATTCTGACCCACGTTCCAAAGCTTTAGTTTTCAGAGAGGGTTTGAAATCTTCCCCCCCCCCACTCGTAAGCCCAATCAATCCCTATACGGCCGATGGTAAAGGCATCGAGTTGAGTTACCGCCCGCCCCTCCCCCACCCCCTCCGCATTTTTATATTCCAGCCAGACCCCAAAGCATTCCGAGGTGAGCAATGACAAGAAGGTTCCCCAGGCCGCAGCCAGCGTGCCTGAAACTGAACAGCTGATTGCCCCCGGGACCCCCATTCAGTTCGACATCGTACTCCCTGCCACGGAGTTCCTGGACCAGAACCGTGGGAGCAGGTATGGCATCAGCGTGGCCACCCCTGGAGCTGGCTCTTGTCTCCCTGCCCCGGGCCGGGCCTCGGGGAGTTTCCTTTGAGCTGAAGATGCTTGTCCTGATCCGTTGACTCTCGCTGTTCCCCCAGACGCACCAACCCTTTCGGGGAGACGGAGGACGACACGTTCCCCGAGGCCGAAGGTGAGCGCAGGGTCTGGCGGCCAGTTAGCCACAGCCGCCCACCCTTGCAGCATCCTCGCCAGACCTGCATCTGGCCACTTGGGGATGGGTGCCCCTGTACAGAGCAGCAGCATCTCACCCTGGGATACTTTGGGATGACAGGAAGCCAAGGATGACATAGAATACAAGGCGGTTCCAGCCTGAACTTCTGCCGTTCGACTCCTGGTCTCATGCCATCCTAGGAAAATGATGAGAAGAGCCAAACCTGCTGTTCCAGGGGGTGCATCACTCAGGACGAGGGTGGTCTGGCCCGTGAGGAGTGGAGGGCACAAGCCCAGGCAACACTTCCGGTCAGCAGGAGGCACGGGCACTGACTGGGTCTAAAGCAGGGCTAGATGGACCATAGGATAGCATGGAGGGCATTTGCCCCACACGTGACTGACCTGGGTTGGATTCCCCAGCATCTCAGATGAGCACCACCAGGAGTAATTTCTGAATACAGGAATTAACCCCTGAGCATCATCGGGTGTGGCTCAAAAGAAAAAAAAATAGGGCTTGGAAGTTGGACTTTACAGCTTTAGGGGAGAAAATTCCGAGCCTCAGAGCAGCCTCTGCTCTTGTTCTGTCTGGCTGACCTTTCCTTGCATCCACACTCGAGACAGCTTGCACGAAACACTTGCAAACTCGTGAGAAGAAGCCATCCTCACGAGAGCAGCTGTAACAGTCTGTTGGTTGTATTTTCATAAAAATTGTATTTTTTAGGGGCTGGAGCGATAGCATAGCAGGTAGGGCATCTGCCTTGCAGGCAACCGACCCGGGTTCGATATCCAGTATCCCATATGGTCCCCTGAGCACCGCCAGGAGTAATTCCTGAGTGCAGAACCAGGAGTAACCCCTGTGCATCACCAGGTGTGACCCAAAAAGCCATTTTTTAAAAAAAAAATCTTGAGGTTTTTTTTTTTTAAGGGAAATTGTACTGAGAGGGCAAGAGAGGATAAAATAGGCATCTTGATTTGTAAGTAACTCAGGGAAAAAGGGGAGCATCTTGGACACCTTGTTTATGGCTTTGCCCTTCTGGTGGGGCTGCTGGTTCCGTTCTCCCCGGGCCTGTGCCCTCTCTCCCCCAAGCAGCCAAAATCAGGGCTGGGAAGACAGAGCTAAGGGCTGGCGCCAGGGCCCCAAGTTCAGCCTCAGGCACCGCGCAGTCCTCCTCCCCACCCCAGCACTGCAGGGGTGAGTGTCGCGAGAAGGGGCTGCAGGGCCCCAGGCACAGTGGAGAGGCCCTTGCCCACTCCAGGTCCACAGTGGCAGGTCATCAGCACCAAATAAGCCAATTCCTGGATGCTGAGGGCTCCCGCAGTGCGCTGAATCAGCTCTTTCCTCTGTGCACGGACTCATCAGCTGACCAGAGTCGGTCGGCTCAGGGTCCCGTACCGTCCCCCAGTGTGGCCTGTCAGAACTGCAGCGCGAGAAGGTTTGTCTGGTTCCCACCTCTTCCTTGTAGGCCAAGGGCCGCCTTGCTGCTACTGTAAGGCCAGTCAGACAAAACGGAGACCATCGGCGATCACAGCTCTGGCATCTTGAGGCTGATGGAAGCAGAGCTGTGAGGAATCTAGGTAGATTAGCCACAGCCAAGAGGTTAAGCCTGAGGCCTCCAGGCTGGTCACGAGCCAACAGCCGGGACGGCAAGAATGTAGCCCTGAACCGGAAACGCTCTCTTGCAGATTCGCTCTTGCAGCAGATGTTCATAGTCCGGTTTTTGGGATCGATGGAAGTTAAAACGGACAACACGACGGAAGTGATTTACGAAGCCATGCGACAGGTGTTGGCGGCTCGGGCTATTCACAACATCTTCCGGATGACAGAATCCCACATGATGGTCACCAGTCAGACACTGAGGTACCTACCACGGCTTTAGCCTTTCTCACAGCTCTCACCTGAGGCCCCCGTTCAGGGACATTCACGCTCAGACGACAGGGCTTGGTTCACGAGACTGATCAGCCGCCAAATTTCTGAATAAACACCCCCAATACGTACAGTAAAAGGTAAAAGGTAAATCGTTGATCGTCGATTTGCTCGAGCGGGCCCAGTAACGTCTCCATTGGAGACTTTGTTGTTACTGTGTCTGGCATATCGAATACTCTCGGTAGCTTGCCGGGCTCTCCGAGAGGGGTGGAGGAATCGAACTAGGGTCGGCCATGTTGGCCACTTGTAAGGCCAACGCCCTACCCGCTGACACTTCCTTTTTTTCCCACTCAGGGTTTCCCACTCACCCCCCACAGCACATCTTTGGGAAAAGGGAGGAAAACTAGATACCCAGAGAAAAATCTATAGACATAAGGAAAATGAGCCAATGACACAGAGCAACTGCTAGGCATGTTCCCCCCCGCATCATTATAACAAAATAGCACTATAGCACTGTCCTTCCGTTGTTCATCTATTTGCTCGAGTGGGCACCAGTAACGTCTCCATTGTGAGACTTGCTGTTACTGTTTTTGACATATCGAAAACACCACAGGGAGCTTGCCAGGCTCTGCCGTAAAGGTGGGATACTCTTGGTAGCTTGATACTCTCCAAGAGGGATGGAGGAATCAAACCCGGGTCGGTCGCGTACAAGGCAAACGCCCTACCAGCTGTGCTGTTGCATCATCATTAAAACATCATTAAAACAAAATAATATTGGAAAAAACATTATTCAATGAGAAAATTATTGTAATAGCCAAAAGATGGAAAACAACCCGAATGTCCAAACCATTAATAAAGGACTGTGACAGTGGAAGAATAATATTGAGTCTTAAAAAAGAAAGCTAAAACATGAACCTTGCGAAGGAGGGGGGAAAAGACTCAAAAAGTCACATTATATGATCATTTATATGAAATTTCTACAATAAGCAACTCCAGAGAGACGAAAAAGCAGTTCAGCGAGGGTCAGAAACTAAGAGGAGGACTAGGAAGTGAATATAGGTAGAGAGTTCCCTTTATGAGGTCACTGCAAATGTACCAGATGTCAACTTGATGTTTGATATTTTAACCACAGTAAGCACCACACCCTGTACCTCAATCCCAGATTCTGAAACAGAGAAGTCATACCAAAACTCAGGTCTCAACAGCAGGATCAGATTACTTAACAGAGAGAGATTTAAAGTTACTTACAAAAGATGTAAGTAACTTTAAATTACTTAAAATTTATTTTCATTACTAGAAAATCGATAAAATATCTAAGTGAAAGACAGTAGGGGCCAGATAGTACAGTGAGTAGGGCATTTGTCTTGCAAGAGGCTACCTCGGCTTCGATCCCGGGCACCCCTGAACATTGGTCACCTAAACATTGCCAGGAATAAGCCCTGAGCACAAAGCCAGGAGTAAGCCTTGAGCACTACCGGGTGTGCCCCCAAAACAATAACAAAACTAGGTAATCTTAACTTCAGGGAAATTGTTTACAGTATATATTTTAAAATGATCAAATTCATATCCACAAGTATATAAAAGTAACTGTTCTGTAGTTCACTTGAAATTTCATAGTTTTTTAGCCAACTCGTTGGGGATCCTCATCCCGGTTTTCCAGATGAAGGAACTGTGAGGATTCAGTCCTGAGCCCCCATTTTGGACCCCATGCCTTGCTAGTATCTCAGCTTGTAGCCTCACACACACCACACCTCACCCATTCACATTCCTGTGTTCCGTGTTTCAGAGCTGGGTAGCTTCACCACGATTCTAGAACGTTATCGTCACCCCTCAAAGAAACTCCATCCCCACTAGTGGTCACTCCCTTCCCAAGTCACCTAACCTGAGGCACACACTTGCCACCAATCTGGTTGCTTCTTTGTCTGCCTACTCTAGACATTTCAAGGAAGCAGAGAGCTCTAGCGAGCTCTTCCAAAGAGAAAGCTCTTGCATTCACCTATAAAACTTAGAGCAGATCAGTATAGCTTTAAAGTCATTTGTTTAAGAAATATTAACGTGCTATTAATTTGCATCTCAACTGCGGTTTATTTTCCCAGACATTTTAACCTGGATGTTTACAGTGTTAAGGAATATATAAGATAGTACAGCAGGTAGTACTAGCCTTGCACATGACCAACCTAGGCACACATACGGTTCCCCAAGCACATATGCCCGGCACACATATGGTCCCCTGAGGCCTCTCAGAAGTGATCCCTGAATGCAAAACCGGAAGGAAGCGCTGAGCACCACCAGGTGTGGCTGAAAAACATGAAACAAAACATCACAGCCAGTAACAACAACAAAAATACTATTCTCTCACCTCCCATTAAAAAAAAAAAAAGAAGAATCAGTTAATTCAAAGGAAAGACAGTAAATAGTGAGGAAGCTGTATAGGATACTATCGGTCCATCTGGATTGTATATTATTGAATAATCCATTCTTAAATAACCACCATCTACAAAATTTATTCTGTCTTCACCCTGTCCTTCCGTTCAAGGTGCACCAAGTTTCAGCACACTTAGGAGGTGGGGGGTGGGGCGGGGGGGGGGCAGGTGTTCTTTTCTGTGGAGGATCACCCCCAGGCCACCAGGTTTCATGTTTAGAGGGTGATTTCAAGTCGGAACACTGTCACACTCTTCTAAGAAGAGATGTATCCAATGCTTGTGATATAACGAGAATCTCTTAAAATTTCAGGTTGATAGATCCACAGACTCAGGTGACAAGAGCCAATGTGAGTACCTCGTGCTGTTTCACTGATTGCTCCTTTGCTCCCCTCCTAACTGCCTCACGCGTGGAGTTGGCACTAGGTGACTCCCGTCGGCCAAATCAAATGTCACTTCCTATACGCTTCCACAACTTTCTCCCAGGCAGTGCATGACCTTGTGTCCATGAGTTCACTACCTGTAACATTCAGTCTCATCCTGTTTTTTTTTTTTTTTCCAGTTTGAACTGACCAGTGTCACCCAGTTTGCTGCTCATCAAGAAAACAAGAGACTGGTTGGTTTCGTAGTCCGCATGCCAGAATCCACGGGTGGCGCATCTCTGAGCACTTACGTCTTTGAAAGCAACTCAGAAGGCGAAAAGGTCTTTTATTTTCTTTTAAGATTTTATAGTGTTTTGGTTCAGATGAGTCTTGTTTTTTGTGTTTATTTTTTGGTTCAGAGGCCACCCACACCCAGCAGCGGTGCTCAGGGCTGACTCCTGGCTCTACATTCAGGAATCATTCCAGGCCGGGCTCTGTGGATGGAGGGTGCCAGAGATCAACCCCCAGTCGACTGCGTGTTAAGGAAGTGCCCTAACCCACACTGCTATGAGTCTGTTTAAAAGTTTTTTTTTCTTTAAAAAATTTTTTTGTATATAGTTGATAATTCTGAACATCCTTGACAAGGGATTCAGAGTTGGCTTCTCTTAGGCCTGGGCTGACACTCAAGTGTTAGGCTCTGGGGTTTCTGGGTTTACAGATTCCCAGTAATCTGTGGCCCCCACAAGTAAAAACTGTGATATGATAATAAACGTATTCCTGGAAGACCCTAGTAAAATAAACTGGAATATAATTATCCCATGTGCACATGTGCTCAAACCCTCAGCCTCAGACTTTCAAGGCGTGTCCACTACTACCGAGCCCCTTCCATGGCCCAAGAAGAATTTTAACGATATACTTATTCAGTAGAGATAGCAGGGAATGTCAAAAGCAACTCCCCTTCATTTTTAAAAATTAAAGCAAAGGGGGCTGGAGCAATAGCACAGCAGGTAGGGCGTTTGCCTTGCACGCAGCCAACATGGCCGACCCAGGTTCTATTCCCAGCATCCCATATGGTCCCCCGAGCACCGCCAGGAGTAATTCCTGAGTGCATGAGCCAGGAGTAACCCCTGAGCATTGCCGGGTGTGACCCAAAAAGCAAAAAAAAAAAAAAATTAAAGCAAAAATTAACAGAGGAGAAAATGTAGTCTGAGAGTCTAGACATTTTAAAAAGAAAAATACTTAGAATTAATCGAAAGTCATCAACTTTTATTTCAGCAAGTATTTGTACGCCGCAGTGTGTAAGAACATGGTCAGGCTAACCATATGGTTAAAGAAGGAAACAGGTGCTACACATTTAAACACTGAAATCACCAGTTTTCACTTACCTGGATATTCCTATATGACACAAAGTGGCACCAGGAGGCCAGGCCAGGGGCTGCTGAGCTTCGGACCCCTCTGTGATGTGCCCGTGTCAGGGCCTCTGTCTTCATGCAGATGTGAGCAGTGATCCCACTCACTTCCATCACTCACTGTCCTCCCTAAAAGCCCTGGACCTTTGTTTGCTGCCTGTGACAAAAACCACTTTTCTTGTCTTTTGCAGATCTGCTATGCAATCAATTTGGGAAAAGAAATTATCGAGGTGCAGAAGGTAAGGGGTATTTTGGTGCTGGTTTAACAACTACTCAAAGGACACTCACGCCCGTGCTAAGCTTGCTCCTAGAAAAAGTGCATTCTAATGGCCCGTTGAAGCATCCTAACCACCACGGTGACCGTCACGGTCGCTGCTAACCCTCGGTCTTCACAGCTGCCTCGGCTCTTACTTCCCGTTACCAACGTGTACTTGCTGCTGGCTAGAACTACTCTGTGACATTAAGATAAAGCGTCTAGCACTTGCTAAGGCCTTTGCTCCTCAGAACAGAAATGGGCCATCAGGACTAACTCTTGAGACTCCTTGCTTCTCAGCAGCTTCCAAACTGTCCTTTCCCCAACACTGTTGAGACGCCGAGTCTGTGTAAGGAAAGCCCTGGGGTCCCTCCCCGGGGGCCTTGAGGCTCCATCCCGTTCGCAGACTGGCTGGGGCCTGCAAGTACAGTGAGGGTCCTGGTCTGTGACCTTGGCCATCAGGGCGGGGCCTGCATACCCGGATGCAGGACAGGTGCCAGCCAGCTGGTATTCAAGCAGCTGACAAACGCTGATCCAAATGATCTCCACTGCCACTGCTTGGTCTGTCCGCTGAATGTCACTGGAGTGACACAGGGCCCGGACTTTATTATTATTATTTTTTTTTAATTTGGAGTTAAAATCTACATAGTTATATTGAGTCATAGGTGATCTGCTGAGGAGGGCAGGAGGGTCAGGAGCTGAGACCCGAGTATAGAAACTAGGCTGAAAAAAGGACCAGGTATGAGCCCCTCAGGTTTACTGTGTCTCTGGCCAACTGTTCCACTCGGCTGTTGGAACAAAACTGTCCCAGTTATCCAAGTGAGCGGACACAGATTTATCTGCAGAACCTGAGTGGCCAGCCATATGGTTTAGTCTATCCGGGAATAGACTGAGAGGAAATAAAAGGCCTCGAAGATCGAGAAGACAGAGTTCTTGGGAAGAGACTCCTGCGGCCTCTGGTCTGGAAAGATGGCACTTTTGACATGTCAGTATATGACCTGGCCGAAGGGGGAAGCTGAGCCGGGATTCTAGAGCAGTGGCGAATCGAGTTTCCCCAGGAAGCGCGGAACCCAGAGCGGAACCCTAGACCAGAGAGGCGGGTGGAGGCTGGATGACAGAACGCAGGGTAAGCCAGGCCAGAGGGCTTCTTAAGTGCATTTTAAGCTCTTTTCTTTCCTTCTCAAACTCCCGTTAACTTCAGGATCCAGAAGCACTGGCCCAGTTAATGCTCTCCGTGCCACTAACCAATGACGGAAAATATGTACTGTTAAACGATCAAGCAGAGGACAATGACGGAAGTCCGAGTGAGAATAGAGGCGCAGAATCTGAAGCCTAAACTCTCTGGCGCCACTGGGGGAAGAGCACCCAGGAGGGCGAGCCGCCTCCTTACGGGTTTCCAACTTCTCTGACACACAGGCCCACACCCTGCCCTCCGACTGCTGACAGTCGCTTGTGGAATATACTGCTCCATTCCTCCACACTGACCCTTGGGAGGGAGAGTCAGAAACGGCTGACAGCACCCCTCCCCAGCTCCAATGTTATTTTAGGTGCTTTGTTGGTAAGTCCTTGTCTGAGACCGCACCATTCCGTGCTCAGGATGCAACTGATCATGAGAAACAAACAAACAAAATGCATTGTTCACTTTATTGGGATGTTCTTCTCTCCTCCCAGCACCCATCAGCCTTTTGCAAAAATGACAGAAGCCTAGATTTGTAATCAGATAAAAACACTAAATATTTCCTATTAATATAATCTATTTTTGTATTTTTTACCTAATGAGCTTTAAGTGCCTGTCGTTCTGGAAACTATTTATACTCGAACGTGTCTCCTAATTGGACCTAACAAGCATGCTATTAACGTGTGCAGTCTGGGAGCAAGCCTTGCGCAGAGGCCCAGATGTTCTAGTTTGCATGGTGGTTCCAGACATCACGCAATAAAAAGACTTAGCAGATGAGTACCCCAGTGGGCGTGTAACTCTGCGCGGGCGCCCCAACGAACCAGCACGCAGCGCACGGGCCTCTTAGATATTAACTATTCTCTGTGGTGAATCGTGATGTACAACTGGGTGCAGCTCTGTCAGTTCCTGTTTCTTCTGAGCCAGAATCTCCTGGAGGAAGGGACCAATGAACTTCAAAACATACCCAAAGCACAGCTGGTCGTGGGGCTTGGTACAGAGTTCTTCCAAGCCCACCATTACACATCCCACCCGCTCCTATGAACCAAGTATAATGAGCTTGAATTGGTACCGTGTGTTTAATTATAACCATGTTAGACAGAGTATCATTGTCTTTGTAATAAATTAACCTAGCAACCAATGCTAGCAAATAAAAACTATAACTATTTCTTTTGGGTTTTTTTTGGTGGTTATTTTCTAGAATATCCCTGGAAGACAACTAAAGCCAGTTCTGTAGCTTTTAACAAAAACAATACAAATAGGATATACTCCCCCAAAGCAAACAAAAAACCCAAAAAAAACTTCTGGGCCAGGGCCCTCCCGTTTATCATCGATTTGCTCAAGCGGGCCCAGTAACGTCTCCATTGGAGACTTTGTTGTTACTGTGTTTGGCATATCGAATACGCCACGGGGAGCTTGCCAGGCTCTGCCGTGCGGGCGAGATACTCTTGGTAGCTTGCCGGGCTCTCCGAGAGGGGCGGAGGAGTCGAACTCGGGTTGGCCATGTTGGTTGCGTGCAAAGCAAATGCCCTACCGCTGTGCTATGGCTCCAGCCCTGGGCCAGGGAGTGAATACAATAGTTAAGGAGCCCCCTCCCCCCCGGCATGTGACCAATCCTGATCCTGGGCACCACATGATCTCATGAGCAGAACTGGGTAGAATCCAACCCACACAAAATTTTCAGGTGTTCCTTTTTTTTTTTCCTTTTAAAGATGGTGGGTTATTGACATCCTCTGCAGCGCAAAAATTAGGTTCATGTTAGAGGTTCCATTGAAGGAATCCACTCCCGTGTGTGTGTATCATCAGAGATGGGGTAAGTTGGTCCAAGATTACATAGTGTACCAGGTTAAATCATAGAGAGTGATCCAACAGGAAGATCCAATCCTGGGTTCTTCTCCTTGCTTGGAATCATTCAGAGCGGAAGAATCTCATGTCATGAACACGATTAGGCGGTGAAGGAGTATTCAAAGCACTATTAAGTAATGTGTGGTTTAGGTATGTAAATGGTAAAAGATCGAACAGCTGGGGCAAGGGACATCAGTGTGGGCACATGGCAACATGCACCCAGCCCGGGTTCAGTTCCTGATACCACAAGGTCTCCCGAGCAGCCCTAGAGACCCACCCAAGCAACATGGGCCACAGGGCTGGAGCAGCAGCTGTGGATCTTGGGCCTGTTGGCAAAAATCACCGGCAGGGCCCCCTGGAACTCTGCACACCACTCAAGACCCCCCACCCCCTGAAAGAGGACTGAAACTTAGAATGTTAAAGCTACACCCAAAAGTACTGAGCGAAAACACCAAGGAAACATACTGGCATGCACACAGAACCGACCAAAAATATGAATCGGAATGTGTCAGTTATTCCTGGAATAAGTAAGAAAAAAATTTTTAAAAAAAGTCAGAAAAGCGTTTTCCAGAATGAGAAATACAGCCCGTAGGTTCCCCCACCCCACCCCCCCTAACCCCCACCCCCAGCCCAGGGTGTTTGCCCAAACAAAACTCTCCACCTCCTGGTCATTAAGGAAGCCAGTGAGCCCACATGGGGCCCTGCACTCAGCAGTGGGATTTCCTCCACAAGGGGGATGGCACAGTGGGCATTGGCACTCTCTGCAGAAGGACAGCGGAATGCATTCTATCTGGGCACCTGCCCACACACTCAGCAGTCTCACTTCCGGGCACGTGCCGGGAGAAACACAAGAGTCGGCAGCAATGAGTGAAATGGCAGCGTTCCACACGGTTCCCCCGGGAACTGGACCTCTTCAGAAATCATCAGGAAACTAGAACGGCAGAACTTAAGTCAGCTTGACTTAGCTCTGACACCAACAGGAATTTCCTAAAGAATGAGTTACATCCTAAGCAAATGTAAATTCATGTGTGAATTTATAAATATTAATAAATCCATGTAAGTGCAAAATGACATTCAGAAAAATGGACAGGGCTATGACATTAGGGAAAAGAAACATCGAAGCATGTTTAACTACCATCAACCTGCACCAAGGTTTCCTCAGACAGAACCACGAGAGTCCGATGGCTGGTGGATTTTAACCTAGTCGCTGCCCGTGTTTTATTTGGGGTGTAGTGCACCCCAACAGTGTCTGAGTGCCATGAGGGTTATATCCAGTTGTTCTGGGACTCCAGCAAAGCATGAGGCCTTATATTTTTTTTCTTCAAACAGTATTAACATACAAACATATGCACACATGCTGTTTTATATTTCTAAATTTAGGAACACTGGGTGATGCCCCTTCATTACTGTGGCATATCACTAACACTTGAAAGGCACTCAAAAAACAAGTGTGTCATGCTAGGGGAAAAGGAAGCCCAGATAGAGAAGGGAGCACCAAGTAAAGGGTGTTGGGAGGATCCTCCCCGGATGGGAGAAGCATGCTGAAAGTAGACTATAGACCAACATGATTGCCACCCATTGCCTCTTTTGCAAACCACAGCATCCAAAAGGAGAGAGAGAACAAAAGGGAATGCCCTGCCACAGAGGCGGGGTGGGATGGGGGGGATGGGGATTGGGAGGGATACTGGGATCATTGGTGGTGGAGAATGAGCACTGGTGGAGGGATGCGTACTCCATCATTGTATAACTGAAACCCGAGCACAAAAACTTATAAGTTCACAACTGTACCTCCTGGTGTTTCACTAATAAAAATAAAAATTAAAAAAAAAAACTATTTTGGTACATCTACACAATGGAATACTACGCAGCTGTTAGAAAACATGAAGTCATGAGATTTTCATATAGGTGGATCAACATGGAGAGTATCATGCTAAGTGAAATGAGTCAGAAAGAGAGAGACAGACATAGGAGTGCACTCATTTGTGGAATATAAAGTAACAGAATGGAGACTAACACCCAAGGATAGTAAAGATGCGGACCAGGAGAATTGCTCCACGGCTTGGAAGCTGGCCTCACATGCTGGAGAAAAAAGCAGCTTTGATAGGGAAGGGAACACCAAGTAAAGGATGCTTGGAGGGTCCGCTCGGGATGAAAGTAGACTATAGACTGAACATGATGGCCGCTTAATACCTGTATTGTAAACCACACCACCCAAAAGAAGAGTGAGAGTAAAAGGGATTTTGCCTGCCACAGAGGCAGGGTGGGGGGGGGGGACACTGGGATCATTGGTGGTGAATGGGCACTGGTGGTGGAGGGATGGGTATCCGATTTCAGTATGACTGAAATGTAACCACAAAAGTTTGTGAGTCTGTAACTGTACCTCATGGTGATTCATTAAAAAAAAAAAAGTATCAAAGTGTGTACCATGTGAATGGAAGTGGGGAGGGTGGGATAGGACCCTCGTGCTTGCTACCACCTTTGCCTGTCTAAGCCTCTTAACAAGGAGCTGTTCTTACCTCGGCTTGGAAGACGTGTATGACAAAGCCTCAGCTACCATCACACTCAACAGTAACTGAAAGGTCTTTGCCTCTAAAACCGGAAACAAGGGTGCCCACTCTCATTACTTACCCAACCTAATCCTCAAAGTCCTTGCCAGGATATATATTGGTAAGAAATACTAAAAGCATCCAAATCAGGAAGAAGCAAAACTAACCATAAATAAAATGCTTTTATACACAGAAAACTCTTAAGATTCTGTATTTTAAAAAAACCCAAAAAACCCAAAAAAACCTGTTAGAACTAATGGAAAAAAAATCAGTAAAGTTGCAGGACACAAAAAAATTAACATGCAAAAATCAGTTGCATTTCCAAACAGAACCAAGAAAATTTAAGAACATAATTTCACAAGTGCAGCAAAAAAAAAAAAGGAATAAATTTAACCAAGAAGATAAAGGTCCTGTACACTAAAAACAGCAGAACATTGATCAACTGCAAACAGCATAAATAAATGGAGAGAAAAATCTCTGCTCCTAAGATGGAAATTTTAGTGTTTTTAATATACCATACCATCCTAGCAATCTACAAATTCAGTGCTATTATCCCTATCAAAATTCCATTAGAATTTTTACAGAAATAGAAGGCTAAAAATTTGTATGGGAACTACAAAGCATTCTACTATGCAAAAATGTAGTTAAGTTCCACAAAAAACTAAAAATGTATCTACCAAATAATCCAGCAATCTCACTTTTGGGTATTTACCAGAGGAAAACAAATACTCAAAAAGATATCTGCACCCTTGGGCTGGATAGATGGATCCACAAAGCATTCTGCTGGCCCCTATTCCAAGCCCAGCAACCACATTCCCACCCCACTCCCAACCCCCAGTACCACTCGGAGTACCAAAGCTGGGAGCTGTCCTCAGCATTGCCAAGTAGTGTGGCCCCAAACCCCAACCCCATACATATAAAACATACACACACACTCCTGTGTTCACTGCAGCATTGTTTACAATAGCTACGGTACAGAAGCACCCTACATGTTTATAAACAGATGTAAAATGTGTGTACATACACATAATGGAATCTTATTTGGTCATAAAGAAGGAAATCTTGCCATCTGCTGCACCACAGATGGACCATGAAGGCATCATGTACAGTAAAATAAGCCATGGATACTGTATGATCTGCTTTATATGTAGAATCTTAGAAAAAAAAAACGACATACGAAGAAGAGATTGGGCTGGCCGACTGACATGGGTTAGGTGGTCAGTATAAACTTTCAGCATGTACTAATCCTGAGATGTAAGAAAACCTTCTAATAAAACCTTATATCTGAAAGTTGCTCTAAGTAGATCCTAACTTATTACCACAAAGAAAACTTATTACTTTGGCAACAGATGCTAAATGTATTCTACTAATCATTTCACTGAACATAGATGTATCAACTCACTGTGTTAAGGACCTAAAGCTAGCACAATGTTATCTGAAGCACAGGCAGGAAAGTTTACTTATTTATTTTGGATTTTTGGGTTTGGGTCACCCCCCGCCCCCCTCAGGAATTACTCCTGGCTCTGCACTCAGGAATTACTCCTGGCGGTGCTCAGGGAACTATACGGGATGCTGGGGATCAAACCCGGGTTGGCCGGGTGCAAGGAAAATGCTCTACCTGCTGTACTATTGCTCTGGCCCTATGAAAGTTTAAATACAATAGAACTGTTATGAGATCTACTTCGGATCAGTTTCAGTAGCAAACTAATGTGGGAAGTACATTTCTAAGTATATAATATGAACGCTAAGCAGTTTGCTCTTTCTCAATATATAAAGTGCCTTACACAAATTCACTCAATCTTCAAACACTATGAGCTACATACACTATTTTTATTCAATTTTGTGTTAGGAAATGAAGTGTGATGTTCATCTGCTGGTAAGCACCTAATCAGGATTCAAATCACAGTCTGGCTTTCAGTCTACGCTCCTAACCGCTTTGTACATGTCTCAAGACAAAAACAAAACTTGGGCCCAGAGAGCAGCACCAGGGCTGAGGACCTGCCTCGTGAGCATAGGGTCATGAGTTCAACCCCAGTGCCCCCCCCACCCCCCACGCACGAAGCCCAAGTCCAGCAGCTCCCCTGCTTGAGACTTGCAGGCTGGCAGTCTAACTCCTGGCACCACCACAATTTCCTTTTCACCTTTGACTTATCCGGAATAAAAGTGTATCATGACAGAATGTGTGATGGTTTTCTCATCATTCCCACAATCTTATAGATTTCTTAAGAAAAAAGGAGCACTAGCCTTGACCTTACCAAAACAGTTTCTCCAGTATAGTCTATAGAAGGCTTGTCTCTCGTCTCTAGAATAGCATTTAGAAGACTGATATTGTTTAGGTTCAATTCATGTTTGCAAGTGACAGCAAAGTTATTCCCAATACTTTGCATTATGAACTAATGATCCCTTCTCAGGACTAAGATTTACAATGAAGTATTTGTGCATTCTCTTAATTTTAGAGAAAAACAAAAGATATAAAAATGATTCTTAAAAAAAAAAACCCACAACACCAAAGTTCTTCACTTGGAACATATGGAGAGGAGCCAAATACCAACTTCATACTTGAAATTTTTGGCCTGAATAGCCAGAAATCTTTTCAAGGACATAGTCCATATATTTTATTATATTAAGGGAAATTAAAAAAAGTTACTACTTAGACTGCTGGTTTGAAGACATTCTATTTTGAACATAAACATCCGGGGGAAGTATATTTTGAAATTATATTTATTAATATTTTATTATATATTGTATTCTTTAGAACTGGGGCCCAGGAAGCCCCACTCAAGTCAATAACAAAGTTGCCATCTCTTACAAAATGTAATTAGAACAATGTTATGATTACTCTTTAATTCCTGAGAATTTGCACATATTAAGCTTTCTGTGAATTTTCAAAGGATGCTCACTAATTTTAAATTACAGTATTATGAAAAAAATTAAATGTTAACATTAACATGTTATCAAGGAAAAACCATCATCCAAATGTGTCTATTATGTTAGGTATAAATACACTCAAGCCCTATTATTCTGTTAATAGCTTTAAATATGCATTATCTTTTTAGAGATTTTATGTTTCAAATGTATCGATTTACTACCATTATTCAAACTACAATAACTTTATTTGAACTAAAAGCAAAATAATGATCTGTCACTTTCTTCTTGAGAATGAGAATTCCATCCATGTGGAGATAAAATAACTGACATGTGGGGCTAATAAACAGAAACATCTGATTCTTTTCTAGTTACATTTTTATCCCTATTGAGAGATGAAATTCTTAGGGAAGTCAAAGAAAAACAATTTCTAGGAAATGGTGACAAATTCGACACCATCAAATGCAAGAGCATTAATATAAAGATTTACAGCAATGGAAATATAAATTATGAATTAATGCAGCATGCTTTAGGGCCATTTCTACAGTCAGCATGAATTACAAATACTACAAACCTTAATCCATCGATGTTCGTAATTCCGTTAAGCCATGTCTACGTAATAAATGAGAAACATTTCCTACCGAGTTCTGTTTCTTCTGACTACAAAGAGTAGAAGTATTTCCCTTGGGGTGGGAAAGTTTCTCTGGTCACAGTGACTGCAGGAGGTGGGGGGGTCACTGGATTCCTGCTGCAGCGCTGGAACCCCGGCAGCAATGTGAGGGTGATTTGTGAGATTTACCCAGACAAGTCTGTTCTTAGTAGGCAATAGCAATCAGAATAATCAAGTACTCCCCCAAGGGTGTTAGCAATGCATGTCCTGTTAGACTCACTTTCTCTCCTTCATTGTAAAGGCATCCCTGTAGACATTAAAGACTGGAGGTCTTCATGAACCATTAACTACGACGTGATAGAACCTTTACAAAAATAAAGCTAGTAGTTTAACAGGAACTGAACTACTCAAAAATCTGTACTTTTTCAATCAGTAACTGATCTAACAGAACTTCATTGTGTAGATATCAGAATCTACCACTGTGACAATGAAGTACTATTAGATCAGTTACTGAGAAATTTTTGAGTAGTTCAGTATACATATATATATATATTTTTCAAAAGCCCGCACAGTGCTTATCTGATGTCTTAGATTATACTTGGTTTAAAGAAAAAGGTCTTTTCAAATTATCACCAGGATTTCAATTCAACCTAATGTAGACAAAAACCTGAGTTTAGATGTAGAAATAATAATTCATTCCATTTCCTCTGTTATCATATATAGTGCCTTCAACCAAAAGGGGACTCTTCAGATGACTCTATGGCTTTATCTGAGTTTCCTTTCATATTGCGTATTAAGTCTTACACTGAAAGCAGTTGCTGGAGGTTAATGTTTCAAAGCAATGTAAACTAGTTATAAAATGTCTCCTGAAAGACATCAGCAGCTTATGTGAGTCACATGAAATTAACAAAGAATCAGCTTATACTGTATATAAAGGGACATAACAGACTTGGGTCTCACCTCTAGTATCAAAACCATATTCATACAGATTCCTTTCATAAGAATATTGATACATATGCCTCATGAATTTCAGGCTCAATTCCTTTTGTTTAAAATGTATTTACTACCCAGCACCACCAAAAATTTTTAAAAACGTATTTACTAGCTGAACATAGTATATGCACTGAATTTCCAATGACAGAGACAAATACGGATCGAAGACCTATTAAATACAAATTACAAACATTCACAAGACAACAAGCAATAGGAGGTGGCAGTCTAGGGATTTGGATTTGCCACAACTTCACAATTTCACTGCGAGGAACTGTAGGCACATCGTTTCCAGCCTAAAATCCAGGCAAAAATACCAGGTTAAAAAAAAAGAAAAAATCTCATTCTCAACTTCTGAAAACTAGAACTTCAGAAGAATGGACTTAACTGTAGAGCACTGTCTTTAAAGAGCTGCAGCATCCAAAGACTGCCAGCGATGTAGCCCAGGAAACACTTCCTCCACTGCACTGGTAGTGACATGACGGAGTGCTGATGGGTTCACAGGGTTGCCCCTGCCCTTCAGTATCATTTGACCACAGGATCCACAGCCACTGCGTTGTCTGGCAGGGCTCCATCACTGGCTTTAGCGTCTTCTGCAAGCAACAATGAAATTAACAATGGGCGTGTCTGTTTAAAACATGTTACAATGACCAACTATCTCTCCATCACAAAGCAGACTATAAATTAAAATACCTTAAAAAAAACTCCACAAGGCTAAGTATTCTAAGCGCAACCTATGACTAGGCTAATATGGTAAGTGCAACCTGTGACTGGTTCTAATGAAGAGGAGCACAGAGAGAGGACGCACCAGGTTTGCAGCCACACTCCCCCTGCGCTGGATGTCCCAGTCGTGCCCAGACCAAGCCACTGGAGCATAGGAAATGGGATGCACACGCACAGCAAAAATGGTACAGAGTAAATGATTCACCCCATATATATTTTTATGTTAAAGGAGGGGTTTTTTTTTTTTTTTTTTTTGCTTTTTGGGTCACACCTGGAGATGCTCAGGGGTTACTCCTTGTTCTACACTCAGGAATTACTCCTGGCGGTGCTCAGAGGACCATATGGGATGCTGGGAATCGAACCCGAGTTAGCCACGTGCAAGGCAAACGCCCTACTCGCTGTACTATCACTCCAGCCCCAGGGTGTTTTTTTTTTAATTGTGATAGTAAGAAAATAAATTCCTACCAACATTTTGTGCAGAATGTCACATGTACATGTTACTTCCTGAGAAATTTTTTTTGAAGAGGCGCTCGGAGAGGCCAGGAGACCTTTGGCGGTACCTAGCCAACCTCGCTGGCCACACTCAGCAGCTGCTCTGCAGTGCCAGGTGCTTCCAGGGCCACAATTGTGACACCCAGGTGGCAGATGGTAGGGGAGGTCAAATCAGGGCTGGACACATGTGCCATGACACCCATACTGTCTCCCTGGCCTGATGAAAAATACTCTGCCTATGTATTCCCCACCCATGACTGCATTACTTTTCGTAGCAATAAAACAGAGTCCCTAACAACCACCACACAGGCACATCAACCTATTCTGCCTGATATGAAACACGCCACCAGGAAGCCCGGAACGTTCATTAGGAAGAAACAACCACAATAAAGACACTCACTAAAACGCAAAGGTTTATTTGATTTGTCTTAATGCTTTAGGCCTTAAGGCAAATACTCAATCTACCTTGTAAAGCACATCTAGTCTCCTGGGACCATAGACAAAGTTCTGGAGCATCAATAAAATCTAAGCAGTAACTGAATTTCTCCACACTTCATAGACCGTATAACTCATTCCTATACATGGCTTGGCTAAATTTTTGCTAAATGCTGCAAAAATTTGACAAATATCATACCCTAAAAAAATGAACCTAAAAAGACGTATTTGCAGGTAATAAATACTGAGTATTTTCTACGGAAAAATCTGGAATTATTTTTAAAGCATGTAATTGTTGTTTAACCTGAATTCCAAACCTGCCTGCATACACTCCTAACTAATAAATGGTAATTTATGAAGCATTATCAGAAAATATGATAGCTGATAGAAGTGGTCTATCCAAATTAAGCATCTTCAGCTATTAAACATGAAATACTAAGCAGTATTTTTAAATACTAAAATCACCTATCCCATCTCGCCCGATGTCGGATGTGCAGCAGTGTGCCTTCAGCAACACAAGTGTGTAAGCTCTAATTCTGCTGACTAGCTCCTTCTCAATCTCATATGCAGGTTGAGAAGAGGCAGAAGTGGGGATGGGGAGGGGCAGAGGGGAGCAGAGGGAGGGAGGGGGGAGGGACGGGGCCTGTTCCATTTTATATAAATTAAGAGAAAAATCAACAGCTATCCCAGAATGCAAAGCTAAGCTGCACATTTCTTTCCAGTTCAGCTTTGATGACTTCCATGAAAATGCATATTGAAGGGTCAGAGAGGTTAGTATAGTGGGCAGGGCATTTGCCTTGTACACAGCTAACATGGGTTTAATCCCCAGTATCCCAAATGGTCCCCCACGCTCGCCAGGAGTAAACCAGTAAGTCCTGAGTGCAGAGCCAGGACCAAGCCCTGACATCCATCAGGTGCTCCCTACCCCTACAAAAAGAACTGTACTGACAGGGCTGTATTCTTTTTCAAAAGGATAAGGAAGCTGGAAGTCTAGACAAATAAAAGGGCTCTAAGTATCTACTACCAGAAAAGGATTTCTTGGTCTTTCCTACTTTAATCCACTCACTGACCTTCCTTCTCTTTCTTCTCCTGGTTTTCTTCAGCTGCCGTCTTGTCAGCTCTGAAGAAAATTCTTGCACTGCTCAGTGAGAAATAGAGCAACTCAAATTCCTAAGTAAATAAAAAATTATAAATAAAATGTGAAAACATATGGCACAACAAGAATATCAAAATTGCCATATCTAGTATCATTACTTCTAGTAAATCAAAAATTCAAAACCTGAACTGAGAGAAAACCATCCATTGTTAAGATCTAAGTCCAATGGCTCCCAAGAACTACTCATTTAAAAACACGTTCTTTTTTTAACCATTATTCTCCTCATTTAAGATAGGGGTTTCCATACAATTTGCTTTTCTCCGGTATCAACTGAAACAACTGTTATCACAAAGCCAAAGCCAACTTGTCCTCTACCTGCAGATACACATTTAGACGTTTCTGAGTAAGATTCATGGTTTGCAGCAGCTTCTCATCCTGACCAGCCGACTGCACGTTCTGTTGCTTGGCGACTGCTCTCATCTCCTTCAGGTACTTCTCTTGCACAGACTGGAACCAGTGAAGGGAGTCAAATTCCTGGTACTGATCCAGAAGTTTCAGAATGTAAGCCACACCTGCAGCCATTAACCAAACCAAAGGTACACTTCAGTGAGTACATGGTCCTACTCCACTCCTGCAACAGGATCTCCTAATACGAAACAAGCCATTCTGAACCAATCCCCTCTCAAAAGACATTTCGCTAAAAAAAAAAAAAAAAAGACAAGCTAGGCAACACGACTGAATGCCTCCTTTTCCAGACAAGACTCTGGGCTGGAGAGAGCACAACGGGCCGACCAGATAGGATGCTGTGCATGCAGGAAGCCCAGGCCTGATCCTCAGCACTGCAGACAACAACCCTCCAGGGTGTGGGCCCCAAACAAACAGCCCAACATAAAACACGACAAAGAACCAAAGACAAGGGGGGGGGGGGGGGGGGGAGGGAAGGAAGGAGGAAGGGAATGGCTATAAAAGTGGTACCGAAATAACAAGTCTGTAAGGATGAAGAAGAACTTCTACTACTAAACTGACATGAGCTTGGGAAGCTATCGGATAGCCCAGTACAAGATGCTCTCTCACTACAAAACCACCACGAACTCCAACTAACTATGCCACTCCAGTAACAAGGGGGAATGAATGAAAGTTACAAAGAGTGGAAACAATGATCACCAATCAGATTACTTGGCTGAAAGAACAGTAAATGTTGCTTGTGAAAATCTGTGGGAAGCACAATCACCAATCCTCAAATCTTCATAAACACCCATCTTTAGGGGAACATAGTATTAATGTGAAGACTACTCCAATAAGCTTACCCATGGCAAAGCCGTCGTCAGTGAAAGCGGCTCCAATTTTATTTTTTTTATTCAATTTCTCCTTACAACTAATGGAATGCTCTACAAAGTTGAGGGTCTAAAAAGATATAAAAGCGTATTAGAGAACAGTTCTAAGAATAATTTTGGAATTTATTCCAAAGGCAGTTATTTTAAAAACTATACACAAATCTGGTCTAAATTTTTGTTCTACTCTTTACATTTCAAGTATCTGCTTCATATCAAAAGCCACTGTAGCGGTGACAAAATGTACAAGTATCTCTTTCAAGTCCTTTAAGCATAAGCACCGCACCACTCATCACTTACCCAAGCAGAGCTTATATATGGCTCATTTTAAAATCTGCTGCAGATTTTACCGATGTGGACACTGAGGCTAGAGAGGTTTTTTGTTTATTTGTTTTGCTTTTTGGGTCACACCCGGTGATGCACAGGGGTTACTCCTGGTTCTGCACTCAGGAATCACCCCTGGTAGTGCTCAGGGGACCATATGGGATGCTGGGAATCGAACCTGGGTCGGCTGTGTGCAAGGCAAACGCCCTACCTGCTGTGCTATTGCTCCAGCCCCTAGAGAGGTTTAATATTTTACCCAAAGTCACACTCTAAGCAAAAGCTGGAATCAGAAAGAAGGGCTCTCTGACTTCAAAGCATGAGCACAGGTAATGATGGAGATGGTAACCATCTCCATCCACCCAATCTGGGCACCCTCAGCTACAGTGCTTAGGGCTATTCCTAGCTCCCTGCTTAGGAGTGGCCCCTGGAAATGACCAGGGGATCAGATGCAGTGCTGGGGATTGAATCAAGGGCTGTGGCCAACCCAAATGTAAAGCAAGTGACTTACTTCCTATACTATTTTTAAACCCTTCCCCATCCCATCCGATTATTTTTGGTTTGGGGGCGTCATCTGAAGGTGCTCAAAGAATCTGGCAGGGTTCGTGGAACTGTATGGGGTACTGGGGACTAAACCTGTGTTGGCAGTGTGCAAGGTAAGGACCCTACCAGCTAAACTCTCTCTCCAAACCCCATACAATTTATTTTAAAATACTATTTCCTGTCATATTCTTTGTGAAAATGGCAGCTGAATAAATTCCAACAGCACTTCTCTTAAAAATTATCTCCGAAATACCTACTCGGGTGGCATATCCAACAAATATTTAATGAAGCTTACTATGAGAAGAAAATGAATCCCATCATTTCCTCTAGAGCAGGGCGCCTGAAGCTTTACACAAACAACCCTCTTTGCCTGAGAAATGCACCATGTAAGCACTGCCAGAGTAGCCTCGGATTCACTACACATTTAAGTTTGACTCAATTTTGGGTCATCACATTTTCAGAAACCTTTTACTGTTGGCAAATTTGTCCCGGGCCCCATCCTGTTACAAGGCCCATATGGGCGCAAACTGCATTCCATGCTAAACTCGGGAGAAGCACTCAACCATGCCAGAGATGCACTGAGACCACAGGTCATGCACAGGCAAACACATACAGTGAGGACACGGGTCACACCCGGAGAGACAGAGTGAGTCCACAGTTCACGCACAGTGAGACAGACACGGGGAGGTCACGGGTCACATAAGAGTACTTGCTATGTGGCCAACACAACTGAAGAACTGGATCTTTTATTTTATAAAACTTTAATTTAGGGGCCAGGTGGCTACAAACAGGTAACATGGCTCTAGAGGGATAAAGAAAAAGATTTTCTTAAAAATAGTATGATAGACTGACACCCAAGGACAGTAGACAGGGCCAGGAATTTTGCTTCATGGTTGAAAACCTGCCTCATGAGCTGGGGGAGAAGGCAGCTGGGATAGAGAAGGGATCACTAGGTCAATGATGGTTGGAGGGATTGCTTGGGATGGGAGATGTGTGTTGAAAGTAGATAAAGGACCAAACGTGATAGTCTCTCAGTATCTGTATTGCAAACTGTAATGCCCCAAAGTAGAGAGTATAGGGGAAATTGTCTGCCACAGAGGCAGGGGGAGGGTAGGGAGTTGGGATGGAGGGGAGGACAACAGATACTGGGGACACTGGTGGTGGAAAATGTGCACTGGTGGAGGGATGGGTGTTCAATCATTGTATGATTGAACTCCAAATATGAAAGCTTTATAAAAAAAATGCTATAATACACTTTGGTAGGTACCATTTTCTCCCATACTGAAACCAAAGTATCAAATTTCATTATCTTTGCCTACAAAACTGAAATATTTATCAATTCCTTTAAATCCCTACTATTTATTCCATTTATGTTTACCTATTTTTCCAGAACTAGATTGTAAGCTCAATTACAAGAGCAGTGTCCTACACATTTCGTAGTGCTATTAATCCATCATCTTCTCCCCTACCAACTCATTCTGACAGCTGCCTTGCAAAATTCTAATCTTCTGCAAACCTACAAATGGTCCCAACTCTATTACCAGGGCCTGAGTGTACCGTCTTTGACATACAGAAATGTGAAGAACCCCAGGTGGAGTTCAGTAGTCCAGGACTGGCTTGCATGGGTGAGGCCTAGTTTGGATGCCTAGTTTGGAGATGGATGGAAGAGATGGATAAACACACACAGACACACAAACACACACACATGCACGCAGGTGCACATTGCAAAATAACATTTTAAAATACAATGAAAACTCACACCCACACATACACTGTAAAATGAAATAACATTAAAACAAGATATAATGAAAACTCACCCAGTTATCAAAACTGTTACCAAAAGTATAATTTAGACTGGTCTCTAGTTTGATTCTGTCTTAAGGTGAAAAGTTGTGCTTTCAGAAGAATGTGGACATTTTTGCTACATCAGTTTTAACATAATAATTCTGACACCGCACTAACAACGCATTTTAAGTATAGTTGGAAAGAATCAGGGCTACTCACAGATTTCTTTATCAGCTACTTTCAATGAATAGCAATTACTATACATAAGATACAAGTTAATAGGCAACACTATAAAATGCTACTTTTGGCGGGGCGGGGGGGGGTCACAGCCAGCAATACTCAGGGCTTACTCTTTCTCTGTGCTCAGGGGTCCCTCCTGGCAGGCCTGGGGTGCCATATGAGGTGACAGGGAATGAATCTGGTTGAGCCGGGTGTGAGGCAAACCCTACCAGCTGTACTACACTCTAGCCCTTGAAAATGTTACCTCATAATAAAGACAAAAGCAAAAGCAGTGATGTTTTGGATTTTAGAACTAAGCATTTATCACTTTAATAAAAAAACTTCACTATTAGGAAAATATAATTCTTACTGCTACCTCTTTTGAGTTAATTTTCCCCACCAGGGTAAACGTTTTATAATAGAATTTTGGGTAATATGAGCTATTTTTAGATGGCAACTATAGAATTAGAGCAAGATATGATAAAGAGGAAGAAGTAAAAATTAAGGATGGATATTAATATTTACTACCAAATAGAGAAAAAATGTCCTCCAATAGTACATTTTCAATAGATACAACAGAAATGGCAACACAGTTTAGCCCAACTCATCACTTATGATTCTGTAATTCAGCACAATTACAGGACTTACAATGGCATATACTTCAGTGATTAAAACTGCACTAAGAATCTCCTAGTAGTTATTAACAGTCTATCTTAACTATAAATAAATCTCATCTTCAAAGCTCTTAAGTAAAAAGTCTAGACCACGTCCCAAGATCAGTTTTACTTACAATCAGAAAATCACAATATAGGTTCTATAAATTTCCTGCTGCAAAGAAACTGCACATGCTTTTCAGCACCTTTTAAAAAATCACTTAGAATATTTTAAATTCACAAAAATATTTACCAGAGGGGGAACGATGATATAGAAGTTTCGGAGATGAATATTCTTTGGCCTTCGAAATTCTGGTGCAAAAACATCTACAAGCATTTTGAAATACTCTGTACCTTCTGCAGAATTCCGAGTGTGATCACTGAGGACTGAATCTAAATGCCTAAGATGTAAAAAAGTTTGAAAAGTATTGGCTCAAAGGCAGGCAGGCATGGCTTTTCAATCTATCTCTTAACAATGTAAATGAATGAAAGCACTCAAAAGCAAAACACCAGAAGAAATCACTAAATAAATTTCATTGGAGTTCAGAATGACTTCATTTTCATACGCGTTCAAAAATCACTTTATTTAACAACCCTAGTCCCTAAAGTAAACTATGAAGGGCATCTCGAAACTTAAAGAGAACTTCGTGTTCTACCCACAAGGAATGGGACAGAAATCCTCTTACCTTGCTGCTTTTAATGTTTCTTCTGCAAGACCTTCTTCTTTTACAAGTTCTTCAAAATTTACAATATCTTCAAGATCAGGAACAAATCTACCCAAGAAGTTGGGAAGGAGTTTATCAAAACAAGTTAACACGCACAACTGACACAGACGTGAAAATGCTACTGTAAGACTTTATCATTAATTGCATGTTTGTAAAGAACCTTTCATATGGTATATTAGCAACATTGCTTACGCTCTAAAATTAAAATTTTGGACCAGAAAGATAGTACAGTAGAGCCAGTCACTGTTAGGTGCAGCATAAAGTTAAAATAATAAATGAGTTCTAGATATAACCAATTTTTTATAAATTGCTTAACCACTGCATTATTTTTCTATCCCCCTCCCAAATTACATAATCTTTATTTAAAAAACTGCACTAACAAAATAAAACACCTATGGGGAACATAAAGTAACAAAATAGGAGACTAACACCCAAGAGTGGCCAAGATTAGTACCAGGAGGTTTGCTCCATGGCTTGGAGGCCAGCCACACATGCTAGGGGGAAAGGCAGCTCAGATAGAGAAGGGAGCACCAAATAAAGGGTGTTGGGAGGATCCTCCCAGGATGGGAGAAGCATGCTGAAAGAAGACTATAGACCAAACATGATTACCAGTCAATGCCTCTCTTGCAGACCACAGAACCCAAAAGGAGAGAGAGAGAATAAAACGGTATGCCCTGCCACAGAGGCAGGGTGGGATGAGGGGGATGAGGGGTGGGAGGGATACTGGGATCTGTGGTGGTGGAAAATGGGAACTGGTAGAGGGATGGGTACTTGATCATTGTATAACTGAAACCCAAGCACAAAAATTTGTAAGTCTACAACGGTACCTCATGGTGTTTCACTAATAGAAATTGAAAAAAAAAGAAAAACAACTTTAGACTGAAAAAAAAAACCCCAATTTATTTAAAATCTAATAGAGGAAAACAAATATGTTACACTATTTTTTTCTATTTCAACCCATCTAATAAATAAATGAAATGCATCATTATAAAATAAAACACCTATAACTAAGAGAAATAGATTTTTAAAGGTCTATAGTTCTAAAATTTTGAGGGAAAAAATACCTAACCAATAGAATGAGTTTTTTCTGTATATTATCTAAAAATCCAGTCTTCAACTGTAATATTACTTAAAACAAAATTGACATGAATCCAGAGGCAAAAGGACTTAATCCAGAGCCCGGCAGCTTGGGGCAGAAAAGTGAATGGACCATGCGTTAAACTACAGCGCCATGCCTCCCCGGGAGGGAAAGGGTGTTGCTCCCTTCCGCCTTTTCCCCCCCAGCAGCAAGGTGGCCGCCGCCTCAGAGCTTATAGGAAAGCCAGGTATGAGCCGGCGGTGATGGGGCAACTGCAGAGAAGGGGGGCAGTACCGGCTCATCCTTCACGCCCTACTGAGGTCACAAGCTGCCCCCGTCAAGCGGCTCTCCGGCACAGACATAACACCAGATGCACAGAAACCAATCTTGTGATTATCTGGCTCTTTGCAGAAATCCAAAATTGCGTGGCCGCAATAGCGGCCACGCAACATTATATAATTCTCATGACTAGCTATGGAAAACAAAGTATTTCGCAATGCCTTTTCAGTGATTCTGATTGTTGGGGGGGGGGGGGAATTCTAAACAATAATGGTGCATCTTTTGTCGAAATGATGAGTGTAATCAATGTAGAGAAGAGTTAAGCGGAAATCATCTGCCTCACAGGCTTTGGGAGAGGTAGGAGGGGGGTATATTGGGGTTCTTGGTGGGGAAAAATGAGTACTGGTGAAGGGAGAGGTGTTTGATCATTGTATGACCAAGACTTAAATCTGAAAGCTTAGTAACTTTTCCCACAGTGATTCAATAAATAAATATAAAAAAAAAAAAAACAGGCCCTCCCGATGATCATCGATTTGCTCGAGCAGGCCCAGTAACGTCTCCATTGGAGACTTTGTTGTTACTGTGCCTGGCATATCGAATACTCTCGGTAGCTTGCCAGGCTCTCCGAGAGGGGCGGAGGAATAGAACTCGGGTCGGCCATGTTGGCTGCGTGCAAGGCAAACGCCCTACCCGCTGTGCTATCGCTCCAGCCCGATAAATATATAAATATAAAAATAAATATAAGACGAAAAATAAACAAATAAATAAAACTATGAAAAAAAATAAAGAGTAAGGTGGAGTTCATGCCCAATTCAATCAGCTAATCAGTGGCTAAATAAATAGCAGTACTCCTACATTAAAAAAAAATTATATGTGGCTGAGGCTTGCAGAAATTTTTTCACTGGTGTGGGGTGCACTCAGCAGTGATCAGGATCTACTCCTGGCTCTGTGCTCCAGGATCACTCCTGCCAGGGCTCGGGAGACTGTATGTGGTGCCTGGGATTGGATGTGGGTCAGCCAGCTGCAATGGAAGCAATTTACCCACTGCACTTTCTCTCTAACCCACTGGCATTTTTCCAGGGCAGTGATTGACTGTTTACTTCTTGGAACTATAAACAGAGCTTGGAAGAAAAGAAATGTTGATCCTGTTTGCATTTATTTACATTTAGGGAAATAAAGGTTTTAAAGGACACAGTTCAATGAAAAAAAAAAAGACATGAAAAATTTTTAATGTCGAAAGGCAAACGTTTACCTAATGGCATTGCTGCTGCAATGAAGACCTCCAGATCTTATCATTCGTACGTAGCCCATAGCATTACCTTAAAAACATACATGCAAAAATCAGGCATTTGTATAAAGAAGTCTAAACTCTAATCATCAGAAATAGTTACACAGAGTGATCAAATACAAGGCTTCAACTTCTACTTCTCAGGAGATTCTACAGTACATTATTTCAATTCTTTCAATTCTTGCTCCATAAAAGTCAAACTGTTACGTATTTCAGCACTAAAATACAAATGTACATATAACCATGTTAAGTATTTTAAGTGCAACTTTCTCAGAATAATAATGACATTATTTTATAAACCCAACATTTAACAATCGATAGTTTCCCCCCATGCCACTGGAAATGATGGCCAGAACTTCTACTCGCTGCCCACCAAGATGATGCTCTCTGGTCTGGAATAATCACTAAGCTGTTTTTGAAAATCTAAGGCCAACACATTGTATATCGAGGAATCATTCTGATTTAACATGTCCAAGTCAAATTTAAGATTTCTGCCCCCAATTATATTTCCTCCATTCGAAACTGACATGTCCTCCCTTCCGTTTGCTCATTCGGATAACTCAAAGTCACCCCGACCCCTTCTTCCTCCAACACTCTGGAACTCATTGGCGAATTACAGGCCAATCTCTGGCCAAGCACTGTAGTATACAATGGCCTCCTTGTGTCCCCATTTCCATCACTAGCACCCTGCCCACTCCCCCAACTACAACTCACCTATCCTCTCTTTAGCAGCTTTCAAGCTGCAAGACTGAGGAGTCAGCACAAGGAGAAATGATGCCCGTCTTGAAACTTGAGGCCCCAAGTTTCACCCCCCTGCAGGGTGGAGCTCTCGGCACTGCCTGGTACAGGTCTGGGGGCTCCTAAACACTACTGGCTCTGATGACCCTGGTGGCCCCCACACCTCAGGCAACAGCACTGCCACACTGCTCAGCCCGAGCACTAACCCCATCTTCTCTGGGTCACCCGAGGGCCACTGAGAAACGCCCTATTAACTCCCTAAGACAGAGCACCTCTCTCCTGTTCTGAAAATACACCCAGTGGTTTCCACCTCAGAATAAGATCTACACAGCTTGCATGGCCATGTCCCTGACCCTGTCCTGGTCTCAAGCTCCACTACTCAAGTCTCCATTGCCTCCACCCCAGTCCCCGACTAAGTAGGAAAATGCTGCCAGGAAAATGTCTGTCTGTCTGTCTGTCTGTCTGTCTGTCTCCCTCTCTCTCTTTCTGTCCCTCATCCCCTATTGACCTCCCCCCCCCACACACACATGCTCTCTCTCTCTCTCTGGCCCACTATACTTTTAAAGCTTTTGATAAGAAAAAAAAATTAGTATGACCAAATTAAACTCAGGAATCACATGACAAACTCCCTTTTCATAGCTGATATGTGAGATACAAGGGGGGGAGGGGGCGGGGGGTTTACTTCCCAACTCCTTTTCAATAACTTACCAATTTGGCTGATGAGCTGCCTGAACTGATCAAGGTAGCTCTGTCCCTCTGGGGTTATTCCAAGTTTTCTGATGCCTCGGTTGAATTTTTCTGCTCTTTCAAAAGGATACTAGGAAAGATCATTTTAATACTACCTCTTATTAATAGAGAAAACATAAAATGGCTGTTATGCCAGTATCACTTTCCTTTCAAATTTCAAGCATTTCACAAAAAAGATATTCAAACCTAATGACAATTTATGTATGACTATATATATATACACACAAACATATAAATGTACATATAATCACAAAACCTATCAATGTTAAAGGGCAAATATAAATATCTCTATGACATAAGCCAAGTAATATTCAATGCCAATGCACCTCAGTTTCCCACCACCACCGTTAATCTCCTGTGACTCAACTACTCTGTCAAATAGGTAAAAGGAACCAATCCCTCCTAGAAACATGTTCAAAGAGGTGTGACCTAGTTTCTGTAAGTTGAACACATTTAGGGACTAGTAAACACACTCCTGCCAAATAACACATTATTAGCTAATATCTCCAGTTACCACCACCAACTAAAATATAATTTTTCAAAGTTTTAGTTGACTAAAAAAATCTAGAAAATAATTATTTTATGTCAGTAACAAGAGGAAACAATTCTTGTACGATAATATATGGTTATTTCTCTGAATACTGATAGCTTCTGCATACCCTGTAAAGCTCTTGCTTTGCATGCAGCTGACCCAGGTTAGACCCACAGCACAGCACAGCCCCTGGCCCCCCAGCGCGGCAGGAGTGAGTCCTAAACACTCTGGGTACGGCCAAATACAAAACAGAGGTCATGAAACTCTGTGTTGATGAATAAAATCTGTAATATCAGTGTAAAACCTATCACTGCTAAAGGGCAACAGAAAGTAATAATTTGCTGTTTTGACTCTGAGCAACTACCAACTAATATATTAAAATATAGGGGCTAGGGGAATATTAAGAAGAATAATTAAAATGTTATTTTTAATTTTCTTAATTTACGGTCAAAATTTAACCAAAATTTAACTAGGAGCTGTGTTCCTGGATTGCTCCTGTGTTCAGGGATCACTCCTTGAAGGGGTCCTAGGATCAAATTCCCATCAGCACAAGGTAACAGCCTTACCCAGTATACTATCTCTCTGGCCCCTAAAATTCTATTTTTTATTATCATTCCTACCCTTTATTATCAATTGATAAAAGGAATAAGATCAATTTGAATGTAGTGAACCGTGATGAGGACATTACTTTTGTTAGGAATAAAAGGCAACATACGTGTGTGCCAATGTTTAACACAAACATGAAAAGTACCTTAAAAGGAAATACATTCAAAAACAGAAATGTGAGAGAAAAGTAGAGGAAAGACACTCTCTGTTTAAATGTTTCAAAACTGCATGAATATTTTCTGCATCACTTTAAAATAAAGAGTATTAATCACCAGCTACAATGGTGGTTTGATTTTTGCCTTTAAAGACTGAAGAACTCAAAACTGTGTAAGAAAAAAGACTGAAGAACTCAAAACTGTGTAAGAAAATTTGAAGGTCAAATCTTGGAGATGTTAAGTAGAAATTTAAAAACTAAAACCCCATAGAGATAGATTTAGCATTAGTATGTAATGTATGTTATATAACTATATAAACACTATATATACAACAGTTGAATCAAACTATGATTAAAGAATATTTAAAATACCTTGTGATCATTTTGGTCCTTGATTTCCCGGAAAAACCGAATATCTTTAATCAGTCTAGATTTGATATGCTCATCATACATAAATTGGCTGAATATATAGAACTTCTTTTTCAAAAACTGGTAGGTGAAATTAACCTACAAAATAATAATTTTAGAAATTAACACAAAAGAATGTCACATAAATGACAATTATCTAAGTCAAATTATGTTCAACAATTTTCTGTCTAATTTGTGTTACACTTTATAAAGCTTAGTATTTATAAAAGCTAATTCACACTGAACCTGAAATAATTAACTGTTAGGGTTTTTGGGTTTTATTTGGAAATCAAATCCAGCAGTGCTCAGGGGAGTTCCAAGGACCTAACCCAGGTTCACCACATGTAAGGCAAGTTAGCCTACCCTTGGTACTATCACACCAGCCCCAAATGTTAGTTTAATATCTCAACTTTATAGAATGTTTCTGTAAGCTCCTCATAAATATTTTTACTACCAAAGGGAAAAAATAGAAAACATTCTCTTAAAAGGACTAAGAGTTATTTTCTGTTTTCTTTTTTTATTGAATCACTGTGAGATACAATTACAAAGCTTTCGTGTTTGAGTTTCAATCATACAATGATAAAAAATCCATCCCTCCACCAGTGCACAATCCCCACCACCAATGTCCCCACTATACCTTCCCTTTCCAATTCTCTCCCTGCCTCCATGCACTCCCTGCCTCCATTTCCCCCATACACTCTCTCTACTTTTGGGCATTATGGTTTGCGATACAGATACTGACAGGTTATCACGTTTGGTCCTTTATCACTTTCAGTATGCATCTCCCATGCCGAACAATTCCTCCAACCATCATGACTTAGTGATCCCTTTTCTATTCCAGCTGCCTTCTCGCCCAGCTCATTAGGCAGGCTTCCAACTATGGGGCAATATTCCTGGCCCTTGTGTCTACCATCCTTAGGTGTCAGTTTCATATTAGGTTATTTTATATTCCACGAATGAATGCATTTCTTCTACGTGTGTCCCTTTCTTTCTGATTCATTTCACTTAGCATGATTCTCTCCACAGAGGACTAAGAGTTGAGGTGAAAAATTACAATGCCATATTCAAAACCCTGTGCTTTTTGTTTTTTGTTTGCTTGACTGCTCAGTTGTTATTTGGGGGCCTCACCTAGCAGTGCTCAGTACTGATTTCTAGTGACGTACGGGGGACTCTAAGTGGTGCCAGAGATCAAAGCACGGTCAGTCACCTGCAAGGAAAATGCATCACCCTCTACTACCTCTCTGTCCTGGAACCCTGGTTTTTAAGTCACAAACCACAGGATTAAGCTTCGATATTACTCCACTCATAAGATCATTCATCACTAATCTGCATAGTACTTCAGAAAAAATCACGTTGTTCTTTCAGCTTTCCGGGAAAAAGCAATAAGCATTCAATTTTTATTTTTTGGGTATCTAGAGTGGTATAGAAAAAGTCTGGGGATCCCTCCCAGTGATCCTTGGTCAACCAGACCAGCAGTTCAAGGCGATGGACCCGGATGCGGTGCTCGTGGGGCCCTGCTGTGCCCTGAAGGTCACCCGAGCCAGCCAGGCCTCACCAGGCAATGCTGGGGGAACAAGTGGTACCGGGGATCAACATGGATCAGCCAGACACGCCCTAAACCCTTTTACTATCCCTCCAGCCTTTTTCTTAGGCGTGCCATGGATAGAACTGAGGTGTCAGATATGCAAAGCAAGTACTCTCCCTTGAGCTATTCCCCCAGCTCAAGTAGTCAATGATTTATCCATAATGAGCACCCCTTATGTACTAGGAAGTAGGCTCTCATGTTACAAATGGCTCGTGTTGACCGGAATATTCTATTTTCCTAACTATCAAATTAGATAGGTCTCTACTTCTCAATCATAGCCCCAAGATGTACTTACTGTTGTGTTCATGATTCCTGTGCCATGTGTTCTAATTGAATTAGCAATATGCCGAATATTGATAGTATTCAAGTGTTTGTTATTGCTTGTTCGTTCAATGAAAATCTGCAATAAAAAGAATTTATGCTAAATAACACAACTCATCAAAACACTTCAAAGAAAATCTGAAGTCTACTTCAAAATAATCTCACTAGAAAGTCAGTAAAGAAGATAATAAAATCAAAGAAATAAAATGTCAACACAATTTGGGGAAGGTTATTTTGCTAAATTTTATTTTAAGAATTATTTGCCCCTTCCTGGGGCTTGCCACAATATAGTATTTATTTTTAAAAATTTCTAAAACTACTCACCTGGTTGTTGAGATTATAGAGGTATCTAGATACAAATATATGAATGTTTCTCATGATTTCCAAAACATCCAGGCCCTATAAAAGAATCCATATAAAATTCTATTATTAGTTTAAGAAAATCATTATTTGTTTCAATGGGGACTTGCTGCTTATGTTAAGCTCCCCAACATTTTACACAATTTAAAAGAACAACTCCACAAAAGTATGCCCAAAAGTTAAGAAAGGGAGTTCAGATAGAATACTCAGGATTATCTTCTTGAGGACGTGCAGCTACATTACTGCATTATCCTTCAGTGTACAGAAACTGTAAGGTTAGACTACTCAAAGTTTTATGACTCGCAAGCATCACCCCTTAAGATGAGCTAATCTGTTTGTCTTCCCAAAGATCTCCTATTCTTCTGTTATAAAAACTAATGGAACTAATGGCCAGATTCTGGAAGATAGGATATGTTGTGATAATTATAAAATACATACTATTTTTCAGGACTGTGGAAGGATTTTTGTATGTAATTCTCAAAAAATGATGTATTATTCTTCTAAATTCCACAGGTGAAGAAAATGAAGCTAAGGGATTCTCCAAAGTCAAATAGCTAGGAAGAGGCAGAACCCAGGTATTTAGAAAGTCTAATACCAAATCCTTATGCTCCCTTTAATTATAGCAGACCATTAATACCTCTGTAAGTTTTTTTATTATAGTTTTCCTCATATTTTATCTAAAACATTGCTTACTCATATTTTTCCCACCTAGTAAGTTCTAAAAGCTCATAAGCTGGGACATTTTCTATTGATTTTTGTATTCCTAGTTCAGTGTTTAGACTGCTTTCAGTAAATATTAAAAGTATACTGAATATACTGATCCCAGAAACAGTCCCTATATGCAGCAAGCTGACAAAAAAATTATAACGCTTAAATTTTGGAAGTAAACACTTTGGGGACTAATTTTATCTAAACAATATTTTTTAAATGTACATGCAAATTAACTGAAAACAAATTATTGCATTTTATGAGTAACTGCCATATTATAAATTATATTGCACTTTAGAAAAGCTAAATACAAGTTTACACTCTATTTCAGGAACAATTATAGTAACATAAATTTAGCCATTTTTCCTAAGACATTAAGGCTTGTGTAACAAATGTTTTATTTATTTTTATTTTTTTTAAATGTAGGAGTGGCTATTTATTCAGTCACTGATTAGGCTGTGCGGCAAACGTTTTAAATCATTATTTAACTATGACCGTAAGTGAACTTTTCTGAAATTCTGCATAAGCCACCTCATTATCCTGATGTTTCTTTAAAGAAAGATCTAAATTTTGGTGTTTTAAATGCTCAGCAAAGCTGAGTGTAAACAGGAAGCTCCTGGTAGACTGTTTTCACTAATCCAAATGTGTATCAGGTAATTCTTACTCTTTTCAAATATGAGGTTTTATACAGCAAACGTTATATTAAGGTAAAGGTAAAGGCCCTCCCGTTGATCGTCGATTTGCTCGAGCGGGCCCAGTAACGTCTCCATTGGAGACTTTGTTGTTACTGTGTCTGGCATATCCAATACTCTCGGTAGCTTGCCGGGCTCTCCGAGAGGGGCGGAGGAATCGAACTCGGGTTGGCCATGTTGGCCGCTTGTAAGGCGAACGCCCAAACGTTATATTAAAGTATACATATTAAGAAGAAAGAAAACTTTCTTACAGAATATTATCATCATGCTATAGTCTGGCTATGCTAGAAACATTTTGACACTATACCTGTTCCAAAGTCTGGCTAGGAAGGTGTGCCTCTGTCATGACCAATCCATACCGCTGAGTAGCTAAATTTCTCATTTCACTGTAAGTGGCCCAATCATGAAGAGCTACTGTAGTTAAATTGTAGAAAGTCTTGTCCAGGTAATGAGTCACATAAGCTGGGGGGTGCGGGTTGGAGGGAGGACAGAAAAAAATGATAAATGAGGGCCCTCTGGCTACTCAACAGGCTGCTTCAGCCATGATCCCAGAGACTCAGAAACAAATCTCGGAACCCAGTGGCTTCTGGCAGAAATGCGTCCGGACTCCGCAGCAGGTTACCAACCCCTGGCCACCCCAGGTGGGAAAAGGTGCCGACCCACTGCCTGTTCCCCCTGGTGGCTCAGAGGCCATTGGACAGCCAGGTAGGGGCCCGCAGTGACGAAACACGCGGGGCCTCGTGGGATTGGGATGGGGGAAGGGCTGGCCCTTTCTTCCCTCGCCCCAATGAGACCCCGAGTCACCGCCCACAAACAGGCCCTCTGACTACTCAACAAGCTGCTTTAGCCATGATCCCAGAGACTCAGAAACAAATCTCAGAACCCAGTGGCTTTTGGCAGAAATTCCTCCAGATTTAATTATTAAGATTTCAGAATTCCATATGATGTAGCAGCTGCACATCACATGCTATTATCAGCAATAGAAAACAAATTGTCTAACGTTGCCTTTTTGGCAGATGTGAGTGTTGGAGTAAAATCCCAAATAATAATGGTGGGTCTGGTGTCAAAATATTGAATGTAATCAAAGTAGAGAGAGAGTAATGTGGAAACCATCTGCCACACAGGTAGGGAGAGGGTTGGGCTGGGGAGTAAACTGGGTGGTGGAAAATGGACCACTGGTGAAGGGACGGGTGTTTCATCATTGTATGAACAACACTTAAACCTGAAAGCTTTGTAACTCCTCTCACGGTGATTCAGTAAATTTATAAAAATAAATAAATGAAATTAACTTGTCTTTTTATTTTCTTTGGGGGCCATACCTAACAGTGCTCAGGAGCTAATTCTGAGATCAATCCTGGCTCTGTGCTCAAAGGACCACAGGAATGTCAGAGAACCAAAGTCAAGGGCAGCAAGTACCTAGATCCCTATAACCACCAGCCTAAAACAACTTGCCTTTGAACATTAGATTCCCTTCCTTAAGGAAAATGAAACTAAGAACCAAAAAGGAATTGGAGAACAAAAGGGCCAGAGCAATGGTCCCATGGGTCCTGCTGGCCTTTCATAGGGCGACTTAGGCTCAATCCCCTGCAACACACCCAGGATTCCCAAAGCACAGGCAGAAGTGATCCCCTCCCACCCCCCTCTCTCTTAGAAATTTAAATAAAAGAAAACCTCAAAGTTCCCAATTACTTGTACATTCAGGGTGAGAAGATCGACTCAAACTCTGAGAAGGAAAACAGGACACTCACCTCGAATGTCAATGAATCGATTGAAAAACCGAATCGGATTCAGAGAGAAAAAAAGAGCCAGGTCTTTCATGCCCACTTTGAAGGGGTTTCGGTCGTCCAACTTGAGGTGAGTGTGTACAGAAAGTCGCAGATCTTTCTCGATTTCTTTGCATAACTTGTCCAACAAATGCTATTTGCAAAGAGTCGGGAGCTTAATTTTTCAAAAGAACATCACCGTTGTTTTTCCCCCTAGCCCCCCAGGCTTTGTATCTGGAGTTTTATAATCAATTCCATGATGAAAATTATTTTCTCAGTCTGAGTTCAGTATAAATATTCCATGGTGAAATCTTGAATCAAAAATTGCGCTACATTTTATATCAAAGGTTTTTATAACCAGAGTAGGGAGAAAACGCTAAGCTTTTGTTTTCCTTAATACTCTTCTAATGGCTTTGAGGAACATGAATACAAAATATAAATAAAGCATGCAATTTATGGGAGCCAGCAGCAGGGAAGAAAGGACTTTAGGAATGGAAATGATATTTAAAAAGCTTCCTACAGGGGCCGGAGCAGTAGTACAGCAGGTATGGCATTTGACTTGCACACAGCCAACCTGGGCTCAATCCCCGACATCCCATATGGTCCCCTGAGCACTGCCAGGAGTCAATTCCTGAGTGCAGAGCCAAGAGTAACCCCTGAGCATCGCCAGGTGTGACTCAAAAATGCCAAAAAAATTAAAAATGAAAAAATGAAAAGCTTCACACAGTAACCACTGAAAATCATGAACTAAAAAGTAATGAAACAATCATGCCTTCCAGTTTATCATAAACTTTAAGTATGACCAGACACAAGTCTTAATTTTTAGTCAGTAATATTTAACATAGTAAACCATAATTTTCCATAATCATAATTTTTTTTACTTATACTGTGAACCTTACTCATTTTAAATGCTTCCCTCCAAATACATTATTGCTAAGTGGAAATTTAATTTTTAAGTTATTTTGTGTTTGTAATACATACTTCATTAAAACTGAGAGGGCTATATTCTATCATCCTCCAATTATTTCTATCATTTCATTTCATCATCCTGTTATTCGTCGATTGCCTCGAGCAGGCCCCAGTAACGTCTCTTTCATCCTAGCCCTGAGATTATATTCAAGGCTGTTTAGGAGAGTGAGACCCATCAATGTTACTGGTATTTGGCATATTTGGTATGCCACGGGGAGTTTGCCAGACTCTGCCCTGTGGGCAGGCTACATTCGATAGCCTGCAAGTTTGTCCAAAGTAGAAATAAGACAATAAGATGTCATAAAAAAAAGTTCTGTTAAGATGTCGCGCGGCCGCGAATTTCTATCATACAAGTCTTTAAAATAATTTCCCCTCAGAGAATCAGTAGCTCTTCAAATGAACAGCAAACTAAGACAAGACACTAATAGGGGAACATTGAATGCCCCAGGCACCCAAAATTGAACACTGGGCTTCAGCAGGAAGCTTACCACAGCAAGGGATGGAGGGATGGACCGAGAGTGGGGACACGGGGACAATGGTGACAAGCAGGGGACAAGCTGGTGGAAGGTGTGCTGCTGGAATGTGGTATGCATGAAGCCCTACCATTAGCAGTACTGTAAACCACAATGCCTAATATATATATATATATTTTCAAAAGATAGACCCTTAAGTTGTCTAGTATTAGTCCACACTCAATATTCAAATCAAGTCTACATTTGAATTCTTCTACTAGAATTGTAAATTCAAATATACGATTTAGCACTGTCACTGTGGCACTGTCCTCTTGATGTTCATCAATTTGCTCCAGTGGGCACCAGTAACGTCTCCATGGTGAGACTTGTTGTTACTGTTTTTGGCATATCGAATACGCCACAGGGAGCTTGCCAGGCTTTGTCGTGCAGACGGGATACCCTCGGTAGCTTGCCGGGCTCTCCGAGAGGGACAGAGGGATTGAACCCAGGTCAGCCCCGTGCAAGGCAAACACCCTACCTACCTACCCACTGTGCTATCGCTCAAGCCCCAAATACATGACTTACTAAAGAAAACTCCAAACTTCTGATCTGGATGCTTTAGAAAACCAAAACCAAAAGACTGATTTAGCGCAACAGTGACATTTTAGTTAAAAACAGGTTCCAGAGTCCCGTTCTGTGTGATGGCCCTGGGGACGGCTCCCGGGGCCCACGCATGCAGGGAAGGCTCTACCCTGATCCACGGCCCTTTGTGGTGACCCTTAAAGAGGGGTTCTAACTTAGGGAAGCATGCTAACAATCCCAGAAGTTTTTCCAAACAGTACATTCCAACTATGTTTTATTAAGCTTTCAATTTCAAATATGGCATTACCTCATTTAAAATTTCCATAATTTCCTTGTCGTAACAATCCAGGAGTATTTCATAGGACGCCAAATGCCTTGCATGCATCATAGCAGGCACACAATCCCGTAAAGCACTGAACATGTACTAAGAAAATTAGAATGTACATGGATTTAGAAAAACTGAATAATATTATTAATCCAAATAATATTACAAAGACTGTCTTAAAAGAGATGAAATCTCAATCTGTAGGGGTTTTTAACACAGACCTGCTTTACTTTCTTAAAAATGGGTAGATCTAGTTTTCTAATTTAAACAAAGCGAAGATTTTATGTTCTAATTTAACATTCCAGTTTTAAATGTATGTAAAATTTAAATCATTCATTCTTTTCTATCTTGAATCAAACCAATACTTACTTCCATTAACAAAAGGTGTGAATAATACACCCCTTGCTGACAAATAAATCTCAGACTACTGTGATATAAGTTAAAATCAAGTAAAATACAAATGAACTGAAATAGGAGGACAAGAGTTAAATATGCCAATTCGAATTCATTAGTACTAACATAAAACGTAAAGAAAAACAATATGAATGTTCATGAACATGCAGAGCACTGTATAAAGCAATAGTAGCAGTCCAATTTTAAGGTGGCTAATTCAATCAAATGATCTACTCTAAAACTAGAACAGTTTGTACAAAATCTAAAAAAACAACAAATATGTCTTATATTACTACTTACATGCAACCTGGCTGCATCAACAGCATTTTCATACACATCATCTAAATAAATTGGGAAGACAGCTCGATGCCAGTAGAGAAAACAACAGTCACATTGGATTTGGACTCTATAATGTATAGTAACAATTAGTGGTACTAAAAGGGAAGTCTCCATAAAATAACAAACAGAATCATAATATATACTGTAAAGATAAAAGCTTGACCTTACTCATTCGTTTGTTTGGGGGCCATTCCAAGCTGTACTCGGGGTTTACTTCTGGCTCTGCACGCAGGAATCATTCCTGGCAGTGCTCGGGGAGCCACAGGCGATGCCTGGGATCAAACCCGGGTCAGCCTTGTGCAAGGCAGTAATATAGCCTACCGGCTATATTATACTGCTGTGGCCCCAGTCTTACTCATTTTGCATTTCTGTATCACTTACCCCAAAGTTAGGAGAGACTAGCCGCAAAATACTTTTTCAAATTAAACCAAATACAATACTCCAGGGGCCAGAGCGATAGTACAGTGGGTAGGGCATTTGCCTGACATGCGGCTGACCTGAGTTCGATCCCCAACATCCCATATGGTCCCCTGAGCACTGCCAGGAGTAATTCCTGAGTTCAGGACTAAACCCTGAGCATCACAGGGTGTGACCCAAAAACCAAGTAAAATAAAACATGCTCAGGGATTCTAAGAATTCTGCATATGTTTTAAGGCGTAACTGAAAAAAATTAACTTTTAAGTATGTTTCAATACTCAAAGGTACTCAAAGCAAATGTATATTCAGCACTATATGATATGACTAGCTGCGAATATGCAACATATTCAGCATTTTTCATCTCTAAGTTGAAAAGCAGGATCTCTAAAACTTTGTAATTTAAAAAAAAAAACCCTCCAGTCACACAACTTGTAATCTTTGTCAAGTGACGTATTTCTCATCTCATAAAGCAAGCTCAGGCATCAGGAAGGTGGAATAAGAGACAGGACACAGGATATGCCCTAGGCAGTTCAATCTCTGACACCATAGGCCCCCCACGCATCACTGGGTGTCGCCCTGGAGGACCCCCGAGCGCTGACTGGATGTGGCTCTGGCACCACAAGGCCCAGGCAACACCACACACTAGGGCCAAGCTTCACATCTGAGGAGACCAGGACTCAGGACTGGCCAATCTCAGCACCAAATGGGACCCCTTCCTTCCCATAACCCCCCAGAGGAAAGAGTGCTCAGGGTTTTAACAGGAATGGAAATCTACGTGCTCCTGGCTTCATAACTGGCAGTTTCTCAAAGAAAAATATGAAAGTTATAAATATAACGCTAAATGGAATCTCCATTGTAACCTTAGCTGGGAACTGGAATTCATAAGATGTTTCTCCTTTAATTAATTTACTGCTCAATCAATGGGAGGAGGGGGGGTCACGAAACACAAAATTAAGTTTCCAAAAACTAATTTCAGTGACTGCACACCAATGACTTAGCTCAAATCAATGTCTCAAAATTTCAGAGAGCTGTGTGACACAGAACACTTTTAAAGTTTTTCACAAGTAGGTGAGCTACATTATTAAAAATATCAATCCCAAAATTTCTAAAGAGAAACCTAAACAATCACAAAACGCACGCAGTTCTGCCCGATGTTCTAAGAGCTGGATGACATTTTCTCATGAGCTCTTCTAGAACCTACATGCTGACTGCAAAAACAAAACCAAAGAAATAACTTCCCTGGTCACAGCCTCACCATGGTCATTCCAAAGGTGTTAGTTACGGAGAGGAACTACTTGATCTATCTTCTCTCACTATGCTTCAAAAGAAAAGACTGGTGTTTCTAATTATCCTGTCATTTTTATTATCTAGATCTGACAGTCATTACCTATACTTACCTTTCTCTAAGTTCACTGATGAGATCCAGTTTTTTCATGACTACCTGAAGTGGAAGGAGTTCTTCATCTTTGAATGTTTTCTATCAGGAAAGTGGGAAAACAGAGAAGTGGCCAGTTAGGGCAGGTTTCCTCGGCTAAGAATAATGGAACTGTGAAATCTCAGATCTCAGTTTTATTCCCCGAGCTAGAGCGATACTCTTACCATTTGCGTCCCAACACTTAGTGCCAAAGAAACGATAAGTCGCCGCTGCCTCGTGCTGGGCCCATTCAGAGTGTTTTCAGCCAGAACTAGAGCAGAGAGCACATCAAGCCGCTGTTCACTATATTTTTTGTCAGAAATTACTCTTTTCTTAAAAGATAAAACAGGAAATATTCATTTTATCTTTGAAGCAATAACCAAACATGAATTAGAAAAAAACTTCCCGATTATTTTTTCTATGATTCAATTTAAGAGAGCAAAAATGAATTTTGGGGTCAGATTCTTGGGCTAATGTAAGGTGCTTTACTTTTCTAACATTACACTTAGGGTCTGCGCTGCTATGCAAACATTATACTTTAATAGGGAAATCATTTCTTTAAAAAAAAATCGCACTATTTGGAAATTGTGTATGATGTCCCTTTCTCATGGTGACCATACACAGCAGTGCTGGTGGCCTAGGGTCACTGCCAGCAGAGACTGGCTTACTGACAGTATTCACTAGGCATGTGTTAATATACTTATTACATGGGCAGAGATAATGAATTCCTCCCAACGAAAACCACAAAATACCATGGAAATAATGGGGATTCTTGGGAGCTAGAGTGATAGTACAGGGATGAAGGCACATCCCTGGCATGTGGCTGGTCCCAGTTTGCTTTCAGCACCACACGGTCCCCTAGATATTACTGGGTGCAGCCGTGGAGGCTCTGAGCACTGCGAGGGGTGGCCTAGGAAGCTCCCCAGGCATCACTGAGGAGACTGAGGTCGTCTCTGGCACTGCAAGCCCGAGCACCACCACAACCTCAGGCTCTGAAAGTAAACCTACATCCAGAGAACTGCCTGGGAGACCCCATCCCCCAACCCAAAATAAGTGATACTCTTATGTGTGAAGAAATGGCGTTAACAGGGAGACCTAAAAGCAAACATCAGACAAGGGCACACCGAAAGGAGAATGCGATTATGCTGAATTGTCCATACCTTGGCCACGGAAATAGAATGAAGAGCCTGATGCTGAAGGTGCTGTGTAATATGTGAAACGGAGTCAGCCACAACCATGCTTCTCCTGTAGAACATATGCTCAATGGCCTGAAATTAGTCAGATGTAATTGTGTGAAAATCAACTTACAACTTCTAGGCAAAATTAGGAAACACTTTTAAGACTTCAAATGACTTCAAATCAGATAAGGAATTTAGAAATGAGATGTAAAACAGATACCAGACAGGATAAAATTGGTAAATCCAACTGTTTAAGATAAATTCTGTTTGCCAAGGATTTAAAAAAAAAAATTCTAGACAAGGGAGCTCGGTCAAAGGGCTAACATGCTCTGTCCCAGGTTCAACCCTTGGAATCACCATCAGGAGTGACCGCCCCTCCCCACCACACCCCACCGCCAGCACCAACTCTGGCCGGGGTTAACCCCAAAACAAGCAAAGAAAACTGACACCACATGAGACAGTATCTGCCACACATAAAGGACTAGTATTTAAAATACATAAAAACCCCAAGTGAATGGATTTTTAAGAAGCAAATTATCTCATGGAAAAATTCATAAAGATATGAATAGATTTTCACACACAAAAAAACCAGGAAACTTATTATTTACAAAAACCCACATGCTGCACTTCGATAATCAGCCTAAGAGCAATGGAAAATTGATTACATTGTGGGAGAGCAGTAATATGTGAACTGATAGAATTACAGCCCCAGGCTGCTCAGCACTGTCCCAGTCAATGACAGACTGCACATATGCTAGGCACGCCACAGAGCAGTATCTTTCTAAGGTGATACAGACTCCCAGGGATGCTGGGACAATTGAAAGGGTTAGTAGTAGCTTTGGTGCAATTCGTCATCACCTTGGAAAAGTTTAACGGGTCCATCACAGAGAACCCAGCAATCCCCTGTTAGGTATACAGAACCCCAGAAAAACACTTCCCAAGTGACCAAGAAGCAAACAGAAAAACAGTGACATTATTTATAAAGGTAAAGGTAAAGGTAAAGGCCCTCCCGTTGATCGTCGATTTGCTCGAGCGGGCCCAGTAACGTCTCCATTGGAGACTTTGTTGTTACTGTGTCTGGCATATCGAATACTCTCGGTAGCTTGCCGGGCTCTCCGAGAGGGGAACATTATTTATAATAGCAAGAAAAAAACCCAAAAAACTGGAATCCACCAAAGTCTGTCCACAGGAAAGCTAGACGGCAATGAAAAATGAATGATCCACAATGCCTCACCCCAACACAGGGAAGTTTAAATGTAAACTTATGAATTAAATAAGAATAGAGTGCATTAAGAATTCATCAATATAGGCTTTTAAAATGGTATAGAACACAGGCTCATCCACATTTAAGATACTAAACTCTGACCCTAGTTCCAGAGTTTGCAGATTAACTGCACTTGACTGTGCGGACACCTAGTCTACCGTCTGCACCTATCGAAAGATCACAGCACTTTCTTCAGTTGTGAACGGGCCTCATGCTGACAAAAGCACCCAGACCTGAACACGATGAAACAGCAAATCATGCCGCAGGGCTCCAGTTTCCCTCATGCTATCAGAGACGACCCAAGGCCTCAAACATGCAGCCACTCATCCTACAGTCTCATGCTCAGTCCAGGCCGGGCCCGCTGCCCAGCACACAGGTCTGCTGGTTCAGTGCTGGGCTGCACACTGCTTGGCCAGATGAGCAGAGAAGGAGCAGGAAGGTTCAGGAGGGTGGGGGGAGAGAACACCAAGCCACCCCGAGATGACTCCTCTGACCTTTCTCCGTGGTCATCTTTGTTCTTTTACTAGGAGGGTGTGTTGGAGGGGACACAGCGGTACTCAGAGATGGTATGGGGCAGGGATCAAATTGGGGTCAGCTGCATACAAGGCAACTGCACACTCTGGCCAGTTACCTTATTTTTTTAACTCATGCAATTATCCTCAAACTTGCAAAAGTAGAACCAGCGAGAAGAGTACAGGGGTTAAAGCACTGACAGTGCATGCAGCCAAAAGCAAAAGCAGTGCAATCCCTGACACTTCAAACGGTTCTCCAAGCATGACCAGAAGTGACCTCTGAGTACTGCCAGGTGTGGCCCAAAATAAAAAATAGTTCTTTTAGAAGTTTATGTAACTCACACTATACTAAAACTTAAGCTAATCTCTGTCTCCTCTCTCTCTCTCTCTCTCCCCCCCCCCCGTCTCTCTCCCCTTCACTGAAACTTAAACTAATCTTAATTTTCCTTTCTCTCTCCTTTTAATAAGGTCAATTTTTAACAAGGTTAAATGCACTGATCATCCACAGAAAGTTACTTGAAAGTGTCTTTTGATGGCTAGCTCCTTTCTCAAAATAAGAGTAAAGCACATTTGTCCATGTTTTATTTTCACATTACCAAGAAATTAAACTTTAAAAGACCATCCTACTTGTAAGCCCACGCCATTCTAAACTGTAAGGTAAAGTAAAATCAGCTAAAACATACCTTGAGAAGCTCAACAAGCCTGCACAGCGCTTTAACTGAGGTTTTAGTCATCGGTTTCTGCATGGACATGTAGAGATTCATCGTGGTTTTAATAATGGTACTAATACTATATGCATATAAGAAGCCCTATAAAAATAAAACACTGGTTATAATCACAAGGTTTCATTTCTCCAAGAGTTCGTTCTTTATAAAAGATTTAATATTCCTTAACGTGTAATAACTAGCATTTATGAAGTTCAATTTATAGTTGGTCCTTACAATTTTAAAATACTTTTCTTCACACAGTAAAATAAAATGTTTACTTTTCAATGCAGCTTTATCAGGCTAGAGAGACGGTATAGGGCCTTAGGCTTCTGCTTGCATCGGGCTCAGTTCAATCCCCAGCTCCACATAACAAACAGATCCCCAAGCATGCAGGGAGAGAGCTCAGAGCATGAAGCCAAAAATGGCCCTGAGTACTGTTAGGTGTGTCCCTCTCCCAAGTAAATAAACTAAATTGAAGTAATAGCAATAACACTGTCACGTAAGGCTTAAAATATGCCTAGTCAATTAAAATAATAGCATAGAAGGTATGAGGAAATAAAATTAGTTTAAGATCCTTACACAGACTAGCCAGTAATATGTTAGAGTTGAGTGAGTAAATATGCAGGTTAAAAATCTCTAGAATAATCACTACCAGGGGAAAAAAAGTAAAAGAACATAGATTTAACCAAAAGAGGGAGAAGTACAGGCGGAGAGATAGAACAGCGGGGAGAGTGCTTGCTTTGCATGCAGCCTATCCAGGTTTGATCCGCAGCATCCTACATATCCTATACAGTGCCCCGAGTTGGCCAGGAGTGATTCCTGAGTGCAGAGCCAGAAGTAACGTCTGCATACCAGTGGGTATGGCCCCCAAGACAAAACAAGAACAAAATAAGAGGGAGAAATAAAACGATAAAAATAATTTTAAAAGGATCAAGAACAGAAAAGAAATAGGTCACGGAAAAATGAGACACATACTAGCAACTAGTTAGGTAATAAATGTAAATCTAAATTTTATCAATAGTGAAGCATAGTTTAATGAATAAACAATCATTTTGAAAAAAAATATATATATACTGTAACCATCAAAACAAGAACAACCAGTGCTGACATGGATGCAGGGAGAAAGGGATTCTAATTCACTGTTGGTAGAAATGCCGACTGGTCCAGCCTTTTTGGAAAACAACATGGACATTACTAAAAAATCTAGAAACTGAGCTTCCATTTGACTCAACAATCCAGCTTCTCAGAATATACCCCAAGGGTCAAAAGCAAAATGGAAGAAAGGCATTTGCACCCCTATGTTCCTTGCAGTATTATTGACAATAGCCAAAATCTGGAAACAACCCAAGTGTTCAAGAATAGATGACTGAATAAAAAAAGTACACACACACACACACACGCACACACGCACACACACACGCACACACACCCCATACACACAATGGAACTCAGCCAAAAGAAAAGATAAAATTATGCAGTTTGCTGCTACCTGGAGGGATCTGGGGAGTATCCAGTCTGAGAGAGAGAGAGAGAGAGAGACGGAGACAGAATGATCTCTCTCATTAGGTAGAATATCAGGAAACATAATGGAGAATACTGAATGCCCAAAGACAATAAAAACAAAGACCCTGAGAACTGGTAGTCAGTAGAAAGCATACCACTTGAGGGGGCTGGGGACAGGACCGGGAGGGGGCAAAAATTACAGTGGGAGGAAGATCAAAAGGAGAAGGTGGTGCTGAAAGGTGATCAAGTGTTTTGCGTGAAACCCTACTGGCAACAGTGCTAAAACTTAGATTCCTTAGATTTTTTTTTTTAAGTGCCCTTCTTCAAGTCAGACCTGTGGGTGGGAGGCAAAGTGGGAGATTGGTGAAGGGATTTGTTTTTAAACCGGTGGAGGGAAGTGGGCAGTGGTGAAGGGACTGATTTTTAAAACAATGTATGGCTAAAACCCAATCACGAATAACATACACACACACATACATACACATGTGCGCACATATACACACATACCTATATGCTGTAAGAATCAAAAAACACATAGGTACAAAAGAAAAACCTGCATTATGCTAACTTCATACAAAAGAGACCTGTAACAAAAGGCACTAATAGAGGGGCCAGAGAGTACAGAGGGTAGCTGTTGCCTTGCACACAGCAGAACTGGGTTTGATTCCCAGCACACCATCTGGTCACCCAAGCCTGCCAGGAGAGATTCCTAAGTTCAGAGTCAGGAATAAGCCCTGAGCACTCCAAGATGTGGCCAAAAAATAAATTAAAATAAACCAAAAAAAAAAAAAACCCTAGAGATTTTAAGACAGTTTCATAATGATTAGAGCTTCAATTCATTAGGAAGATATGATCAATATAATATACTTTCTTATTCTCAAAATCTATAAAACAAGGACCAGAGTGATAGTACAGCAGGTAGGGTGCTTGTCTTGCATGCAGCTGACCTGTGAGCCAGGGGTAAGCCCTAAGCAATGCCAGGTCTGGCCCCCAAAACAAACAAAAATCTATAAAACAAAAATGAACAGTGAAATGAATCGACAGATCAGCCACAAGAGATATTATCACCTAAAGCTCTCAGTAACAGAGAGATCAGACAAACTAACAAACAACACAGAATACTACAAACCATGCACTATTTTATGTGCATATGAAATATTTACCACAGACTAGGTGGTTCAAACACTAAACAAGTTTCAAAACACTAAAGTTCTCTTTTAATACAAGGAACCAACAATAAAAAGAAAACACCACCATATACTCAGAAATTATAAAATAGTCTCCAAAATAAACGCAGAACTTTTAAGAAGTCACAATATATATTTTGAACTAAAGAATAACAAAAATAAAACATAAAAATTATAGGATAGGGCTAAAAATGCTTTGAAGAAAATGTAGCTTAAAATGCATATACTGAAAAAATATCTAAACAAGTTACACATAACCGAGCCAATTTTAATTTAAACAAATTCTGCATTTCCCCACTTTTTTTCCAGATAACAATTTCTAAAACCTGAATTAAGAAAGAAATGACCCCAAAATAATTCTAAGAAAGGAGATGCAACTACCTGTATAAAAACATTGCATCGGTTGGTAAGGTCTTCGGCGAATTTATCCATTCTCTGCTCTTTAGACAAGATAGACTCCATTTTCATCATCCACGAGCTCACAAAGATGTAATAGGACTGCACGTCTCTAACAAGGGAAATTAATTCCGCAGTTAGCAGACAGGAAAGAAAATGTACATTCTCTCTGTCTGTATTAGTTGGGATGAAACATTTCCTTGAGACAACCATTTTACCTTTCTGATTTTCAAAGTCTAGATTTCATATTATCTATTCATCCAACAATATACTTGCCGTCTACACAGATGAACCACTGTATCTCAGTACTTAAAAAAATATAGCAGACAAAAAGCAGACAGTACAGTGGTACATGTTACTGAGGTAGGTATGTTTCAGTAACATGTACCTGCCTTGCATGCGACTGTAGTCACCAACAACAGTTCTGATCCCTGCACTGCATACGGTGCCCCAGGCACCAAGCCAGGTGAGGATCTGGACTGCCCAGTGAGAAGCGGTCCCTGAGCACAGAGCCAGGTCTGGTACCTTAACCACTGCCAGGTATAAGCAACCCCCTCAAAAATGACCAGGTGAGGCCCAAACTACCCTCTCTGTAACCATCACCCACCCTTGAAACCCTCATCATCCCTAACCCACTTACAAAAAGAAGTGAACAGGCCTATACTATGGGCCCACTGTCATACCAGCCCTGCCAAGAGCATCGTGATGAAATACAAGGTCAAGAGCATTCACTTAGTTTCAAATGAGAGCATCCAAATAGGAGAGTTTATCAATCACTTATAGCCATCATTTCTACATCCAAATGCCAGATTAACTTTGTCTTTTGTATAACCATCAGAATAAAACATGTTTCAAGTTCTGAAAGCAATCCAACTCACAAAATTTAAAAATGGCCAAAGGGTCTTATTAGATTATCAAATTTATATTTAAAGTACGAATAGAAAACAAAATAGTATGGAAGAAAACCAAATCTGCTTATATAAAAAACAATGATGGAACAACAACACTGGATGCGGCCAAAATTCACCCAACTCCCCAAGAGGGAAAGGAAATAAATCTTTAAAAGACCACCCAACTCTTTCTCTGGTTACAGATCAGTATGTTTGATCTAACTCAAAAGGTTGCCATGATAGTCTAAACCTGAAAATATATTTTCATTAAGGATACTTATTAACCTACTTGGTAAGGGAGTGAGCTTTCTGTTGTAGGAAAGTATCTCTGTGTACTTTAATGGCTTGAAGACTTTTTCTGTCTAGAAGTTTGGCAGCTGCTGGTACTTTCTGGATCAAAAAATTATCAGGAAACCAAATGATATTAGCAGTCAAAGTGATGGCTGGTACCTAAAATAATAACCATAAAGAAAGGACAATCTTTAAATACAGGTTAAACAATAAGCTGATTAGTAATTCTGTAATATGCTGTAAAAAAACATTTCAAGAAAAAACAATCTGCAACAGTCATTAACATGACATAAATTATCCTGTGACACAATTAGGGTATAATTATTGTAATGACAAAATATCATTAAAAAAAATGTTTTGTGGGCCTGGAGATGACGCAAAGGTCTGGTGGGCACCTTTGCATGTGGGAAGCCCAGGTCCCCATACCCAGCACAGCACAGTTCCCAAGGAGAGGACCCTCAGCAACGCAGAGTTTGCCACCACCACCCCCCAAAGTAATAAAATAAAAAATACAGCTTTATCAAAACTTTTCTCATTGACTTTAATCAAAAGAAGTAGAAGCTCTTCCCAAGTTCTTACCTTCTTACAAATGTCCAATAAAGACTTATAGAACTTCTTATCAACAGTTCGAAAAATTTGAAAGTGCAGTACAAAGAGTCCACAAATTCCAACGTACTTATCTCTTTGGTCAATTTCAGAAGGTTCTCCTATATTATTAGCCATAACGAGAGAAAAACATTACGAATATTCTTAAAATTCCCTTAGGAAATGAAATTTCTATTAAAAAAACAAACAAAAAATACACTTTACATTACCAAGTTTGGCTTCTACATTTGCAAAAATTGAACGAATACTATGTGCAAATTCTTCAGCAAAAGTGCTATTTTTGGACACGGATACTCCTCCATTGAGAGAATCAAATTGTTGTTCTATACAGGCCTATATAGGAAACATTTAAAGAGAAATTTAGACTCATAATAATACCTCTGAATAGATTTATGGTAAACTATATGCATCACTGCAATTTTACAAACACTGACACTAGGTTTGCAATCTTAATCTAGCATCTAAATCCTTGTGAATGGAAAATGTGCATGTACTTACCTGAGTACCAATTATGTGAAAATGATAAAACTAAATAAAGTTTTGCATTGAGATAGACTAATTCTCAGTGACAGAGATGATTTTATCTGATCAAATAATAGAAAACATTTGTTTATAAATAATTTCTGACACTGTGTGTAGATGTGCTATATACATACATTTCTACACAAATTCATGCACATACAGAAATAACTGGTAGCAAATGAATCGATGATAAATGTTACTTCTGCATCTCCTGGATGAAGAGTAAAACTAACAGACACAATGGCTAGGTCAATTTTTTAAAACAATGACTCTATGAAATATAACACAATCTTGAATCAGACTGTAAATAAAATGCACCGCAATTTCTGGTGAAGACTACCCAAAGTTCTTCTGTCCAGCAGAACTCTCTGTGGTGATGGAAATGTTCTCCATCTGTGTCACTCCAAGTGAGGATCAGCCACAAAGCACTGACACTTTTCCCTACGTTTAATGAAATTATCACTGACATGTAGCCTATTACCAAGATATACCAAGCTGATTACATGTGACTATTCGAAGACCTTGAAATGTTGCCAGTATGGTAAAAGTAAATTTATCTTCATTAACTTAAATACCTACATGTGCTAGGTTATAGGTAAAGGTAAAGGCCCTCCCGTTGATCGTCGATTTGCTCGAGCGGGCCCAGTAACGTCTCCATTGGAGACTTTGTTGTTACTGTGTCTGGCATATCGAATACTCTCGGTAGCTTGCCGGGCTCTCCGAGAGGGGCGGAGGAATCGAACTCGGGTCAGCCATGTTGGCTGCTTGTAAGGCGAACGCCCTACCCGCTGTGCTATCGCTCCAGGTTATAGTTATAATTATTGTCTCATAGCCTAGGAAGATCTAAACAGACTTTAACAATGTATGTCTACAAATCAAAATCTAAAGTTGAACAACACATTGTTCTTAATATAACTGCGTAGATATTAATCCCTAGTTATATCCTTTCCTGTAATTAAAAAAACAAGTTTCACTACAAACACAACTAATAACATTATTAATTTTGTTTTGGTTTCTGGTAGATATTGAAATGATACCAGTATTTTAAGCCAAAACACTTCTAAAGAAAAACAGGTTCAAGACCAGAGAGACAGAACAGGGGCTAAGGGCAGGCCTCGCATGCAGCAGCCCAGTTCTATCCCAGAGACAACACGGGCCCCTGAGCACTGCAGGCTACATCCCTAGAAACCCCTGAGCACCACTGTGTGTGGTCAAGCCAGAGTAGGCCAGGGTACTCGCCAGCACCACGGGGCCCAAGCAGCTCGGCACAGACTTACAAGGAGGGGAACTCTGAATTTCCTGAGCACTGCTTTGGGAGTTCCCCTGCCCCCGTCCAAAGGAAACAAATTTATAACCATACATATATATGATATGGATATATACACATAAATATTTCAAGACAAATTTTGTACTGAATCAACTAGTATCAGTGTGATACTGATACAAGTCTTACCTGAAATATCATTCCATCCAATAACTGCCCTTCTAACTTCAGCAAAAATTTTTCAAATGGCTTTAGTTTTTCTTCCTGAATCCCAAATTTCGAAGGATTGTGATGAACAGATTTTAGTAACCTTGTGAAAGATAAAAAAACTTTAACTCTGCTTAATAAATTCTTAAATTAGAAATGCCAGAAATCAAAATTTCCTATTTCTTGCTTAAATATGAATTTATATTGATACATTTTAAAAATACACACATTTAAAAATTAAATAAAAAATAATTCTAATATAATTTTCTAATCATGTCACACATTATGTCTTCTTAAATTCAGAAACCACATGCTCCCTACATAGACATTTAGTAAGCACTTTTAAGTAAACTGAGTAAAATAGAGACTGAAGCTCAATGACTTCGTGTCTCCTTTGCATGTATGGGCCCTAGTTAGAGCCCTAGCACCATCATAAAGTAAAATATATTTGATTTCAAAAAAGCCGTGGCTACTGTACAATGAAATAAAACTAAGCTCAGAACAAACAACTGTCCTTTAAATAGAACTCGTGGTCAAAATAAATCTGAGTTCTAAGGTAGTCAAATTAACGTTCCACTGTACTTTAGGAATTAGTTTATTTTATGCAAGTACACTACACTCTCAAACAAACCTATCTGAAATTCAAAAATGGCTTACAAACTTCATGGAATCATTTGACATTACAGCCTGCCTCTAAATATGGACCTTGGAGGTATTATCTTTTTCCTAACACATAAACGATAAAAATGAGAAAGTGTGTTTTTACATTAGCTCACCTTTTGTACATAGTCCAGTGGTCTTTCAATGTGACATGATTATCAATAATTTCATCCAGGGTGAGCAAAACTGTTAGCAATTCTCCCAAATGCTCATACATAGTCTGTCAAAAAACCTTTAATGATTACCATTGAATCACCAGAGGCTAAGTTTCATATATTTTTGTTTTTTGTTGTTTGTTTGTTTTGCTTTTTGGGTCACACCCAGTGATGCTCAGCTGTTACTCCTCACTCTGCACCCAGGAATCACTCCTGGAGGGACTTGGGGAACCATATTGGATGCCAGGGATCGAACACGGGTTGGCAGCGTACAAGGCAAATGCCCTACCCGCTGTGCTATCACTCCGGCCCAAGCTTCATATAATTTCAAACAGTATTTAAAGCATTAAACAATTAAAAAAATAACTGAACAATAAGCCCATCCTTAATTGTGATAGTACAGACTTGTCACACTTTGTCACACTTTTCAGAGACATACTACAGGGTCTGCACTGGGCCATTCCTGGGGAAAACTAAGAATTATACTGACAGAGGGGTCATGACTAACTCTCCAACTTCACAGATGAAAAGAGCCATGCAGCCGGGCATTCTGTGGATATCCCTGGAACTGAACTACTCAATCATCCAACTATAAAGTAAAAGACAACCACAAGTACAGTTTTACAGATCAAGTTCGTTTTACCTGAAAATGAACTCCAGTTGTCTCTATAATTTTGGGTGCAATTCTGTAATAAAATAACACCCAGATTTTATTAAAAAAGAAAACAAAACTTCTCTGTCAAAGTTACCTATTACCTTAAGGAAAACACATAACAGCAAAAGCTATTGTAATATGAATGCACATTTATCTTTATTAAGTCTAAGTCACTAAAATTTAAGTAACTCAAGGAATTACTATAATTTGTACTCTTCCAAGAAGGAAACAACAAACTTGTAAATAGTCTCAGCTATTCTTGCTATACCTAACTTAGTGGGTAGAAAATAACAAATATGGTCCATAAATAATCATAGCCAATTAACTCTAAAGGACTTCACTGAAATAAAAGTAGAGAATTAACAAAACTTATTTCTTTCTACACTACCAAAATTTATCATTTTCTCACCTAAACTCAGAATCTTACATCTTCTCCCCCCCGACCCCCAACTGGCGTTTGGGAATTAGCTCTTTCTTCAGTCAGATTTACTTTTGAGTTCTTGTCCCTATTAAAAATGCATACAACTAGTATAATAAGCAAAATCAGTAGCCCCAAGATCATGCAATTTTATTTCCTAAAGATCTTCTTTACTCAACTGAAATAAATTAAGATAGTACTGTATTTCACTGCATAATCATCACACCCCTTTTCCAATAATACCAGCACAAGCACAATTTTAAAAAGAAAAAGTCACATAATGTGCTGTACTCCACTTCTGACAAAAAAAAAAAAAAAACCCTGTCATAAATTTGTGACGAGTATGTGGCAAAATATGATACTATATCTGTCAAATAAAGCACAGATAAGATATTCCGCAAGACTGTCTTTGAATGTCTTTAAAAATAAAGACACAAAATTAAAGGAAGTTTAATCCTTCTTGGGCAGGGACATGGTGTTGGGGAGTCCTCTCTGAATTACACACCAGAGCCACAGGGCTGGGGTGCTATGCTCCTACTCCCTTTTGCCATGAGTGCTCCAACGAAAAGACAGAACGTAAAATAAATACCTGACTGAGGGAAAAACATGAGCATGAGAAACAGTTAACACAGTCTTAACTTGAAAGAGAAAGTTAAGATGCAGTATGGTTTGCTAAGAACAATAATGAATGGACCAGTGATTCAAAGCACAGTACCTAAGAGTGCTATGGACTTCAGTCAGTCCTCTCTTCTGTTCTCATGGAAATCCCTGGTTTTATTCCTAAGTAAAGTTACTGGAAAGTTATAACTAATTAGTAAATGGGAAACATTTTAAGTAGAGCACACTGATGAAATGCAAAATGCCACTTTGTTGTAGAACAGAGAAGGCCAGTAGCACTTCAGCAGAACCGAAAATGTCAGCACTTCTCTTGGTGTTAGTTAGGGCGGTGTTCACCCAACTTGTTATATAATTAGAATGACTGATGAAATTTTCTCAATACAGAATGCTTCACCCTACCCCAACCCCAAGGTCCTACAGTTTAAGTAACTAATAAAATGGGGGAAACCTTCAAAAAAAAAAAGAAGGAAAGAAATATGGGGAGAATATGCGTTCGCTGATTCACACTAACACTTGTCCTAAGCAATCAAATTCTTTTGATTCTCTGTTCACAATCTAATTCAGACAGAGGGTTTAGTAAGCTACGAGGTAAACACCTTAGTAACTTAAAACATTCCAGATACTTTTTAAAGAAACATCGTATGTGTTGAAAGAAAGCTGAATACATGCATGAAAGAATGAGTGAACAAATGGAAAAACTATTTTAGAAAAATAGCTAGTTTCCAAGAAAACATTTCCTGCATCTCTACAATAAATGCAAAAAACATTTCTAAAATGCATTACTTGTTACTGATATAGAGGGCAGCCAACTGATGGACTACATTCATCACCACTTCATAGCACCTCGTAACAAAACAAGACAGTTCCTGAAATGACAAGTTGGGTATACGTTACAAAGTTGCTTTGGTATGTCACCATTCCACTGAATTTTATGGTAACAAGGTTACACAATATTAAACAGGTTTCTACTAAAATCCCCACTTAACTGCAGCCAGACAACTTAAAGCATCCTCCATCGTTCTCCTAACTCATCTCCTGCACCCCAAGATCACTATCTTTTTGCCCCCACAAAGTTACATCATACATGCTTTTGTCTCATGCATCAATAACACATTGTAAAAACTGCCTAATTACAGACTTCTTCTCAATCCTTCTTAAATATCCACTACCTAACATCACAGCTAACACTCAACAACTCAATAAATCCTGTCCTAATAAATGAACAAATGAATGAGTATCTGAATGGAATGAAGTTCAAGAGTTCCAGTTTAGAAAGTATGATAATGAAAGGAAAGAGTCTTTAAATGTTTATTATCTTTAACTTAATCTAGAAACAGATTTGGCACATAGACGAAATATTATGTTTGTCATATAATCAAATAATGTCTCAATAATGTTTGTCATTAAATAGTATATTCTGTTTTAAAGAAAATTTATATTCAGGAGCCAGAGCTATATTACAGCAGGGAGGGCATTAAGCTTGCATGTGGCCAAGCCAGGCTCAATCCCCAGCACCCCGCGTGGTCCCCCAAGCACCGCCAGCAGAAATTCCTGAGGGCTGAGCCTGGAGTAACCCCTGAGCATCACCAGGTGTGACAAAATACACACACACACACACACACACACACACACACATATATATATATATAGTATCCAGAAGTTCTCAATTTTAAACCCAAAGAAAGTTTCTATCCCAAAATATTAAAAACCTGATTAATCTTACGGGTTCCAAATTTTAGTCTTTACAAAGCCAGGAATTTCTACTGGTTTTGTGTGCTGCCATATTCCTAGCCAAAATAACAGGTTTTTAACATATGCTAGGTTCATGAAACAGTTGTCAAATGTGTAAAAATAGAATTTTTGCTATTCTCAATATAACCCCAAAATAATTTTACTTTTTAAAATTTGGGGCAACATCCATTATTTAGGGCTTATCTCTGCACTCAGGAATCGCTACTGGCAGGGCTCAAGGGACCACATGGGGTGCCAGGAATCAAATCCAGGTCGGCCACATACAACATAAGTGCCCTACCCACTGTGCTATCTCCCCAGCCCCAATTTTAAACTTTTTAAAAATAATGCGTTTCAATTTTACTTCAACTACAATGTTGTTCTTTATTCAATTTCTGAAAGTTAAATAAAACCAATGAACATAAAATGCAGGACAAAAAGAAAGAACATAACAAAGCAATAACATTATTATGCTTCTACATATGTGCATACACGGAAATATTCAAATATATAAACCATATAAAACAGAAACAGAACTATAAGCCAAAATAACAGATTTGTTTAAATAACAAAATCTATATATATCGTCTTAAACACAAAACCCCATGACACTCAATGACTAGGAGAATGAAAAAGAGATGAATCAAGAAAACATGAATTTAAACAGAAGACTAGGGTAATGATATGAGACAAAACAGACATTACTGGCATTATTACAACCAATTAGTACGTGATACATATTTACATGAGTAATAGGAACTTTTCCTAGACCGTGGGGGCACCCACACAGTGCTCATGAAGCCCTGGCAACACTTGGCCTGGCTGAGGCTCAGGGTTCAGTACTGCCAATGCAGTGCTGCTTGGACCCAAAGGTGCTGGGGGACACTAGCATCATACCCATCAGTACTGAGGTCCGGCTGGGACCTCAAGATACAAGGTACATGCTCCAGCCTTCAAGCACCTCCCTGTCTCCCTCCCCTGACACACACAATTATCACCATAGCTCAGGAGGATGGGGTGTTTACTGGGGCTGGGGAGACGGCCCAGCATGCTGAGTTTATGCTGCACTTGCGGGAGGCTGGGGTTTAATTCCCAGGACCAGGTGGTCCAAGAGCCACCAGGCGTGACCCCCCGAATACAGAGCAGGAATAGCCACTGCCGGGCACTTGGTAGGTGTGGCCCAAACACACAAACAATCGAGGGTCACCAAAATAGTAAGATCCAGCTATCACAAGCAATTAACAATTCTGAATCTGTATATATTATCCCTAGAAGAAAAGTGAATCTTGATAAAACCAGGGGACAAATAAACATATTTACTGGCATTCTGCATGTTGCTCATTTCTCGAGATTCCTGCCCTGTTTCTGCTAACGGGTGGCACTTAATAAAGGGAGACCAGAAGGCAGGAATGGGCTGTCCTTTCTGCTTCTCACCACTTTTAATGCAGACAATGCAAGAGGGAGGACCTCGGCCTCCTCTGGCAGGGCAGAGTCCCACAGAGCCCACCCTGCACAACCCTCACGGCGCCCCAACAGCAGTGCTGTTTCCTGCAAGGAGGGGCTCCGGCTGCAGGAGGCTTCCTGGCCACACTCCCCCTACCCCTGGCCACACTCCCCCTACCCCTAGAAAGAGATGTGGTATCTGCTTCCCGAGCTCAACTTCTTGTTTTCGGGTTTTTTTTTTCCCCAGCCCTCCAATGTTTTGTTTTTGGGGGGTGAGGCTAGCGTTGGAGACTGAGTTCAGGGCCTCACAAAGCAAGGCAAGCACCCTCCCGTTGAGAGCTACCCGCCCCTCCCAAACAAGCGCTCTAGTTCTCCTGGAATCAGTTCTTTCTTCAATCCCACTCTGAAACATGGTTTATTTCTATACCAGACCCTGACACAAACCACAATAAATAATAGTATCAGGGCTGGAATGATAGCACAGCAGGTAAGGCGTTTGCCTTGCACGTGGCCGACCCGGGTTCGATTCCCAACATCCCATATGGTCCCCTGAGAATTGCCAGGAGTAGTTCCTGAGTGCAGAGCTGGGAGTAACCCCTGTGCATCACTGGGTGTGACCCAAAAAGAAAAAAAAAAAAGATGATCAATAAAACGCTTTCACTTAAATCAAGTAGACAGAATAAACAGTAAAGATAGAAAAGGTAAATATGCTTCAAGAAATGCATCAAATCTTGAACCAATAATCAGAAAGCAGGAGGGATTATGTGTATTTTTTCGTATCTCCAATGTCTGCTTTGTACATACACAACTTTCATAATGAAGGGGGAAAATAAACTTACAAATTCTTTGGATGAACTTAAAGCAAAAGACCTAAAATAACTGAAACTTTGCAAAGATGAAAAGCATGTCTAACCTAGAAACATCTGGTTAGAAGCAACAAATGCTGCTGTTCTAAACAACTGCATCATTGTTCCTCTAACATTTAATCATCTACACTAAAAAGTCTTTGTGACAGAGCATCTTTTCCCACCTGGTACAAAACCCGAATTATTTGAAAGAAATAATGACAATTTGCCTATAAATTAAACTATACAAACTTATTTTGATAACGTATTTTCCTGAAAGTACTATTAAAATCTTTCAGGAAATAACTGTATTTCAATGCTGTCACACCTAACAACACACATATTTAACATCTCGAGTTTCCTTTCTGAGTTATGTCAACTTCATTCAAACTTTTCAAAGAAAAACCTCAAGAAAACTTTTTAAAAAGTTACCTGTAAGAATGAAATAAATCTACCCATCTGAATTTGGCAGTCACCTTCTACCATGCTGGAATCGGTAGCTTTAAAGGCAATACAAAGAGTCATACTTCAATTCAGTAATTTAAACTCAATGAACTCAAAAAAAAAAAAAAGTGATTTCTATTCCCTAGGGCATCTTCTCATCTGCATATTAAGTACAAAATTTTCACAGTGTAAAGGGAGATTTTATCATTAATCACAATTTAAAAGTAACCATCCTTTTTACTATTAACGAACTTCAAGAAAATACTCATCTAGATCTAGTACTTTGTGATTTTTTTTTAAATATTACTGACTGTAGCAGTATTTCCCAAAGTGGGTGACAGGGGTGGGCCAGGGCATACTGGGGTAATATGGATGGGCTGCAGGAGAAAACATCAGGTTCAACTGAGGACAGTGCCTGTTTTCTTAAAGAAGGTAGATTTCTAGGGGCTAGAAAGAGACCCTAGATTTCTGGGGGCTGTACAGTAGCTGGGTGCTTGCCTTGCATACAGTAAATCCAGATTTAATCCCCAGAACCAGACATATATTGGTCCCCCCACGCCCTGTCAAGAAGTCTAAAGTGATCCCTGAATACAGAGCCAGGAGTAAGCTCTGAACAGTGCCAGATTCATCCCAAAAGCCAACCATCCCTCTTTCTCAAAAAAAAAGTTAGATTTATAGGAGGGTGCAGTGTGATTATTTTTTTTTTTCTGAAAAGAGGGCAGTAGGTCAAATAAGTTTAAGAACTTTGCAGAGTATGTTACTTCATCACTCAGATTTTTTCCAAGCCAAGAAAAAAAATAATGAACACATTATTTTCTCATACTAATATATAATGATGGTAGTCCTAAAATTTTGTTAACTTCATGTTCATCTCAATCTCAAAAAAGGCATCACAGTATTAACAATGTGTAATTTAAAAACTTACCTCCTTCTCCATAGAACAAGAGGCCATTATAAAATTTTGTTTCTGCCTGTTTAAGAAAAACAAAAATGATCATACAGGTTGTCACTTTGCAATTTCCTAAGCTCTTGTCACAAATTCATTTGAATGTGAACTCACTTAAATGTGAATTCACAGAAATGCTTAAAAATGCTGGTAAATTAAATTTATCTTCAGAGGAGCCAGAGCAAAGGTATAGATAGCGGGTAGGGCACTTCCCTTGCACATAGCTGACCAGGGTTCAATCCCTGGCACCCCAAATGGTCCCCCAAACCTGCCAGGAGTGATTCCTGAGTACAGGGCCAGAGTAAACCCTAAGGACAACAATGTGTGTCCCCCCCCCACGCAAAGAAAATTTTAGAAGACACACTACTGATATTCGTAATTATAGCTTTATTTCTTTAGCCTTTAACTCGGTCTTATCTGACCACTGACTAACTCAAATACTCCTAATTCATAGGAGAGATCCTCTACACAGTATCAAGAAAAGCAGAAGTATTTCTTCTGATCTTTAGTTTTTAAAATAGGGGGTAAGGGAATAAAACTAAATGCATGATTTTTTTTTCTTAAATCTGGGGAGGCAGGGAAACCTCCTGAGTGTGCTCAGGGTCCAGGGTCCAAGGAGGACTCCCCTGGTTCAACTCAGCTCAGCAACACTGTGTTGATGGGACTATGCTTGGACCCAACAGCGCTGGGGCTCCCAGGACTACAGTTACAGTGCTCAGAGGAGGCCAAGAATTGTGGGGGATCAAACTCAGGGCCCAGCACATGCAAAGTGTATGTTCCAGCCCTCTGAGCTATTTCTCTAGAGCAAGAGACCAATTAAAAAAAAAATCAGTATGTCCAGTAGATAATGAACAGATTTTGAAGTTATGCAGACCCAGATTCAAACTGTTACTAGCAGCAAGATCTTGGGAAGTAAAGTTTTCTTTAAGCCTGCCTCAATTTCATCAATTCCTCAAGTTCCTCCTTGAATCATTAGCAATGCATTTAGTACAGTTAAGTAACCTGAATGGCAGTTGTCACTATTACTTTAAATAAACAATTCATTGAACATCCAATATTTATGCAACACAACCTTACTTTAACTCATTTCTAAAAATCTTAATTACCTCATATTTTAATTTCTTGATTTCACAACAAAGTGCAGCATAAACAGTGATGACCTTGTTTAAGACCTAGATTCATGGGTAAAAATATAAAAGCAAAGAATTAAATTATAGTAGATAACTAAGGCATCTAAAAAAATAAATGTTTAGGTTTTTAAGTCTTTACCTTGTTTTCTGTCTTTATAAGTTCCAAAAGGGAAGACTGTTCATAAGGCAAAAGCTAGAGAAATAAAGGAGAACATTTCTTTTCAGTAGATAAAACAACTGACATTTTAAAGACAAACAGGGACTAGCTATATTACAATTACACTTGTTGATAGAACCTCTAATTAGGACATGCACCATATCAGATGAGAAGTGGTATGAGAAGTGATATATATGATGGAATTTTTTTTTCAGGGTAGTTAAAATGTCCTAAAATTGAGTATGGCAATGGTCGTACAATTCTCGAGTATACTAAAAACCAAAAAAGGACAGCATCTGTTACAAATAAAAATTAGTTATTATTTATAGTAAAAGGCTACTATTAAGTTCCAATTTAAAAAAGAAAGAAAGAAAACAACATCAAAACGAAACAGAGCAGGAATGAGCAGGAATTTAATGTATAATTTTTATACATTAAAAATTAAGATCCTGGGGCTGGAGCAATAGCACAGCAGGTAGGGCGTTTGCCTTGCACGCGGCCGACTAGGGTTCAATTCCCAGCATCCCATATGGTCCCCCGAGCACCACGAGGGGTAACTCCTGAGTGCAGAGTCAGGAGAAACCCCTGTGCATCGCCAGGTGTGACCCCCCCTTCAAAAAAAGGAAAAAAAATTAAGATCCTTTAAATAGCATATGAAAACTCTGCAGCAATGATGAAAAGATTTATATCTTGACTGGGATATAAGTTACACATGGATATACATGTTTGGCAATATTTAAGGAATGATGTATTCAGTGTATTTATATTGAACTTTTTGCATCTTCACTGCATATAAAATGTCATTGACAAAAACAAAACGTGGTATTCATTTTCTAGAGATTTTCTAAAAAAGCTAACCCAAAGCTTTTTATCTTGTATCATTCTTTTTATTGTTGTTGTTCTGGGATCACACCCAGGACTTACTTCCTGTCTCTGCACTTAGGGATCACTCCTGGTGGGTCTCAGGAGACCATCTGAGATGTTTGGGATCAAACTAAGTCAGCTGCATACAAGGCAAGCAGCTTACCAGATGTTCTATTGCTTTGGCCCAGCTTGTGTCATTCCTTAAGGAAACAAAAACATCCGCAGGGCTGAGAGAAAAAGAAACTAAACAATTCTTCTCTAAGTTTAATTCTCCCAATTCCAAATAATTTTTCAAATTCTATTTTAAAACAACTATGTTTTCATTAGTTTGAAATGATATACGCACACCTACGTATACTAAGGCTTAGTACAATAGTCAAGACATGGGAACAACCCAAATGTCCAATGATACATGAATAAAGAAGCTGTGGTTACATACACACAATGGAATACGATTCCCCCTTTAAAAAAAAAATGATGGAGGGGGCTGGAGCGATAGAACAGCAGGTAATACTATCGCACACAGCTGACCTGGGTTTGATTCCCAGGCATCCCATTATAGTCCCCAGAGCACCACCAAGAATGATTCCTGAGTGCAGAGCCTAGAGGAACCCCTAATCATCTCCAGGTGTAAGCCAAAAAAAAAAAGGAACCTTGCAATTTGCTGCCAATTGGATAAAAATGGAGGGCATCATGTTAAGCAATATGAGTCAAAGGGGAAAGAACAAACACCAATGATCTCACTTATTTATGGCATATACATAGATAAAAACAAAGGAAAAGCCAGTCTCATGATAAAAAAAAAACCTTTGGGCCACAGGGCTGGATCTACAGTACAGCAGGTAGGGCACCTGCACTGCACACACACAGCTGACCCGGATCCGATACCCAGAATCTCATATGGTTCCCCCCAAGCTCCATCAGGAATAACTCCTGAGTGTACAGAGCCAGGATCAGCCCTGATCATCTCCAACTGTGGCCCAAAAATAACTAAATCTTTGGGCCTGCATTACAAAACTGAGGATATCAAAGGAGAGGGAAGAAGAGGTAGACTAAAGTAATAACAGTACAAGGGACACCAAAGGTATTGGACACTTTGTTGGTGGTGCTGTGCTAACTATACACCAAAAACTTAAGTATTAACGTTACTGTAAATATGTGACGGAAACTATAATAATCAAATAAAATTAAAAAGTAACTGCTTTCCAGATATGGATCTCCTAGGAATGTATACATAGATTTAAAAATAAAATCAAACCTTTAATGCTATAGGATCAAGATTGAAATCCCAAACATCTCCAATGGAATCATCCAGAGCATCCTCAATTCTACTCAACTGCGACGTGTACTCCTCAAGGAATTTCCCGTAATTCTTGAGCTGGACCTCCGCATGGATTTCTAATTTTAAATGTAAAACAGCATGTGAGAGGCACAAATTATGTATAATAGGACATTCTGCTTCAAACAACCCTTAAAATCACAGGAAAGCAGAAACAACACTGTAGCCCTATATATCGTCTAGACTTCTTGAAAATAAACGTTTCAAAATTAAACAATTCAATACCCTCCAAATACAGCAATCTTTTAAAACAGTTCACAGCTATTATACTGAGAGAGCACTTTAAAGCCAAACTTTAAAAATATAAAGAAATTGACACATTTACCCATATTCTAGAATCTTTAACCCATCTGCCTAATGCACTGGATAGCTTTTATTATGTTCTGATTCTTTTTAGTCATAAACAACTTATTTTTTTTTCTAAAAGAGAAATGCCCAGGGCTGGAGCAGCGGGTAGGGCGTTTGCCTTGCATGCGGCTAACCCGGGTTCGATTCCCAGCATCCCATATGGTCCCCTGAGCACCGCCAGGGGTAATTCCTGAGTTCAGAGCCAGGAGTAACCCCTGAGCATTGCCCATTTTTTCACATGCAAAAATCTCTTTGAAACAAAGTTTTCAAAATGATACTCTTACTGCTATACATAGTGAAGTGCTTTCTAAAACTATACTGAAGGGCTTCAGAGGCATTATGTGATTATGCGCTTGCTTGCAGCTGGCTCACCTGGTTCAATCCCCAACACAACATATAGTCCCCTGAGCAAGAGGTGAGGAGTAAACCACACCACTGCCAGGTGTGGCCCAAACCCCCCCATCCCTGAAAGACAAATCCATATAAAATATGTGTATGTACATGTTATACTTACAACATACAAGTGTGTACATGTATATACACTGAAGTGTTTTTAGATCATTTTAGACCTGTTTCTTCGTAATTTTATTCAAGTAGTACCCAAAATTTGCTGTTAACTTGTTTTAAATTACAATAGAGTCGGAAAAGCTGGCAAAAAATACTCAGCACAGACAATCATGCTGTTATTTATAAAATTTACATTAATAGACCCCCCCCCTCCGGGCTCACTAGAATAAGCTGGACAAAATTATGCTTTCTGATCAAAATTATTGAAAGCAAAATCTTTCTCATCTTATACATAAGAATTCTGAGGTCAGAGCAACAGTACAGCAGGGAAGGTGTTTGCCTTACACGCAGACAACTCAGGACCCCATATGTCACCTGAGCCCACCAGGAATGATCCCAGAGCACAGAGCTAGGAGTAATCCCAAGCACAGCTGGTATGGCTAAAAAAAAATTATTATTATTATTATTGTTTTCTCAAAGGAAGCAAATTCAACTCCATTTTGGTTTCTTTTATTGATGTAAAAAGCTGAAGTCAAACTTTCCTACGAAAGATAAAAATTTTTCTCTCCTCAAATTAGCAATGAGGCAATTCTAAAATAAGATGTGTTCTGATTCATTAATGCAAAGTCCTAGTTAGTTTCCCATGTCCCTTATCTTGCAACTAATGCTCTGAATTAGGTGAATCAGTTCATTAAAGTTTGTGTCTCAATTTAGGAGGAAACTAGGCAACTTTAAAAAACAATTAGTCTAGATATGATTCACAGTCCCAAAACTGATTAAAACCAGCACAAAGAAGAGATGAGAAATCTTCTCTTCCTACATCTAAAACTGTATTCCTACATCTAAACCTACAACTGCATTAGAATCACAGAATCCCAAGAACATGTCTACTTCTTAGTTACTCAGTAAATGATCAACAAATGAGTTCTTAAGGGCAATGTTAGAAAAACTTTCAAATAGATTACTCAGTCTTTTTTGGGAATTTGCAAAGTAGCAGACAACAGAAAACCAACAGTACTACCAAAATTCCGTGCTATTAAGAAAATGAAGGGGGGTATGGTGTCACCAGCAGGTCAATCTGCACCTGTGAGGCGAGTGAATCAGCAGCCTGATGGCACCTTCAGACTAACAGATACCCCCAAATTGCTGCTGTGCCTTTGGCCAGACCCCAAAAACTTGGGGCCAAGTTTACCAAGAAAGTAAACGGCCAAAAGTTAGGTATGTGGGAGACACACCAACAAACCACCTCCGGCTCAGCTATATAAGTGGAGGTATGGCCTCTCTGGATCCTGATCGAACTGCTTAACAGCCATGAATGATCCCAGAGACTCAGAAACAAATCTCGAAACCCAATGGCTTTTGGCAGAAATGCACCCAGTCCCTGCAGTAAATTACAGGCACTGGGCCACCCCAGGTGGGAATAGATTTCGTGCCTTGGCCTGTTCCTCCTGGCGGCCCAGTGGCCGCCATCCTCCAAAGGCCACTGGACAGTCAGGTTTGGGCCCACAATAATGAGACACGCGGGGCCTGACAGGATGGGGGTGAAGCAGGCCCTTTCCTCCCCAACCCAACGAGACCGAGACCCCAGGTCACCGCCCACGAACTCCTGGCTCCTGATCAAGCCGCTTAATGACCATGATACCAGAGACTCAGAAACAAATCTCGGAACCCAGTGGCTCTTGGCAGAAACGTGTCCAGACCCGCAGTAGGTTACTGTCGCCAGGCCACCCCAGGGGGAAAGGGTGCTGTCCCTCCACCTGCTCCTCCTTGGAGGCTTGGTGGCCGCCATCCTCCAGAGGCCATTGCACAGTCAGGTTTGGGCCCCCAGTGACGAGACACGTGGGGCCTCACGGGATGGGGGTAGAGCCGGCCCTTTCCTCCCCATCCCAACGAGACCCTGAGTCGCTGCCCATGAACGGCCTTTCTGACTCCTGATCAAGCTGCTTAACGGCCATGAATGATCCCGGAGACTCAGGAACAAATCTCAGAACTTAGCAGGTTTTGGCAGAAATCCCTCCAGATTTGTTAAAATTTCGGAATTTCAAAATTGCGTGGCCACTACTGCAGCTGCACGACATCATATGTTATTCATAACCAGCAATAGAAAACAAATTGTCTACTGTTGCCTTTTTGGTAGTTCTGAGTGTTGGGGTAAAATGCCAAATAATAATGGTGGGTCTGGTGTCAAAGTATTGAACGTAATCAAAGTAGAGAGAGAGTAATATGGAAATCACCTGCCCCCACAGGTAGGGGGAGGGTGTGGAATGCATACTGGGGTTTTTGGTGGTGGAGAATGGGCACTGGTAAAGGTATGGGTGTTTCATTGTATGACTGAAACTTAAACCCGAAAGCTTTGTAACTGCTCTCACGGTCATTCAACAAATAAAATTATAAAAAATGAAAAAAGTAAGATGGAGTTTATGCCCAATTCAATCAGCTAATATGTGGCTAAATAAATAGCAGTGCTGCTACATTAAAAAAAAAAAAGAGAAAAAAAAAGAAAGAAAATGAATACTTGCAAAACGGATTTCAAAAGGGAAAAAGGGGACCAGGGGATATTCAACAAGAACCTTTGCCTTGTAAGCTACCTTGCCTTGCAAGCCTGAGGTCTTGAGTTAAACACCCAGCACCGCAGATAATTTTAATTTGCTTTGTTAGAAGAGTAAAGTAAGATCTTAAATAAAACTTTATGATCATTATCCAGAAGTAAAACTCCCAAAAGCTATTTACATGCTTATCTCAACCCACAAACCACACTTCAGGCCTTTATCTTTATACCTTTACATCTTTATAAATGACAGGTACATAGAAAAGTCTGATGAGTAAATCAGATCACTCTAAGCTGAAACATTTTCACACAGAGTAACATTTTCTTGCCATTATATGTTAAGATACTAAAATGGAACCTTTGTCCATAAAACATCCATAAGGGGCTGCTGACTTTGGAACAGTAAACACAAAATCCTCTCCACAAAAAAAAAAATAAATAAATAAATCCTACGTTGTTTTTGTGGGTTTTTTTTCCCCCATGACCATCATCACGATGTTTTACTAAAATCAAATACCCTGTGGAATATTTTGTGGAAACCTGCAAACAATGCATTAAAGTTTGTGCCCATTATACTTTCTTAGCAACGTTAAGCCAAATTCACATGCACTTTTTAAAAATTACATTTGTCTCTGGGAAAAGGAAACACATCGAAAATAATCCACACCCCAGCCATGACCTCTTACGTCACGGATACAGATGATCATCCACCAAGAACAGACATTATCACGCCACCTTCTACTACTCTCCAGTGTTTTTGTTTTGGTTCGTTTTCTGCCAAAATATTATTTTTCCTCTATGCTTTGTTTTGCACTGAATTTATTCTTTCCTGTTTTTTTTTTAAATTTTTATTAGTGAAACACCATGAGGTACAATTGTAGACTTACAAATTTTTGTGCTTGGGTTTCAGTTATACAATGATCGAGTACCCATCCCTCCACCAGTTCCCATTCTCTACCACCAATGATTCCAGTATTATTATTATTTTTTTAAGGAGGCAATTCGATTTTCTGAAGCGAGATCTGCAGCAGGCTTGCTCTCATTTCTGACACCCTTCTACGCTGTAATGGAAAAAACGACCGGACATCACTGAAGGAGGGAGGGAGGGAGGACGGGAGGAGGGGTTAAAAAAAAAAAACAACTTTTTTTTAAAATATTATTTTGGTTCTGCTTTGGGACAGGAATTGGGGTTCAGGATGAAAACATCCGAAATCTTATGGTGGGGAAGTGTCATGGTGCTGAGTTTGGTGTTTGAATATTAAATGCAATCAAATATTGTGAACTACCTTATAAAATTTTAAAAAATTAAAAATACCATTTTAAATAGGAAAGGGGGCTAAAGGGGAAAAAATAAAGTCTGCAGGAGACTGCTAATTCCCGTGCTTCTTTGCAACCGTGCAAGGAGTCCCATCTCCTAGGGTGGGAAGAAGACTTCAATGGGGGGGGGGGGGGAGGGAAACGCTGGGGACTTCTACGAAGTTGGGGAGGGGACAACCCCCACGGGAAACAGAAACAGGAACCGGGATGGAGGCGCGTCGCCAGCCCCGCGGGGAGGCCGAGGGGGCAGCGCGGGGACCCCGGGCGCAAGCAGTGGCCTCCGCGGCCCCCCGCGCGGGGCACCCCGACGCCCCCCGGCGCGGGCAGCCGCTCCCCCCCGAGCGCATCCCCCCGTCTCTCTCTCTCACACACCCCCCTCCCCGAGGTCCGCGCCCCCGCGCGCGCGGCTGGCAGCCCCCTCCCCGCGGCGCCCCCTTACTCTGAGAGCCGTCGTCCACGCGGTCGAACTCCCAGTCCGGGGACAGCGTCTCCACCGCCATGGCGCCCACCCCGCAACCGCAGGTCCCCCCAGCCCAGCCGACGCCCGCAGCCCCAGCCCGGGCGCTGCCGCCGCACGTGACTTCCGGCCCCGAGGCCCCGCCCCTCCTCTCGCTCACGGCGGCCGGAGCTCCTTGGCCCCGCCCCCACCCCCTCCGCCGGCCGCGGGGGCCGCTGGGAAAGCGAGTCCTGCAGTGTGGCCGGAGGCCGACCCAGAGAGGATGTTCTCGGGTCTGTCTTTTCTTTTTTCTTTTCTTTTCTTTTCTTTTCTTTTCTTTCTTTCTTTCTTTCCTTCTTTCTCTCTTTCTCTCTCTTCTTTCTTTTCTTCTCTTTCTTTTTCTTTCCTTCCTTCTTTCCTTCTTTCTTTCTCTCCCTTTCTCCCTTCCTTCCTTACTTCCTTCCTTCCTCTTTCTTCTTTTTCTTTCTCTCTCTTTTTCTCTCTCTTTCTCTCTTTCTTCTTTTTTCCTCTCTCTTTCTCTGTCTTTCTCTCTTCTATCTTTCCTTCATTCCTTCTTTCTTTCTCTCTTCCTTCCATTCTTCCTTCCTTCCGTGCTCCTTTCTTCTTTCTTTCTTCCTTTCTTTCTTTCTGTCTTTCTCTTTCTCTCTTTCTTTCTTTCTCTCTTTCTCTCTCTTTTTCTCTCTTTCTTTCTCTTTCTCTCTCTTTCTTCTTTCCTTCTCTCTCTTTCTCTGTCTTTTTCTTTCTTTCCTCCTTCTTTCTTTCTCGCTTCCTTCCTTTCTCCCTTCCTTCCTTCCTCTTTCTTTCTTTCTTTCTTTCTTTCTTTCTTTCTTTCTTTTTTTATTCAATCACTGTGAGATAGACCCTTTCGAAGCTGTTCATCATGATTAGGTTTCAGTCATACAGTGTTCCAACACCCATCCCTCCACCAGTGTACACTTCCCAGCCCCAGTGACCCCAGGTTCCCTCCCATCATTTCCCCACGACCCTGCCCCCCACCACCACCCAGGTCTTGCTTGCCTGTCCCCCTGGGGAGCTCGCAGTTGTCATTCGCTCTCCTTTCTCGTGCTGTATACCTATACACCATCAATTTTTACTCTCCTGGTTCCGGAACTTTTTTTTTAATAACTGGGCAGAGGGTGGGGGGTTGCTGTCTCACTTTAGTCTAAAATTAATTAGTTAATTAATTACTGATGCCTAATGGTGGGGAGCAGGGGTTCATGAAAGGCGTAATCCCCTCCCTAGAGGTCGCTGTCTGGATGCTACTGACTAGAAATTCTACCTTACCTGGAGCTCCTGCCCATCCTGTTCTGGAGGAAATGGTCTACCAAAAGGAGTTATTTACTTTGATTTTACTCTTTTGTTTCGTTTTTGAGTGGTGCTCAAGTGCTGAATATGGGATATGCCCCGGGATCCAACCCAGCTCAGGTCCTGAAAGACCAGCGTCCGCCTCGCTGTACTCTCTGCAGTCCCGTGGAATTTTACTCTTCTTACCCTGCAATTAATGACTCCCACCCCTGCTCTTTAAAAGGGAAAAGATGAGACCTGGACAGATAGTACAGTGGCTAAGGAGTTTCCCATACATCCAGCAGACCCAGGTTTGATCCTGGCACAATGTGTAATTGCCTCTAGCCCCGCCAGGAGTGGTCTCCGAGCACAGCTGTGTGCCCAGAAATAAATCTTTAAAACTTTAAAAGGTAAAGGTTGAAGTACTGTTTCGTGTGCAGGCTAAAAACCTTTTCCGCAAACAGTATGGACGATTCTCAAAAAATTAGAAATTGAGCTCCCAGTTGAGCCAGCAGTACCACTCCTGGGTATATATCCCAGAGAGGCAAAAAAGTATAGTCGAAGTGACATCTGCACTTGTTTGTTCATTGCAGCACTCTTTACAATAGCCAGAATCTGGAAAAAACCTGAGTGCCCGAGAACAGATGACTGGTTAAAGAAACTTTGGTACATCTACACAATGGAGTACTATGTAGCTGTTAGAAAGGATGAGGTCATGAAATTTACATACAAGTGGTACAACATGGAAAGTATCGTGTTAAGCGAAATGAGTCAGAAAGAGAGGGATAGACATAGAAAGATTGCATTCATCTGGGGAACACACAGTAACAAAATAGGAGACTAACACCCAAGAATGGCCAGGATTAGTACCAGGAGGTTTGCTCCATGGCTTGGAGGCCAGCCACACATGCTAGGGAAAAAGGGAGCTCAGCTAGAGAAGGGAGCACCAAGTAAAGGGTGTTGGGAGGATCCTCCCAGGATGGGAGAAGCATGCTGAAAGTAGACTATAGACCAAACATGATTGCCACTCAATGCCTCTTTTGCAAACCACAGCACCCAAAAGGAGAGAGAGAACAAAAGGGAATGCCCTGCCACAGAGAAAGGGTGGGATGGGGGGATGGAGGGTGGGAGGAATACTGGGACCAGTGGCGGTAGGAAATGGGCACTGGTGGAGGGATGGGTATTGGATCATTGTATAACTGAAATCTAAGCACAAAAATTTGTAAGTCTACAACTGTACCTAATGGTGTTTCACTAATAAAAATTTTAAAAAATAAATAGATAAAAATCTTTTCCATGATTAAGTCGCTTATCTGAAATTTTTCTCTTGCAATACTGCTTAATCGCTTATTTGGGATTTTCTTTTTATCCAGTAATTCTGCATGTGGCAGGGATCCTAGATATGGGAGAGGATCTAAACGCTGGTCACTGGGGAATAGTTGATCTAAGTTTAATACGTCCCTACTATGAAGTGCTAGATATTGTTCAATGAAATTTATTTGTTAGAGTATGAGAATCTGTCCGTAGCACTGTCCTCCCATTGTTCATCAATTTGCTCAAGCAGGCACCAGTAACTTCTCCATTGTGAAAATTGTTGTTACTGTTTTTGGCATATCGAGTAGGCCATGGAGAGCGTGCCAGGCTCTGCTGTGGGGGCAGGATACTCTCAGTAGCTTGCTGGGCTCTCCGAGAGGGATGGAGGAATTGAACGTGGGTCCACCGCGTGTGCAAGGCAAACATCCTACCCGATGCTATCATTCCAGCAGTAACGGGATATTTGTCGTTATTTGTTTTAAGTTTCAAAGATGTGAATGAGCACAAAAATTCTTTTTATAAGAACTCATTAACCAGTACACAGGTCACCTGGAAAATAGTATGCATTAGTGATTAGAAAGATATTTTTGTTTGTTTCAGACATGTGTGGGCTTTTTAGTGTGTGTCTTTAACAATGAGACTATATTAAAATCTTAATTTCTGTCGTCGTAAAAAGAACCTAAAAGAGGCCAGAGAGATAGTACAGGGGTCAAGCCTTGCATGAGGCTGAGACTGATCCCAGTTCAATCCCTGGCACCACATATGGTTCCCTGACCATTGCCAGGAGTGAACCCGAGCACAGAGCCAAAGTAAAGCACAACCAAAGTAAATCCTGAATTGTGGTCCAAACCCTCCCCCAATACACACACACAAGAAGAAAAAAGTAATAACTAAATCAAGACAGGTGAAAGTCTCTTGAAGAATCTCTTGTTTTTCAGGCTATTATATCTGTGTGGCACTCAAATATTTGAGTGCCAGTGACTGGAGTGATAGCACAGCGGGTAGGGCATTTGCCTTGCAGGCGGCTGACCCAGGTTTGATCCCCAGCATCCCGTGTGGTCCCCCGAGCACCGCCAGAAGTAATTCCTGAGTGCATGAGCCATGAGTAACCCCTGTGCATCACCGGGTGTGACCCCCCCAAAATAATTTTGAGTGCCCACAAAACATCAGGCACCAAGTTAGATGCAGAGATTGTTATGAATCTCTCTGTCTCTGTCTCTCTGTCTCCACTCCCTTACCCCTGGGGCTTATTGTGACTTTTAGAAAGAAAAATTAAAACTAACAAATAACATCAGTAATCAATGACGAGAAAATTCTTTCTCCCTTATTTTCCGTGTGATCACTAGTTTAACTTTGCCTTATTCTTCACATTTGAGTGAAATACCATCATTAATCTGCCAACAGTCATTGTGATAAATTGAAGACACAGGTCAGAGCAACTCAAATATTCAAATTCATTGATTTACTAAATTAACTGATCAGTGGCAAGAGATAGTGTCATGAAAATAATTTAAAACTGTTCCTGTAGACAACTTGTTTAGAGCCAAATCTCCCTGTCACTTACTAGCCATGTGATTCTAGGACAAATTAACAATCAGTCTCAGTTTCTTTCCCTGAAATATGGGAATAATGAGAATGAATACCTCAATGAATAATTATGAGGACTAATTGAATTTATGCTTGTAAGAGAAATGTATGATATTCCACAAAATATGAAGTGTTTGCTCCTCCGAGTCAATTGAAAACTTAAATCTCAGAAATTACCTGTCTTGAATATATATACACACATATATATATACATATATATGTATATATATATTTGGTAAGGGGTGAGGGAGCTTCCACGAGTTTCTCAGAAGGCCCAGGGCCCCTCCTGGCAATTCCTGACCTATAGAGCCAGCAGTTCATTGTCAGGACCCAGGGATACAGTGATGTTCAGACTCTGTGGAAGGGTTACAACTTACTTGGGCCACACTGGTGCTACTTGGAGGAGCCTCCTGGGATGCACCTGGCAATACTCAGGGGACCATCAGTGCTGGAGATCAAACCTGGGTGAGCCACGTGCAAGGCCTGCGTGTATAGATGCCGATATAGGTGTATAAAATGAAACACTTCCACCAACAAATTTCCGGTGCTATTTCACCAATAATAAAGATCCCTCTACTTGGGTGTTGGGATACTGTATGACTGAAATATAATCATGAACAGCTTTGAAAGGGTATATCTCACAGTGAGTCAATAAAAAGTCAAAAAGAAAGGAAGAAAAATGAAAGGAAAGGAAGGAAGGAAGGAAGGAAGGAAGGAAGGAAGGAAGGAAGGAAGGGAGGGAGGACGATCCCTCTAATCAAAGTTCTGGATTCATTTGGAGAGTAATGAAATCCCTGTCTCTTGCACCTAGCTCTCTCCCTTCTGTCTCTCCCTCCATCCTTTCTCTTTCTCTTTCACTCTGTCTCTCTCACATACATACTTCCTCTCTCTCCCTCCAATTCTCTTTCTCTCCCTCTCTCTC